ATTCACAGGAAGAACGCTTTCATTTTGGTGTCTTTAGTGAAAAATTAAAGCTCACCAAAAGTTCTGTTCCATCTTTAATTACCTTTAATTGTGACATTAAATTTCCGAAAGGTTTTCTGTCCCTTTAGTTTACCTTTAATTGACCTTTTGGTTGCATTAAAGACTAATAACCTTTAGGTCTCGTTTTAATAGTCTTTAATTTATTCCAAAATTAGCTAATTTTGGAATAAGTTAAAGACAATTAAAACGAGACCTAAAGGTTATTAGTCTTTAATGTAACCAAAAGGTCAATTAAAGGTAAACTAAAGGGACAGAAAACCTTTCGGAAATTTAATGTCACAATAAAGGTAATTAAAGATGGAACAGAACTTTTGGTGAGCTTTAATTTTTCACTAAAGACACCAAAATGAAAGCGTTCTTCCTGTGAATACTAAAACCATAACCTAGTGCATGTCGTCGCGGCGTGAAGTCTTAATTAGAATCCTAGCGCCATTATAAAAGGAAGACGTTTATTTCAAACAAAAACTCGCACATTGAAATGCTTAAAATGGCACTATTCGACTGTGCGATCAATGAAAAAAGGTTGCAGTGTTGACGAAGGACGGGGCATTTGCCCTCTTTTTTCGTCCCCACCCCGGGGGATTCGACAACTCAAGAGTCCCCACTCCCGGGAATTTGCCATCCAAGGTAAAAATAATGCTAATGCCCGGGGAACAGCCAGAGGGGGAAGGAGGGATGGGGGCTAGGCGCAGGTGGAATTGACTGATGCATTATGGAGGAAAGAAAATGAAAAGGAAAAGAGAGTGGTCTTCTTCTTTACAACGTTTCAGTCAAACGGTCTACATCCCGAAAGGCTTGGTGCATTCCTTTCCTGCTGAAAATATCTAAATGACTAGCATAAACGCCGTATATTCCAATATCAATTACAAATTGTCTTTATCAGTATGTTTACCTTTTCTAAGGACCTCGTTTGGAGAAATTAGTGAAATACGAAGGAGAGTATGCTTGAAGTTTTACGCCCGCATAGTGCATAAATTTGTAAAATAACTAGGATAGCACATCCATACGCGCGCTCTGATTGGCTGAGAGGAGTGTTTGCATGAGAGTATGTAAACATGGTTGTGGCGTGGAGATGTTTTGCTTTTCGCGCGCTAATCACGCAATCACGAATTTGAAAAAGCTTTCAAGTTCAAAACTCGACAAGTTTACTTTATTTACCCATTCCTTCGTCGGCTGAAACTTGGAAAATCGTTACAAAGAAAGTGTGTCAATTTTTTTCGCTTAATCTGACATTTTAAGCGAGAAAAGTCTGTATTTTGGAAAGAATCTTTTTGCAAAACAAGAACTGATTACGCGTGCAAGACCTCGTGGACAAGACTTTGCGCCTGGCAAGAATTTCTCTTTTAATCAGTGCCATACAAAGAGTTTTGCTTTTTTTCTCGGGAAATTTATTTTATAAAAGCAATAGAAAACTTTGGCGTTGGGAGAATTCTCGACAGTTATGCAAACCCTCAACCTCGTCTCGGGTTTGCATAACTGTCTCGAATTCTCCCAACCCCTCTCGTGTTTATATCAGGCTATGCAAACACGGAAAAAATTTTCTATTGCTTAAATAACCAGAAAATAAAACTTAAGAGCATGCGGTTTTATCCGTGATGATAATTATTGGTACTCAATAAAAGAAGAAATCAAGTTATTCTGGGTATTAAATTAAAGGAAGTGAAATTAAATTCTGACTTGAAATAGGTAAACTGTTATCTTGCGGTTTGTTTACTTAGTTCTTAAGAACTGGAAACACCTGCATTAAAGTTGTAGCCGGTGAAAAGCGATCGACGGCACACGACACAACTCCCTTTCGTTGTAAATGCAGTCCTCAATATTCCCTTCTTCGTACGTGATAACTGTTTTGGAAGGAATTATTTGGTTTTCGTTTCGTCTGCATCGACTCTATTACTGCTCTTCGCCGGCAAAAGTGCTATTGATCGGCTTGGCAAGTTACTCAGATCTCACATCGCTTAAAAATTTCACCAGTATTTGCAACCGATACAGACTACGTCAATCGTACTCCTAGAGAAATTGTTTGATTCTTTTTCTCCGCCCCCATCTGGTTTTAAAAGCTGACAGATTCTATGGAAGAAAGAAATTCCTAGTCAAGTATGCAAAACATGTACCGGTGCAAGAGGGATTTTGTATTAACTCAGTTCACAGATAAGTTATGTTGAAGGTAATCAGTTTCTCAATTCTCAAAATGCATGAGCTTGTCCAGACCTGGTTGCCACACCCATAGGTTGTTGAAATTCCCAGAATAATGGTCTCACGGCCAACGACCTTCCCCACACAACCATCCTTGCCAACCACTGCTTTGAACCAGATACATGCAGTGTACACGAATTGAGACAAAGAGATCGTTAGTGTAACGTCGAGAAGCAAGATTTTTTGATATTCTTGGAAACCCAAAAACCGTTTGCTATTTAATTTTATCAAAGAATATTTTTGTTATGTTTAAGGCTGCTATGTATACATATTATTTTTCACTCACGGCTTGGGATATGGGTAAATGTTTTTTTGGGAAGAAAATTTTATGTAAATTGAAAGCAGAAATTTTGACAAGAAAGCACATGTATTCTGAGGAGATCTACGCAGATGTGACTCTCAGATGTTCTTTTTGAATAACAGAAAACGATCAATAATAAATTATGTTTGACTTAAAATAAGGCTGCTACATATTATCTTTTACTTAAGACATGGGTAAATGGTTTTTGGAAGGCAATGTTGATTAAATTAAAAATAGAAATTTTATCAAAGAAGCACTTTGTTTAATTTTGGTAAGTCATTAAAATAATTTACTTGGAAAAAGTCTGAAACATGTCCTTTATGGCCCCACTGACGTCCATGCTTACGATAAACGCAGCCACATAATTGGACAGGCTTTAGCAATTAACATTTAATTTCCTCTATATTAGTCTTGAAAGCCTTGAAGATCCAGTGGTAAAGCACCTGAACCTATAAGATTCACAGAGCAATGAAAGAGGTTTCTTGTCTTTATCCATTTAATTTCAGTTGCCAGCACAATGTTTTTTCGTTGTCCCACCCTGCTGAAATGACGAATATGGCTAATTCCACTTCACTTTTTATGTTAACAGAAAAATGGAGGTTCTTTTTGTGTTGTTTCTAATGCTATGCACCATTACAGCTGAAGGAAATTCAGGTGGGAGTAGTTCATATTCACTCATTCTGTAAAGTACAGTAAAGCCTAAGTAAAACATGATGATGTGAGCCAAAATGCTTCAAAAAATAAATTTATTATTTTAGATTATTTGCCATGATTACGAAATGTAACGAATAAACATAATGTGGTTAACCCCGCGAGACATTACGATATTTAATTTGTGTTAAGGGGCAATATGAGTCACCCTTTTTTGGGCCCTTGCTGCTGTTAATCAGCGGTATACTTGCAACCTTGTTCACAGGAAGGGGAGGCCGGCCTCTTAACAACTTTGAGGATTTCCCTGTAAGGAAAAAAATGGGATTCGAATGCGTAGGTTTTTGACCAGCATCAACTTATCCGAAACTGAAAATTCGGATTCGTAATGAATTCGGAAAAATTTCCTGAGGGTGTGAACCTAGCTAGCCCTAGACAAACTATGAGAGTTAAACTGCTAAGGAACAATCTAATATCTAAGATGCTAATGTACTATTATTCCTACTAGTAATTACTAGAAATGACAAATGATTAGAAATTGTGCATTTGATTTTGCAGAATGCGGTTCAGTAGTAAACAATACCACACTAACAAGTCCAGGATATCCAAACCACTATCCAAGAAACATGGATTGTACTTGGACTTGGGAAATTCCAGCAGGAAAAATTCTGAATGTGACCTTTGCATCATTCGACATGGAACCTCTGTGGGATTGTGTGTAGGCGATTTAAATGAGAAGTAGTAAAGGGTTGTAAAGTCCTCGAGCCATATCCATCTAAAATCAGTACTATAGAGCTCTGAATATTTGCTAACAGACACCGGCCTCCAATAAACGGCCTGTCAATAGACCTCTATAGCTTATATTTTTTGGTTTTCTTAATGTAGGTCATGTGATAATACTCCAGAGAACTGTGTATTTCAAACCTCGATTTTTTTTTCTCGTGCATATGTACCCATAATTTATGAAAAGAGAAAGTGGGCAAAAGCTAAAGCTTAAGACTTAAGACTCTTTAAAAAGAGACTATGACACCTGCGAACTGGAGTTATTATTACACTAGCCCGGGATTTTTCCTGAGGGAGGGGGGACGTCTGTACACAGGTTGTTATTACACCAGTCTGTCAAGAGACGTGTATTCTTAAATGAATTTTCATTTTTAGTTTTTTTTAAGCAAAAATACAGACACACTTGTTATTCTGCTTTTCTTGTGACTTTTCTTCCAACAGTCAAAACAGTCGAGGTAAACCACTCTGCCTTAACTCAAAACACATTCTACGCTCGCTTGAACATTTTCCAGAGGTTTATGGTCTTACTAATTCGTCAAGTTATTGAACGATTTTGCATATTTTAAATTCGGCAAGACAAAGCATAACAAGATAGATCGTACCTTACTTTTTTATGGAAAATAATTTTTGGCCAAAGCGATGGGCGTTAATAATCTAGCAGAGTAGTAGTTTGATACTCTTGCATTAGAAGGGAAGAAGCTTACCTGGCTGCAATGTGCACAACATAAAACCGCAATAATATTACAAAGCTATCTAATAAAGACCAGTTACGGACTTTTGTGGGCAAAATGCAAGAACAAAACAAATAAATGAAATGTGTAATCTACCGCAGGTTATCAAAGCAAGTTTGTCACCAAAATAAAATTTGTTTTTTGTAGAAGAACCAAACGGTTTTACCGTTTTATCGGGCCTGGATTTTTTATCTTCTTGTAGGAGAGACTATTTGAGTATTTACCATCAAAGCAACGTTCTGATTGGCAAGTATTGCGGTAGTTTGACGTACAATTTGGCAGTGATGGTAGCCGGGAATTACACAATGATTAAATTCCACTCGGAAAACGTTGACAAAGGAAACCGTGGATTTAGATTGCATTTCAAAGAATTATCTCGAAGTGGTAAGTGCAGAAGGGACCCAAGCGTAATACAAGAATTTGTGTGGGAAATAACTCTCAATTTTCAATCTAACCTACTTGTGAGCACAGGCCCTTCGATCTTCCTAGATAGGTCGGGACAGTATCTAAGATGGTGACCAGCGGTGATATTTTACGTATCACGTTTGTCATCTTGTAGAGCAGCTTGCGTCGCAGCTGCTTTCTATTAAACGTTTAACAAGTAGCAAAATGTCAAAACACAACGAAACCCCAACGAAAGCCCTTCCCCATCCATCTACATACACACAAGCGGTCGCGATATGAATTTGATCTACGTCCGAGGGCTAGACCTATTTCTTTATTTTGAGTAAGCGGAGTGGCTAAACAATTTCTGTACGGTTGCAGAAACAATAGATGCGGTTACACACACCACCGTAAGGGACATTTCTCACGGTAATAGTTCGTTTGGCTACACATCAATTAATTTTCCACGTAAATTAGCTGCTCTAACGTCTTCATTCGCGAGGGAGCTTAAGCAACAACGACGGCGACGGCTACGAAAACGTTACATAAAAAGTGAATTCGCACCGCTTCAAACTTTATGGCGTTTATTTACCTCATTCAATTCAAATCATGGCAATTTTTTCTGGAGCTGAATTCTAAAAGACTGTATCGAAGTTCAGAAAAAGAAGAAGAAAGTCGTTGCCTTGTGTTCACGTCCTCCACAAAACATGAAATCAGGCAGTTTCACGTCGTAGTCGTGCAGTGACAGCAAAGAAATGTACAAAAAAGCGTGATGCACGTGCAAAGTTGTTGTCGCACCTAAGAGCAAATTTAATCCAAACGATGCTAAGTAGACGTAAACATTTCGATCATCTCTCATTTTCCTCGGCAGAGCTATGCAGTTCGGCGAAGGATAATATACTGAGATCCCCTGTATATGTACAAAGTTATCCACCAAGTATGCACTGCGTCTATAATATCTCAGTTCCACATGGCAAGGTGCAAAAACTTGTGTTTCAAATATTTGAACTGGCGTTTGATCCAGAATGCAGGTTAGAGTAATATTCCTTGATTAAGCGTGTTTCTAACTATAGTGTGTTAGTGAACGGCGTCAAAATAACCCGTGAAAATGCTAACTATTTTTGGATGAAAGGGAAGCCTGAGCCGGCAAGATGTGGTGGCGTATGATCCAAGGATCATTATACAAAACTTTGGCTAATAATATAATGAGCTCAAGTAATTACATGTTAACAGGGCAAGAAGTGCAGCTAATAAGGACACCAATGTCTGTGACAGTTATTGGCGTGCAAATATTGACATAATTCACTAGGAACTGAATCTGTTGATAAACATCATCAGGTTTCAAATTGCTACGTAATGCAGGGGTCATTCATATTAAAAATCTCGGCTTAATTTTGAAAGGTCAAAACTCTCAAATAACTTAAAGTAAACCGTTTTCTCTTAGTTTTTTTTTGTTTTGTTTTCTTTGTACTTACTTTAAGGAATTGGTCACCACTTCGAAATGTTAAGTAGTCAAATGGCTCTTGCAAAAAGTTAATATCAAGTCATGGAAAAGCAACTTCAAAGAAACCAATCCATCTGAATGGTTCTTTATTCTGAACAGAAGCCTTTGACTTAATGCATTTTAACAGGAACATATATAAAAGTAATTTGTTTAATGTAAACCCGTGAAATATTGAGTGTTTCCTTTGCAGATTGAACTACCTGAGCATTTCGCATGGTAATAACTTTATCGGCCATTATTGCGGTAACTTAACGGGAAAAGTTATTCTAGTTTCACGAGACTATCTGGTGTTAACATTTCACTCAAACGAGAAACTTGATCCTAACAATAGAGGATTTGAAATATTTTTTACGGAAGATGTAAACATGCCTGGTAAGTGAATGTAACGATAACTATACTATATCAATACTACTATAGCAAATTATATTAGAGTACAGACACATGGATGACGTCACGGAAACGTTTTTTCTTTGTTTGTCAAACATGGCGCGCGCTTTTGAAATGTATGCGAGACTATTTCGGAATAAGCAAGCATTTTCCTGAATTTTTCATGTTGGCAAATATCATGGTCGAGGAAAAGCTTTAGCATTAATTTCAAATTGCAAGTAAAAGAAAGACCAGTCATATATTGAATATCCTGAGTGATTTCACGACCCCACCACTAGTTTCCCCGCGAAGTGACGTCTTAGGAAGGACTGCAACAATTCCATACTTATGACGTGTCATTACCCAGATTTGGGTAGTGCTTCTGATTAGTTGAGGCAAATTTCGCGGCACAACCAATCAGAAGCACTACCCAGATCTGGAATGTTGGCATACGTCATTTGGCGGAAAAACCAGTGAAACCAGTGCTCGCGAAATGTTGGCTTTTTCCTCTGGTTAAGTATTGAATAAGTTATACTTTGACTATATGTTTCAGCACCTTGTCTAATAGGTTGGACAAGCCTTTATGGTTCTTGCTACAAAGTATCTTCTAACGAACTGGACTGGAACTCAGCAAAGTCCGCTTGTGAAGCACTGGGATCAAGTCTTGTTACTCTGAACTCACTGGCTAAAATACAAGAGCTCATTAAAAGAACAAATGGGCAGACGTGGATTGGTTTACAGAGGGATCTCACGGACAGTTCACGCTGGCAATGGGTTGATGGGTCTGGCGCTTTTTATAGCTACTGGTGGAGTGGAGAGCCAAACAATTTCGGAGGCAACGAAGATTGTGTTGTAATGAACCCTCACATGGGAAAATGGAATGACCAAGAGTGTTGGAAATCTCATTATTACGTTTGTGAAATCAACGGTAACACAACTTTCTATGATATAAAGTACAATCAAAAAGTAAAGTAAATTGTAAATTTGATGTGTAAACAGTACTTCCAATGATTGTACGGTTTATCTAAGATCCCAATGAATCTGGATATTTCTCATAAAGGTAATAAAGGTAGACTTGTTGTATTATAATCAAACGAAAATCTTTTTTTTTTTTCAGCGACAAAAATACCAGCAGTCAGCAACAACAACTTTTGATTCCTCTGCTTATGATAATATTCGTTCATTTCAGAAATACTAGAGACCTTAAGATTCTAGGCCGAGAATTAACGACTACGAGTACGAGATTTCATTTAAAGTTTTTTCGCGTATTCTAAAATAATAGACACCGTGGATAGCTTCATTCTACATCTTTTTCACCAAAAAAAATAGCCTTGTTATCTTTATTGAATGAGGCTAAACTCCCAGCTGCAAAATAATAAAACCTATAACACTTTATAACTCACTTGTGACCGCTAACACACTAACTCGTAGTAGAATGACGACAACTATCACGTTTCCGCCAAAATGAGGTTGGTTCACACGCGCGCACTACTGATCATGAGTATTGAGGAAATCTGGTACTCGTAGTCGTACTCGCCTTAGAATCTAAAGGTCTCTATTTGTCTTTCGCAGGTTGTCCCCAGGACTGGATTCAAATCCTCGGCTCCTGCTACAGAGCCTCTTCTTACGCAGTGGATTGGTTCGCGGCAGAATCGGCCTGTAAGGCAATTGAATCTAGTCTTCCTATGGTGACTTCACGTGCTGAACAAGATGCCCTCGGCTCATTTCTAACACAAAGCGCATGGACTGGTCTGCACAGGAATCCCAGTCACAATTTGAGTGGGGCTGGTTTGGTCAATGGTTCACAAGCTAGTTACGGTCATGAATTACGCAGTCACTTGGATAGTTTGACGGGCGAGGGAGATTGTGTAGAGATAAATTCGCAGGGACAACTGAAAAATAGAGACTGTCGTCATCACCATCAGTACCTTTGCACAATAGCGGCAGGTAAGTAACTCCGAGAAAACATCATGTGTTTCTGGAAGAGTTAGAATTTCTGTTCCAGATTATGCTCGTGTGTATTGTATAAAGGTGCCAGTTAAGATTCTTAAAAAGGTAACACTCTCTTGAAAGAAATGCAATGAAAAGAAGACAGAAAAAAATTAACACTTGATTGCAAGGTCCATTAACCCAACCGGAGCGGCCCACTCATATACTAATCACGGCGTTTCGACAATCATCAAGTAGTTTTAGATTCATTGTAAAGTACTTTTCCAGCAAAAATAAGTAAGCCTTCGGTAAAAAGCACGAAATGGATTTTACTTTGCTTATCTTTCACACTCTGTATATATATTCTCAAAAGGAACTAAGTGCAGAAAACCTTCACTGCGGGATGATGTGGTTGTTTCACCTTCTGATTGTCTTTTACCAACCCACCCACATGGAAAGATTTGCTCTTTTTACTGCACCCGTGGATATCAAGTCAGCGGTCCTTCGTCTGCTCGTTGCGGGATTGGTGGATCATGGAGTGGGGATGCCAACACCATCATTTGTGATGGTTTGTATCTTGATCGTTTAGGATTCACTTCCCCCCTCAATTGTAGCGTTAAAAATAAGCCATTGTTTACAATTTTTTGGATTGCTGTCAATCCAACCCGAAAGCTATTGACGTCCTGCAGGTTAGAGCTTCTAAATCAAGGTGTTCTTCCAACTAGTAAATGGGACGCCTTATACCAAGTTTGTGCAGCATTTTTTTAATTGTCATCATTATATAAATAATCTTCAGTTTTAAAATAATCATCACCACCGCTACAACCAACATTGCCACCATCATTACCACAATTATCATTATCATCGTCGTCATCATCATTAACAACAACAACAACAACAACATAGTGATAATCATTGCTACAATCATTAGGACCACATCATCTTCATCATCATTACCTTTTTGCATTCATCAAACCCTGGTGCATCGGTTAATGTCATAGCCAGATTACCGCGTCAAAGAAGAGTGGTGTTCGAGAGCCGTCATTGTTTGCTTTTATTCAATAGAATGTGAAGAAGCTCTCGGTATGGGAGACGGAGAGATCTCCAACGGGCAAGTCATTGCTTCTTCGCAACTGGATGCCGAGCATGCAGCCATCAATGGCAGACTAAACGCTATAAGAACTTCAAATAAAGTAGGATCGTGGTCACCTTATACCAATGATGTTAAGCAATGGTTGCAAATAGATCTAGGCATTCAAGAGCGTACCCTTATAGCAAAGATTGCTACTCAAGGAGACAATGCTAACAGCACGTGGGTCACACATTACACATTACAGTACAGCGACAATGGAAATAAGTTCAATGTTTACAAAGAGATAGGACAAGGAAAAGATAAGGTGAGAGGCCTCTTCTTCGCCAAAGTTAAAAAAAGCAGTTTAGCCGGCATTTCTCCACCAACCTTTAAATACGTATATATTATTTTGCTCGTGTGCACATTTGGTCAGAGCAAAAATATCTCTGGCAACCCGCTTCCTTTGAGGAATGCAGCAAGAAATGAATTTATTGACTGAATTTAACCCATGTGCGCCCTACCTGGATTTTTCAGGTGTTCGATGGCAACACAGACCCGTATAATATTGTTTCTCATAAACTAAATCCACTCGTAAGAGCACGGTACATCCGTTTCCTACCAACCGCTTGGCATAAACACATCTCTATGAGGGTGGAGCTCTATGGATGTAAAGGTAATTAATAAACGGACAACTTTTAATTTAAAACATTGCCTAATTAAGTTTAAATCTCAGACTTACATCTATGAAGCGGACACCCATCCCCAACCTCCCCAAGCAGTTTACTTTTATCTCAGATACATTTTGACAAAACTTGGCGACGCACGGTCGCTTATTTTGGTTACGAGATATGAAACTATTAAAGGAGAGAGTTCAATCTATTTCCCAACAAATTTTTACAGCTTTACCCCATGAATATGGATATTATGGCAACAAACGAATAAAAGTGACAAATTATAACATGATACATGATAAACTACCAAAAGAAGGAATGTACAAAAGAAAATTCTCTTTAGCATTCGAAGAATTCAGTTAATTTTGTGATTCAATTTTAAAAAATAAAATCTTTCATGAGTCAATCTGACTAATGATCTTTCCTTAGGGACACCAAAATATGGCCACTGGTTCCTAGATGGTTCTGATTTAGATGTAAGGTTAGTATAACATATAAATAACCTACTGAAGAAACGTGATGATAATGGCGATGATGATGATGATGATGATGATGATGATAATAATACTCATAGTCATCATCATCGTTATCGTAAATGCTTTCATCATAGAAATTTTATCATGCATTTGATTGATATTCATAAGTCACTTTGTGCATGAAAGGAGAGTACCTTCATAATTTGTCGTAGTTTTCAAAAACGTTGAAAGATCTCTGGTGGTATGCTCTTTTTAAGCTTAATATTTCACATTGATTTTTACATTCATTGCTCTAATTTTCATGCCATAGATTTTTTGGTGCGGTCAACTACACTGACGGTTGGTGCCTTGGAAGTAAAGCGGCGTATTTCAGTCAAAAAGGCTCCTTTGTCACTGTGCCCAAAGTAAACATTACAAACTGCGACTTTACAATTGCTTTTTGGATTAAATCCGATGGTATTGAGGGACCTTTCATGGCGATTTGGTCTGTGAGTGGAAAGCTACTTTATGCAACAATAAAGAATTCCAGTGTCATCTTGTCGATACATAACACTATAGCAAAAGCAAACTTCGCAATCAGTGACTGGAATCATGTTGCCATTACCTGTGAGGACTGTAAGATCAAGGTGTTTGTAAATGGAACAGAAATTTTAATGAAGGAACAATGGAACGAGTTCTTCTTCTTATCGTCAGACCATCTTGAGACGGAAAATGTCCTAGGAAATCATCCAGTCCTGTTCAAGTTGCCATTGGTAAATAAACCTTTTGTTGGGGCACTGATGGACCTTCATGTAATCAAAACTGCCTTGTCTGCAAATCAGATTTCTGACTTGAGCAAAGGTAATCTGTTGTTATTAGGGAGTTTAACCAAATGAGTTTTTGAGTGACACCCGTCGAGCGGAAGTGAGCCGTTTTCGCTCTTTAAACATCTTGACGCTGCCAAAATTGTAATGCCTCGTTGTCTTGCTCTTATAAGGGACTTGACGATCCGACGACGCGACGGCAGCGAAAACGTCGCTCCGCTCGGGCGCAAATGATGCTACTCGGGTTACAAATACATTATATGCCCCCAAAAAGTCATGTGATTGTCATAGTGATCTAAAAATGCATACGGATAACACTGAAAAAACGGAAGTAATTTTGAGGTGGTCAAGAACTTGAGCGTCGTATAAGACGAGATGTCTAAACGGAGCTGATTAAAGCAGCTGGAGTGACAACCCTACAGTCGCGCAAGAATCCTCATATTTTGGTGTTCTTATCAGATCTTTATTGATCAGAAACAAAGAATTAAACCAAATCCCTTGTAGCCCACACACAAGTAAATAACCAACTGATGACGGTATATTTTTGTGCACCTAAGGCACGCCGAAAACTCCAGTTATTAACAAAAAGGAAAGCAAGATAAATGGTTGCAAAGTAAACCTCACATGGAGTCGTGACGTGTGTGCCACTACGAAGAACACCATACGCTTTAGGGTGATAAATCCACAGGGCTACAGAGCAGAACGCCGCGTAGAAGAGCATACTTCAGCGAAATTATATCATCTATTGACACTTGACTGCGACAAAATCTATCAGATTGAAGTGTCTTCGTGGATTGGAGAACTCCAGAGCGACTGGTCTACTCCTTGGCAAGTTCGAACTAACTCACCTAAGATAGAGCAGGAAACACAAGACGTCTACTGTAAGTACCGCAAGGGAACAAAATAATTATAGATTGCCTTAACCCAAACTGCGCTGGCGTTCCTCCTCAGAAGACATTCTTAGGGCCTCGTGACGCGTCGTTACGTGACTAGTCAAAATACCGTCTACGTGGAAGGCTACTTCTCCCAGGACAAGTGAGGCTTTATATCCGTTCATAGCCCTAAGGTCATGGATGATGCCATTAAATAAAAGACAAACCAGAAAATGCCGGCTGCAAGAAAAATCGTCCTAGAAGTACTTATAATTAATTCATCTCTCTATTATCTTGAACAGGGTAAATGGATGAGCAGGTCATTGCCACAATAATGAGCGACGTATAATATAAGTCACGTTCATGCAAACGAGAAAATTTTCTACCTTACCCTACGCGCACGGTCATTATTATTCAGAAGAAGGCCTAACTAACTGTGCATTATCCTCTTCATAATGTCCGTCAATTTTTTTTTAAATATAGGGAGACTCTACCTAATGAAGTCACAAAAATTCCGTGAAAGAAGCTTCATTACCCGAACTGATAAAACAGCACGAAATTCCAAGGCAAAAGCATAGTTACTTGATATGAAAAAAATCATTTAAAACTTGAAAAATCAAGTCAAATGAAGCCGTCTTTTTTACAACAGACCTTTTTTGGCCTCTTCCGCAGGCGAGATGGGGAAAACAAAATAGATTTTAAAAGTTATATTTGCCAAAAGTTCAGAATGCAAAAAAATACAAAAACAAACTCCCGTAACCGAGACAATAACACCTATCCTCTTATGGATGACGTACATGTAAATTGCATGCATTCCATATCTTTTACATTGATTTATTCCTGTCTTTCCAGCTAACGATGATGCTATAAAAGCGTTGGGAATAGTTCTTGGAATCACTGCTACTCTTGCGGCAGCAATTCTCGCAGGGATCTACCGAAGGAGGCAAAAAAGGGAAGAACGGTATGCTTTAATGGCACTGAAAAGTCAAGAGGGTTTACTCAACGCTTGTTTACAAAGTTGGACACTAACACTGACACTCGCGTCATATCCGACAATTTCTTCGAAAAGTAGTCCTCCGAGGAAATATAATAGTTTTTCTCGGACTCGAAAACCGATTTGTTGTCTTTTTTTTGCGCGGTGTATTTTCTGATTGACGAAAGATCTAAATACAAAATCGGGTCAACTTTTCTGTTCACCATATGTTTTCGTTAGCAAACCGGGCAGACAAACCGTTACGTATAAACTGGCCTTTAAATTATACATTACAATATGTGCTACAGGCCGTAACCTTAACAGGAAGGTGCAGTGTGTTTCTTTCGTTTGTTTGTTTTTCTGGTTTTCGCTTTTGATACAGACGACAGGTACGTAGCGTGCTCGGGCTAGAACGAAGACAGACATGCGCACTGGACCCCCGTTTCAACTCTAAGTCAAATTGTACTCAAGGAAATCGAGTAACTTCTATTGGTCTCCATAAAAAGGAATTTTCCGTAATGTGTCCAAGCAACAGAGGCGACGAAGCCTTTCGAAAAGTGGGGGTGGGGGGGGGGGCAGGTGCTCATCAAAGGGTCTTTTGTACACGGGTTTCCCTGTTCAAAGAACCCAATAAAGGCGAAACAGCTGTCCATGGCTGCCACTGCCCAAATTTGACCACCGCCTTGTTAGCTCAGTTGGGAGAGCGCCGGTCAGCTGAGCGCGTTGTTCGTTAGCACAGGCATATCTCTTTGTAGTCTTCACAGTGAAGATTGCGATTTGTGACAATGCATCAGCAGGCATTTGTTTAGGCGGTCCTGATTTATGATACTTTTTAGGTAACAAATCGTCTAGTGAGGGCACGAAATGGGCGCTTTGCAGTTGCCGATGTCACAGGTAAAGTCAAATACATCCGTAATGGCGATTGCAGACTTTTATCGGGGGCTAGGGACCACCCTGCTCCTCCGCTTACGCAGTAAGAAAAACCGTTCTTCCTACGCAGTTTCTTCATAAATCGATCATGTACAAAACACAATTTTTTACTAATATTGGATGTTTCCTATTTAGATCCAAGAAAGAAATTGTTCATTTTATGTTACTGGAAGTGCCGCACGAGCGAGTAACCTTCATGGAGGAACTTGGTCGAGGGGCTTTTGGCAAGGTTCATAAAGGTGTGATGAAGGAGGTAACAAACGCAAATATATATCCCGATACCAGTAAAAGAAATCCAAATGTACATTCCAAGAACCGCCTACGAACATTGAAGGGCAATAAGGGACGAATTGTTGCTGTTAAAGTCCTTCTTGGTGAGCTATTACGCCATTTTCGATGAATGTTTACAAATCATGTTCGATTAGCACGTTGTTAACGTAAATAAAGTTTGTGTAACTTTAGTATAGTCGATCGAAGTTCACTCCCATGTGGGATCAAAGCTTTCTCTTCCGACAATCTGGCGGACTCATAAAACCTGGTCTCGGTCGTTCTTATTGAAGGATTTTCTTCTTCTGTTGCCAAAGAGGCCGTTGAGGAGAGCTTCCGCTGTATCTTTTGCGTATTGTTGTTCTCAAGTTAAAAATCTATTCAACTGGTGCTCCATACTAGTCCAAGTGGGGAGGAGCGTCGCGTGACAAAAACTAAACACGGCTGTGTAGCAGACTACAATCTTGGACAAAAACATAGGCACGTTAAACGTGCATGAGCTATTTTGAATGCTTCAGTGTAACTTTAATGCTTCAGTGTAACCTTACCCAGAGTGATGAATCTACGTTTTTCGTCCTAAATGTAGACTGGGTTTTTGTGCGCGATTGAGCATTGCCGTAAATAAATGAAAAAGCGAAACGCTCAGCTGCGTCGATCCTCATGCTACTTTCCTCTGTCTTTCCCTGTTACATTTGGTGCAATTTAAACAAATTGTTAACGTAAAATATATGTCTACTCACCAAACGTTGATTAGAGGGAAAACTCTAAGGTTTCCTCGGAGTTTCTTAAGCCAAAATGTAACTCATCGAATTCGAGTAGTTACGAAATACCAGGATTTTTATCATTGTGGTATATGGTTGCATCATCACAATTCACGAGGTTTTCACGTGCGATTCTACTCAGTGAAACAGTGTTTAACTCTGACAACTTATTTCTTCATGTTTTAAAAGCTATTACTTCTTAAAAGACAAGAGCCTTTTTTAAGGCATTGGTTACAAAACAAAACAGGTCTTCATACGTTCAAGTCACTATTAGTATTGTGAAAAGCCAATCTGTATGAGATGTACAATCACACAACTGGCACGTGAAAGTGTTGGACTTTGCCCCCTTTCGTGGTTCGTACGTGAGGGAATTCGAGTTATCACACAGTAATCGAGTAAACAGAATTATAAAAATAACTCATGCACACAATTTGCACGTGAAGATGTTGGTCTTTGACCCTTTTACAATTCGTACTTAAAAACAAACGCAAATTGTTTACTACAAAATTTTCTCAAACGATTTTAAGAAATCACCTCGGCTTCATTACAACAGCTGCAATTATATTATGTTTCATGCAACGTCAAGGTTGATAGCCTAACATTTATTAACTTCCAAGAAAATTATCAAACTGCCAAAATATATTTCTGCTCATATCATGTTACTCCACTCAATAAAGCAATATTTAATTATTGTGTCAACTAGCTTCTTCCAATTTTATTCCCTAACGCTACTGTTTCTACTTAAGTTTACGCATCTTTATAGAATACGTTTCAATAACTATAATGCTTAGTATGCAGGAAGGATGTATCATGTTGTTCACTTATTATTCCTTTTTGTTGTTGTTTTACCGGAACGAAAAAGGTCTGTTGAACTTTGTGAGCGAGAGAATAATATTTCTACAGCTTGTTTACAGGATTAACAATACTCGGTACAGCTTTAAAAAAATTAAGCTGCTTTTCAAACTTCTAAAACCACATTTTATAGGCCGCATACTTTCGAATTAAAGTCCATATCTAAATATCAATTATTGCTTCACTGGAAGAGCTTTGAAAATATATGATCGTTTATACTCTACCTTGAAGCAGGTGGAACACAACTCATAAATACGTGCGTGGTACCGTTCGCGATAGCCGAATTCGGTCAGAAATGTCTTGAAGTAGCATCCACACTAAAATATGAACCCTTAAACAGCTGCATCACTGTACACAGCGTTTGAATCATGAAGATATTTAATGTAATGTTTCCAAACACCTGTAGCCGTAATAAAAGACGAACAAATTGTAAAGAATCAAGATGGCGGTCTTAAAGTGCCCTTGTTCGACCTTTAGCAATGTGATTTTTAAGTAGATGCCAAGATCTCATTGGTTCCTTAGCATCAACTCATAGTACCTTCAACCTTATTGGCTCTTGCAACAAACATCCGAACATACAAAGTTACAAAGATACAAAGATACAAAGATACAAAGATACAAAGATACAAAGATACAAAGATACAAAGATACAAAGATACAAAGATACAAAGTTACAAAGATACAAAGCCACAAAGATACATACGCTCACACCACTGACATATGAGCTATTTTTTCAAAATAGCTCAATAAAATGGAACAGCAAACCCCCATCCCCCCCCCAAAAAAAATCAAGGATGAAGCCGCGCGAAGGGCAAAAACGCGCCATTTTCGCATCCTTGATTTGGGGGGAGGGGGGGAGGTCTAGGTTTTCCATTTATTTTGTGCAAGATTGTACCTCCATGCAGGACCGGAGTCTTCCTGTTCCTCTGCGATACAAGGTCTCTTCTGCCTCAGACTTGAGCTTAATCAATATGCCATGTCACTTCCTTTGCGTGGGTAAGCAGCTCACAAACCCTCTAGATATTGTTTTTCTTGACTGATTTTAACTGATATCCTTTTGTTCATTAACTCCCGTTTCTATTTAGAAAAAGCTGGAGAGGAGGAAAAACGACAGTTTCTTCAGGAAATTGACCTAATGAAGGACGTTGGATCGCATCGAAACATTCTTACCATGCTCGGTTTTTGGACTCGGTCAGAGCCCATCATGTTGATCATGGAGTATGTTCCTCACGGAGACCTTCTGAAGTGGCTTAGAAACAAAAGGCAGCAAATAAAGCTTGTTACTGTACGTATCGATTTTTTGCCATTTTCTCACTAATAAAAATTTATATCAGCTTATTTGTTGCCCCGTTTCATTTCCTATAAATGTATAGCCTGGAGCATTTCTCAAAATGTAAAGAAAATTCAAATTTTTTGAACATGTCTTCAATTCCTGTTAACTAATTAATTTATGAAGCATTGATAATACAACCAGAAACATGACAACGACTCTTTGGGTTAAAAAATGATAAATACCAGGGAGAGTAGACAGTATAGTGTACCATGTTGAAATTTAGGTATAGGTATAGGTGTAGGTATAGGTATAGGTAAATCATTAATATTCACATACGTTTCTGCATACTAATTCGGTATAGGTAAAGTCTCAGCATTTCACGTACCGTTAGTCAGTTAATTATGCGAGTTCGCACGCCCAAAGTTGAATACAAATTAGCTCTACAGTAAGAACCCAAGGGAGCACCTTGGCGTGTTTTTATAAAAACACAAAACAATTAATAAATTAAAAAGGATCAATTGAAACACGCGACTAATAAATCGCAATAAAACCAGCCACGTTTCTTAAGACACAACTTTATGATCAACTTTATGATCCTTTATTAAAATAATTGCAAAAATATTAGATTAAAGATTCTATTAAAATAGTCAAAGAAGGCAAGCTAGCTCTTTTTACACTAGGGATAAGGATTTCAAGGATCATAAAGTTGATTTCTTGTGTCTTAAGAAACGCGTCTGGTTTTATTGCGATTGATTATATGGTCGCGTGTTTCAATTGATCGTTGTTAAGGTATTAATTGTTTTGTGTTTTTATAAAAATACGTCAAGGTGCTCGCTTGGGTTCTTACTGTAGAGCTAATTTGTATTCAACTTTGGGCTTGCGAACTCGCATAATTAACTGACTAACCGTACGTGAAACGCTGAGACTTTAGTAGTTTTTCTTTTCCTCGAGAAAGAACGGAGGAAACAGTTTTGTAATAGTCAGACAGAATTGAAATAAAGAGTCTTCAGCTCTACTTTCTGTATGTGTGTGTATTTTGTTTATATATCCGATTTTTAGCGCTAAATAAAAGACATAAGCCGTTTCTTGCGTTGCTAGGTGATCGCTCCTTTTATTCCTATTTTTTAGATAGACCTTCCGGCAAACCGGCCTCAAGTTAATTACCGGGCCAGTCTAGGCAAGCCTATTGTGCATATAGTAGTAGAAAGACGCTCATTAGTAAACCTATACCCAATTAGTATGCAGGACGGTATGTGAATATTAATGATTTACCTATACCTACACCGAATTAGTATGCAGGAAGGTATGTGAATATTAATGATTTGCCTATACCTATACATATAGGTGGTTTTCATGCAATCTCGGGAGACACAAATAACAATGGTGAAATGAACAAATGCTGGTGGACAAACAAAGCGAGCTAATGAGCGATCTTTTGTTTACCGTCCACCAGCATGGCGGCGATGACGTAACGTGAAAACCACCTATACCTATATCCGGTTAAGTTTCAACATAGTATCCTACTGTAGACACTCGGACGAAAGGGGCGGACGTATATGCCCTACTCAAAGGTTTTCCTCTAATTTGTTTTAACCTGAATTTTCGGCAAAATTTAGGGTGACAGCAAAGATCATAGCCATTGTAAATGAAGCAACTAGCTGCAACGCCATTTCCCACAACATTTCTATCACCTTGCAGAGCTTGTCGCAGTCTATAATGAAAGACTTTTGTATATTTAAAACACCTAAGAAGAGCCAAAACCACTGCAGTGGAGAAAGAAACACTCTTTTAACTGTAACAAGGGAAATGTATGAATTTGCTTTTACATTCTAAATCCAAAGGTTGATATCGTTTTCTTGAAAACCGGTAATTTATTTGGTCTGAAATCAGAAAATATTATTTCTAAAGAAAGAAATGTCTTAAGCTGTAGCTATGTCGTATGGTTATTGGGCTTTCGTCGGTGTAGAAAATGATCTTTTGGCTCGGATAAAATTGCTTCACCAGTCTATATTATATAGAATATTAATTTGTAGACCAAATCATGTTTGAACTACTTGCAGCTTACAAAGAAGAATAATGACCATACCGATGTCTTAGAAAGTCAGAAGAAAAACATGGATGGTCGAGAGATAAAAGAAGGAAAGGTCAAAAATGAAAAACAAGAGGAAAATGGCTCCAAACAACTGCAAGAACTAGAAAATCCACACAAATCCAAGGAAACCGATGTTGACACCAAGGTTGAGCGCCTACTTGAAATACTACCTCAGTGTTCAACTTTGGAAAAAGAAGAGACAGCATCGCTGGGGCAGAGCTCGAGAAATCTCCCAGAAGTTGCTACAAACCTTGTTATAGCAGGAGGCGAAGGACCCACTCATCAGCTCATGTCCTATGACGAACCGAGGGGAAGCGATGGAATAACCCTGACTATAGAAACAGAGGATAGGAACAGCGATGCTAATGGAAAGCAAAAGGAAATAGAAAGTTCGGAAAACGAGAAAAGCAAGTCCAAAGGTGATGCCATGAAAGTATACGTATCATCTCCAGAAACCAAACCTGGTAAAGAAGAAAACGAAAAGAGGGTACCGTCATTACCACCGATCTTTAAAGACGACCAGTTTCCTGAATCCCATAAAAGGGCAACAGTGAAAGCCTCTACAGAGCACGACGAAGGCACTTGTGACATCGACAATAAAGATCACGTTTTTTCTGCAGATGATCTGATGAGTTTTGCGTGGCAGATTGCTAGGGGAATGGTAGGTCAAGTCTTTGCTATGGGAAAGGAATCATACGAACAAACACTAACAATACATCCGAAAATAAAGATTTTGTTTTTTGCCTTAAGTTTCATATATATTCGACAGCGACTATAACGTGAAATAGGGGCACCTCTGAAACTATTGCACGTATAGTACAACCTCACATCATACGCGTTGCACACAAACCGATAACCACTTTAGGGACTGGTCAAAAAGTATAGGGGGGGTGGGCCGGAGCATTTGGAAATGTGGTTGTTAAAAAACACATGACCCACCCCCTCCCTTCGGCACAAAAATGACTGACCCACCCCTAAAGCAAGGTTGGAAATTGCATGACCCACCCCCTAGTTAAAACATGGATGTTTGGTTTCCTCTAAGGCCATCCCCTTTTTTTTCTTCGTTTACCGTCGAACGCGTTTCCTGATATTGGGTCGGTCGGTCGGATTGAAAAAATAAACTTAAAAAAAATCACAAGAACTCTCGGAATAGTAGGCCCTGGTACCCCAGGACGACGTTAAAAGTTAACATTCACATATTTGGATTAACAAAATGTACAATATACTGTGAAAAATGTTCATGTTTTTGTTCCTGTTTTTCTCTATGCTGTTACTGTGCTCATTTTTCAGATTAAAAGAATTATTTTAAGTGAAAAATGGTGTAACTACGTCGTTACTTTTTTTTGTTTTGAAAATGCCAAATATTTGGGTCGGTCGGATGACGGTAAAAAGAGAAAGAAAAAGAGGATTGCCTAACCTTGTTCCGTGCTTGACAAAATTTGTTGATACACTGCTACAACCAATATCAAAATCACAGAAATCATACCTTTCACTGAAAAGACAAATGTGAAAAACCGAACATTTCTTGTTTCGATGGACGTTATGAGTCTTGACACAAATATACAGCAAAACGAGGGTATATTGAAATTGTCTGTCACAAAGCATATGAAAATTTCTACAAAGACAACCCATTCCTACAAAGAAAATTTCTTCCACTTCAATGGAAAGCACTACCTACAAAACCATGGAACTGTAATGGGCACAAAGACAGCAGTTTTGATTCTTTTACAACAACTCTAAGCAAAACTGTCTTTAGAACAACATGTTGGAAATGCGACATACACGATATCTTTTCCCTATGGGACATAAGTAAACCAGACATCGAAGCCTTCATTGAACAAGCAAACTTACATCACCCAACTAAATTCACGGCCGAAACATTTGACACTGAAATGCAGCGTTTTTAGACACGGTTGTATACAAAGGCACAAGATTCAAGAAAATATCTATCCTTGATGCAAAGACACATTTTAAACAAACGGAAACCTTCTTGCACACACATTTCACCTCGTGTCACCCTCCAAGTGTTAAAAAAGGATTTGTCAAAGGAGAAGCCTTGAGAATTCTACGAAAAAACTCGTCAGAAACAACCTTTGAGGAAAAATTTAAAACAAAAATCGCTTGATGGACAGAGGCTATCCACAAACTTTGATAGAAGACCTACTATCAAAAATAAGATTCACAAAAACGAGTCTAAACTCCTAAAACAAAACATACAAGGAGGAAAAAGAAATATTGCCATTTGTGACACAATACCAACCCTCAATGTCTACTATAAAGGAAGCTTGAATAGTAAAAATGGAATCTTATACAAAACCAACCATAACTTCAATAAATTTTTAAGGAACCACCAATCATTTCCTTACAAAAAAGGAAAATCATTAAAGGACATGCTCGTTAGAGCCAAAAAAAAAAGTTACGCCCGTATAGATGCATGTGCGGCCTGTCACCTGTTGCATTTTCTCGCACAACAGGTTTGTGAGTATTTTAGCAATAATTCCAGCTGGCTGTGTTTTATATAACAAGTGTGGTCAACTGTCTCGTTAGTAGTTAGTGCCTATCTATGTAATAAAATAGGCTGACCCACCCCCTAAGGGTAGCTGAAAATTGCACGACCCACCCCTTCGACAAGGCTCAAAACCTCATGACCCACCCCCTCTCTGCTCCGGCCCACCCCCGCCTATACTTTTTGACCAGTCCCTTACGACGACGAATTACCAACGTCAAAGACAAAAGAAAAACTGGAGGACAGACAGGGAGCAGTTTACAAGATAAAAAGCTACAACTGCCATGCTACTTACATTGGTAAGACCGACAGAAACCTTAGCACGCGACCGACTGAACACAAACGAGCCACAAGAAATGGTTATGTCAACCATCACATTGCTAAACACCATTTACAGACGAAACATCAAATCAGCTTGTATTACGTAATCTACATACTACTATCAACGACTCATTTTAGAACGCTGGTTTACAAACTTAGAGCAAATCTCACTGAATCGTAATCAGCAGTTACCGGCACCATACAAGTTACAAGAGAATGACTGCACGACCGGCAATTCGACTAACAATAAACGAATTAATGTTAAACTCTGACAATAGACGGATCGAAACGCACCATAGTCTTCACAGAATCTTCATAGCCAATGGCATTACGGCTTAATTGGCAAACTACCAATAACATCGCGACTTAATTGACCAAACAGGCCAATAATCTGAACAGACGTAATCCAACTCACTTTAACTCTGAAGATGACTCCCGCACAGGTTGTCGAAACGTCAGTCACTGTCAAAAACAGTCCTTTTCAAGGCTTCGTTCACCCGAACGATCAAGGTAGAAACTACTTTTGAAATGACATCCTGAGTTCACACCTTTCACAGCTAAAATAATCTGTTGCCCACAAAAAGGGGTTAAAAACTACTCAAAAAATGGCCTTACCTTGTTATGTTTTGTCAGAACTGGTAACAATGGTAACAGGCAAAATCTGTCTAAGAAGTAAATAAACAGCTACAGTGAAGAAATGGCTTCAGGCAAAGCGCTAACAAGTAGCTAGAAAACACTAAGTTTTTCATCAAACTTCCTCTAGGAATACTTGGCCAGTAAAGGATTTGTTCATCGTGATCTGGCAGCACGTAACATCTTACTTGGTGAAAACAAAGCGGTGAAGATTTCTGATTTTGGTATGCTACGCCGCACAGGTGAAAGTGAGATATACAAGGTGGCAACCGTTAAGGAACTACCCATAAAATGGACAGCACCCGATTCATTGCAGACTGGAATTTTTACTTCCAAGAGTGATGTGTAAGTTAAAATTAAATTTTGCAAGGTTTGTTAGGCCTGTTATCACCTACAACACAGGTATAAGAAAGAGCCACATACCAAGACAGAGAAACCTACTACTGGGTCATTTCCTTCCTATGCGTTGTTCACCATAGGCAGCTTTTAGACATTTTCCTTAATAAAAGCTCTTCTAATAGATGTTCTAAAACATTAATGGCTAACACGTACCATTATCACTTATCATCCCTTTCTTTTAAAAGGCAGGGGTCTGGGTTCCAATTTACTCTAACCAAAAGAAGATTGCATACGTCCTAGCTGACGATTTTAGAGCCTGTGTTTAAACCCTTTGTTCCCAGTTACACAATAGGCCACTTGCACGATGGCGTCATTTTACAACTACTACCAGAATCCTTCAGGGCTTTGCTTTCTTGTGCAAATTATGGCTATTTGTTTTTTACACTTCATTGGTTTTACCAAATTTAAATACCAAAGAAAAAACGAAATGAATTCTCGTCTTAGAAGTAAAAAGACGTCACTGTGCAAATGGCTTATATACTGTATTTCTCCCCGTCCTCCCATGACTACCATGTAAGGGGCCACCTTCCACTGAGTAAAACTCTGTGTCATTGCATGCTTCGCTAAGAACCTCGTGATGAATAGAATCACAGCAAGTAGTCAGCAGGCTGTTGATTTGTCCATACCACGATACCCCTCTAAACTGTTAGCATGCAATGAAACTATTGACCTTTCCGGTTACATTTGGAAAAAAGCAATTATTGATCTAAGGATTCGCAGGCAATCAAAAGTAATTTCTCTCTTCCTCTCATCCGAATTTTTTTCATTATAATTTTTAATATGTTTCACCGATTATTTGTTTTCATCATACTGTGCCTTGTTCCTTAGATGGTCCTTCGGAGTTGTTTTGTGGGAAATGGCTACCATGGGTAAGATATATTAAATGCTTTGACTGATGTTAGAGTTTAACGATTGTCCATTGCATTTCTTTGCTTGTTTTATTAACAACATAATTTTGTACCCAGATCTCCCGTCGACGTGGCCGAAGGAGAGATCTGGTCAAATCCGTACGCTGCGTGCTCGCCGGTCAGGCGCACTGATTTATAACAAAGTCCAGATAAAACGCGCACTCTGCTTGGTTGCAAATGCATTACTTTATGAGAGTATAAAACACACAGCTAAAGGTGTCGCATCATCTGCCGAAAGTTTGTGCATGGGGAATTTAACGGATTTTTTACCATGAAACAAATAAAGAAGCCTTGACACTGTGCTCTGTTTTGTTTAAAAGCACGCAGGAAACGGCAAGAGAACGCAAGTAGGGAGAAACACTCTACTAGGTCTCGGTTTCCCCAACTATTCTTTCGTGCTCTAGCTACTTCCGGCGTGCTTTACAACAGAACAGAGTATAGTCAAAGCTTTTATATTTTTAACTGTGTTTTTACTTGACCTGATCTCGTACTCGGCTTCGTCGACGAGAGATCTGTGTACAAGATCACTATCAACGTTGTGAGTCAATGGTCACGCGCCACAATAACTAACAGTTCTTGACAGACGTAATGTTAGCTTAAAAGTTCTCTAAACCTTCCCCACTGATATTTAAATTGAACATTTTAGGGGGAACTCCTTATCCCGGAATCAACCATGCCCAGTTGTACAATCTCCTTAAGAAGGGGTATCGCATGGAACAACCAAACACTTGCAGTGATGAAATGTAAGTAAACTTATTGTAAATGACTCGCAATTAATACTTGTACCAAACAAGAAACATAATTTAATAACATCTTTTAAAAACAACATCGTTACGCTATAGGCATGATCATCTTTTAAACGTTCATAACAAAGCCGCGTTCTCGACTACTTCTTTCACTTCATCGGTAAAACGCCAGGGGTATAGTACAATATACTTCGATTGACTTTATCATGACAATCACGACTCTCTGGCAGGTACTCATGCGACTTGATTGCGACAAAAAAATCAGTGCAACTGGCGAATATAACGCCAACGCAAGTAGATCGGAGGCAGAAAAGAACCAGGCTCAACTCATTCACGTTTCTTTGACGTCATGAACGTTAAGAACTACCCGCTATTATTTTCCTCTTTAAAACCGGTAATTCCATCTCTGCTATACTACTCACAAGGGAAATTTCGTTTTGCTGAAGTAAAAACCAAATCTTAGGTAATCTCTCTCGGCAAAACAACGTATTGTAAATACCTTGAACCCATTATTCGTCTCGTAACCAGGTGAAATGTGATCATTCAGGTAAGTGTCTTATGGAAAAGATTGTTGTTAACAGTGATTGCCTATTCGAGAACAGTGATCATCAGAGTTCAAAGTGAGTTGCGTGTCGTAGCTTGACGACAATTTTGGCTAGCGTCATAATTGGGTAACTTGAACAGAGCATAATCCAGAATATTTTTTTCTCGACAGATACAAGTTAATGCTGGACTGCTGGAGGGATGACCCGAATGAACGACCCTCATTCACCGAAATGATACCAACCCTTGAAAAAATGATGACAGCTGATACCCCATATTATGATTTTACACTGTTAGATGAGAGCCAGGAATGTTACAATGATCAATGCCCCAGCACTAGCGAAACTGTGGACACTCGCTTGTGATGACTCCAAAGTGAGTCGACCTGACTTGTCACTCTGTTAACGTAGGGCTAGTGTGCAGATTACTCAGTCTAGAGTTAATTAGGAATAAAGGACACTTTTTTTAGTTAAATGTACCTAAGCTTCTGACATTATGGCTGCTGTTTAGGGGCGTAGACTGTAGTGACGATCAAGTTAACGTTAACAGGTGCTTCAGTTCAATATTATATAGTTTTATCCAAGCCTAAAAGCGAAGCTTCCGTCTGTATACTGATAACAAAGGCAACAAACTTAAAGCCATTATTATATTAATTAAATAACCAACTTTAGTCCCCTCCTTAGGAGGGAGGGGTTAAGAGATTTAAGAAAAAACATCCTTTAACATATGTAATTGTAAATCAAGTTCGACCATTGTAGTAGGTCTGGAAATGAATTCTTCCCAAACTACACCACAGAGAGTCTGAGAACTCCCACCGCCACGCCAGGAGCGGGGAAGAGGAGCAAAGGATAATTTCTACATGAGCATCAATTTTTTATATCCTCATGTCATGAAAGAAAGTTCCACTCAAGTCTAAGATATTCACAAAGACCTTACTTTTAGTACTACACTTAGCCGGTGAATTCTGATTTAGATAACCAGTATGTGTTGATGCTTTTGTAATAATGTCACTCGACTGTTACCAAGGAGACCATGTGTAATGAGTGTGCGTGGCCCTAAAATAGTGAACTTACGCAACAGGACGGGAGAGGAAAGAAGACGGCAAACCTTGTATTGACAAACATGACCATAATATTATTGTTTCAAAAAACTTTCCGCCAAACTTCACCTTGCTTTAAACAAATCTTTTTGTAAAAGACCAGAAATCATTAATGTTTTAAAAGTGAAGATCAAAACAAAACATGCAAGTAATAGCCCTGTCACGTTTGTCACACACAAACGTTTTGCCGTACTCTTCTTTCAACAGTCCCGTTGCGTAAACTCACTGCTGTTGGAAGAGCTGTGCAAACGGATCTAACATTGTTGCGCTACGTTTCGGCGATCACGGAACAAAAGAAATGTTGGGAGTTGTTGGCTCAAAAGTTTGACCGATTTGAAACTTTGTGCAACAACTCCCAACAACATGCAACAGGGTGTGCAAACGGACGCAACATGTAACATCCAACTATGTTGCTACCGTTTGCACAGGGCTTTAGAATAAATTGCGAAGGATTTTTTTTTCGGAAGAACATCATTTAAAAGAGAGGTTTCCTTCCAATAGGTAATAACTAGCAATTTTGCATCGAGTTCAGTTTTACTTGCATGGCTGCGTCTATATAAGAGACACAGGTGGCCATAGATTTGTGTTAAGAGCTGTTCTTTTTAATAGCAAAAACGTACCGGTTTAGGACATTTTGATTGTTTTCCTTCATCAGCTTCTGAGTGCTCGTTCTTGTGCACATTACAATGAGCCGCACAAGCATACCTGCAAAATATGAGAACGACGAAAAATATGGTCTGTAAGCCCGTCACTGCAATTTCACTAAATCACCCAAAGGCTACACAAATGTCTGACAAAATTGAAAGTTTTCAGGTGATGTGATTGCCATAATTTGGAAGGGGTACAGATCAAAAACTAATATTTCCAAGGGATTTAGTGAAAGTATAAACATTAACAATTTTACTTATGAGGGGAGTAATCCCAGGAATGATTCTCTAAAAGGCTCAGGAAAAAACACCCCATCAATAGTGGGAAGAGGAGGGGGTGGATGTTAAGTGAAATGGCCCATTATCATCTGATACTAAAATTAACTGTACTATCACTAATGAGGCAGCATTTGTTTCCTATAAGTACAGGCCTATTATTAACAGTGAATGGCTCAGTCATTTTTCGTAATTATTCTACAGTTTGTCAACATTATCTGACTACAAAGACTGCATGTTGTGTATTGCATTCACAGCAAAACTAGTGCTATACATGTAATTTAGAGACAGATAATACCGTAAATTCTCTGTTAAGCCCCCCTCTTAAATAAGACCTGCCTTTTCAGGGGAAGAAAGTAATAAGCCCCCTCTCTTTTTCTTTTTTAAGCCCCCCTCCCTTCCTTCCTCCTATCATTCTTCACTAATAAATGATATACTGTATTAAGCAATCATAACAGTAACACTTCGAATGGACTGATCCAGGATGGTTTATTCACTTGTGGAAGTTCAGATTAGATTTTGATCCTCGGCTGCATGATCTCCAATCGTACTTGTGGAATGAGCTTCTACACTTGGCATTCTAGTTTTTTATGGGGAACTGATATTATCATCTTTGCTAAAATAAATATCCCCCCTTCTCAAATAAGCCCCCTGTCTCTATTAATCTCCTCCCTCAAATGTGCTTGAAATAAATAAGCCTACCCCCACTTCTGGGGGCTTAATAGAGGATTTTTTGTAGTAGACAGATAATGGCTCCATCTAGTTAACTTAACCAACCTAGCTATAAATAGATATTTTTAAGAAGTTCATGTTAAACATGATAGTGTGCTTTGCTGAAAAAAGCAGGATGTTAAAGACTATTATATTGTTATCACATTGATTCATGATTAAATAGAAAGATTATCAACATGTCTTTTTACTTTTTCCATGTACAAAACAGTTATTAACAGTAATTAACAACAAAGTCAAAAGCAACCTGTACAGTACACCTGCATTATATTATAAATTTTATCAACAGATGAATTATGAGTTGATCTCTCTGACTGAATTAAATCCAAAAAATAATAAGGCCTGCATCTGTGCTGAATGTATGTTTTCTTTTGTAATCATGTCCGTGAATAAAGGCCAGGGGTGGAGAATGGCCCCTACTGCTCACCAAATCTCCCATTCATGAAATTAAGGCAAGGGGCGTCTATTAAATTCCTCAAAAACAGGGAGCGGTCTAATTTCTTAAGCTTTCAACATAAAGCAGAATAAATTAACAAAAGATTTCCTAGGTATAAGTTCAATACATGCTACGAAAAGGGCCTTACCCTGAATGAGCACCCAACCCCAAGGCAATAATATCAAACAAGCACCCCTCTCAAATAAGTGTTAAGATGAATGTGACAATCTGCATTTAAAAGTTTGACGAGGATGATAATAAGAGAATGATGAGACTAAGATATTCCACATTTTTTAAACTTGTCTACCAAAACATCTGTGTGTGAAGTGTGTAAAGAGGCTAGGATACACTTATTACTAACCACAGTTTTATCAAACCAAAAACGTCAATATTGACTTAAACCTGGATGATCTGTTCAGCGGTGTATGACATTTGCAGACTGCAGACTGCAGACTGCAGACAGCAGACTGCAGACCGCAGACTGCAGACTGCAGACCACAGTCTGCAGAATGCAAATTAAAAGACACCAAAAATCTTCCCAATAAAGGTGACACCATCAAAAGTGTAACATCGTGTGAAGTGAGAAAGTAGCCTGGGAACAAGGTTGATATTTTTGCACAAAGTTACATTGGCCTCATTTCCAAGATGCTGTTGGCTATTCTTCACCGACGCGACTCTTTATTGACTCATCCGGCATATCACTAATTGCGTTGATTCTTTATTCTTCTTTGATTATTGTGAATTGATAATGACATGTAGCAATGCCCACTAATGCCTGTCTAAATAGTAGTCTTCTGTAAAAAAGATTGCGAGCACTTCGTGCTCACTACAGTTACGTCAACAAAAACAACTAGGATAGATCACGGACATTTAACACCTTTTAAATGACGTATTTCATCTTATTTAAGGATATGCTAAATAATCTAAACCGAACTGATCCTACCTGGACTTGACGAATTACCGGAAGTGCATTTTGAATTTCTAAAGAGACAAATCGACAATGGCTTTTTTAACAGGCCAATCATTACTCATACTCAAATCCTAGTACACAGGTGGGGCTCCCGCAGAATAAGGATTCCGGCGCTGTTTCACAGACAGACTTAAATAACCAGAGTTTAGTTTCGTCTGTGGTGCAGGCTAAATTGATAGCTTGTTGCTATAGATTCAAGAGCGAGTTTGTGACATCGGCAGACATTATTCTGCTCTAATTCAATACAAGAAGAACAGCCAACAACTTAAAGAGGAATGAGGTTGGTGTAATTTGCGTGAAAAATATAAACTTCGCTTCTAGGCCTTACATGTACTTCTCGGAACAAGGTAATGCTGGGGATGATGCCACCTTTATTACGATATTTTTGGTTTCATTCAATTTACAGTCTTGCTGCCTCATGACTGCAGTCTGCAGTCTGCGGTCTGCAGTCTGCAGTCTGCAGTCTGCAATCTGCGGTCTGCAATCTGAGGTCTGCAGTCTGCAGTCTGCAGTCTGCAGTCTGCAGTCTGCAGTCTGCAGTCTGCGGTCTGCAGTCCGCAGTCTGCAAATGTCATACACCGGTAGCTTATCGGGCCCAAGAAAGTTACCTTTTGACGCATTTTCACTCACAAATGACGTTGGTTTTCAAAAAATAGGCTAGCTATACGCGTGCAGCATGTTAGACCATTTTACAGTTACGAGCTTTATAGTACCCTTTGATACATTAAACCTCTTTCCTTTCCTTACGAAAATCATGCTAATAAATACTAGTTAGCATAAGAGCAACATGATTTACATAATAAAGCAGGAAGGGTTGCGTCAAAACAAGGCCAACTCTAGCCTCGTTTGCACCCGTTACTGTGAAATGGACTTTTTCAGACTATTTCACACAGTTTAATGATATCAAAAGAGTCGAAACATATACGCATAAATGATCAATGTCTGGGGCTGTACGGAAATTTTACCGTTAATTATATTCTTAAATATAAGGTTGAATTATAACGTTTGGTTTACTTACCAACGCGTCGACCCAACAACTGTATTGAGGGAAAAAATTGTGCTTCTAGAGAGTCGATTTAATAAGTTCCACCATGCCTGTGTTCTGTTCAGAGGAAAATATCCAGTGGTAAAAAAAACTAAACGGATCCAGGCGTTGATAAAAACCCCTAGATGCGTTCTTTTGGTGTGCTAGCACGTGGTACTTTCCCCAAAAACTGTTATCATGAACGTTCAAGCTACAGATTTGCCGCCATACTGGTTTCTTGGACTTTTTTCTTGACCCCAGGCTTCACTCAATCACAATTTCGCTGACGGGGAAGGCGTGGTGAAGAGCAATACTTATCAAGACGCTCTTTGAGCTTTTGAGCGTGGGCTCGGGCTACCTTTGTAAGCGCGCTTTCCATTTGTCAGCACCTTTCCCTTTTAATCAAAACTCTCCAGCCAGATCAGACAAATCTTAAACAGTATGCACTAAAGAGATGGTTTTTCAGCAAAAACTCTCGAAAACTGACTGGTCGGGCAATGGTCCGGCCGCGGCCAGTTCTGACAAATAGAAAGCGCCCTAAGATACAATGTTTTTGGAGAAAACAAATTAATTTAGTTGTACTACTTTATAGGGTCAAATGATCATGATTTACAGCACAGGCATACAGCCATCGCGTTTGCACGTTGGAATTGTTTGTTGTTTTTAATATAAAGTTAAAAAAATACAATTTTAATATAAAAAATAAGAAAATATATCGGCGGCAAGTAACAGAAGAATATACAGAAAAGAATCTAGATATGACAAAACCTAAGTGAGTGATATTTAAACCTAATTAAAACGAGTGATATTTCGAAATTGTTATACGTAATTTCACGAGCTGTTTGACGAGTGAAATTTGAGACAATTTTGAAATATCACGACTGGGATTTATACCAAATATTACTACAAATCATGCATTTACCTATACGAATTTTCTATATGGGTATAAAATTTCGCGCGGCTTTTAATTTCGTAATTTTTTTACAATCGCGAAAAACGCGAAATTAAAGGAAAAACGTAAAGGATTCTGGTCGTAGTAGTAAAATGACGCCATCGTGCGAATGGCCTGTTATGCTATTATTTGTTTATACTACTACCCGCGAAGGGTTTGTCATTTTCACATGTAGGTATTTCAAATTAAGCTGAAATACCACTGCTCTAAGCCTAACTAATTGCGGAAATTTCTCACGTAGTAGCATAAAAATAACAATTGACATGTAATAGCAACGAGACGTATCGACAAGTACAAATTGCCTTCTTTTTGCGGCATATGTCTATTTTCATTGTTTGGATATAAAGGGCAGTAGGCAGGAATTTCTTGAAAAAGTAAGTTTATTAGACTGGTAAAACTGAAAAGTGCGTCCAAGAATTAAAGTTTAAGAGGATTTTGAAACTGATGTCAATTATCAGTATTTGTTAAGTTGATATCTTTTTAATGCAATACTGGCTCTAACAGTCTTACTGTCATTAGTAGTTTTTATTCCATGTCATTGCTGCCAGTCGATTAACAACAATGTTCATTACTTTCCCTAAAAGGAAAAAAATCTGCTGTCTTACAATGAATTCAAAACAAGGTTCATATTTGTAGCTGTCAGGATTAAATAATATGCTAATATTTAGTTATTACTATTTTTGTTTCGTTTGGTGTTGTTTTTTAATTGAACTGCAAATAATGGATTTGCACGAGTTATAAAATCATGATACTATTTTTAGATTAAAATGACCACCAGTGACTCGATAAACTTTTCAAATTCAGTGTTTTTTAGTGATGCGGCATTTTATCATTGTTAATGGTTATTTGCCCTTTTCCGAGCTTAAGACACCTATTACAGAACCAAAAACTTCAAAATTTAGATGTTATGCTATCCAAAGCTCTTTTACTGACATAATTAACGGACATATGGAGGACCATGATGACGGTGAAAATTGTTACAAGAAGGCACAGTGATGGCAACCCACGTCAGTTTAATCACCCTCAGTGTACTCCAGCTGTTGGCAGCTTCCTTGAGAACTTTTTTTCTCTTTCTACTAGCCTCGTCAGCCAAAGGAAAGAAGAACTGGCTCAGGATCAGAATATACCCACTGCCATCTTTGAGGTATTTAGAAACTAAAACATTACGTCATCTTCTGTCTGTATACTAAACTGTATTGTGCTTATTTTTAACCCTTTAGCTATATTTGAAAAGAATTACATAACGCAGCCTCGAGTATAAAATGTTTGCCTGCCTCTATTTACCAAAGGCAACTTAAATAGGAAAAAACTCCAAAACCTTGAGCAGATTGCATTGTAACAAAGTTAAAGTTAAATAAAGCAATAAATTACTCTTCAGTTTTAAGCCAGAATTTCCAAATGAAGCATGTAAGTCATTTGAAGCCAAATACCTAACTGGAATAAGCCAGCAGGACTACGTAATACCAATGTGAAGAAAAAAATAAGGCCAACATAAATACGGGACGGCAAACATGGTCGTGGGTGTTTCTGGTAGCTCGGAGATACACGTTTATCGACTCAGAACTGGAAGATCTAAGTCCTTCAATGTGATTCTTTTTCACTTTTTTACTGACTCTTTTCATCCTTTTGTCTACCTCCCTGTTTGTGTCTTTGTTTCTGTTACAGTAGAAGCCCTTTAATCCAAGGGGCAAGGGATAGATCGTTGGTAAACAGAAAGGCTACGAGATACTAATTTTAGCAGTTAACCACCAGTGGCTCGATAAACAGTCCGAACGCAGTTTTCTTTTTTTTAAGTTATGCATTTTATAATTGATCATTAGGTTTTTTTTGCCCTTGATATAATCGTAAGTTTTTTAACGTTTAAAAAGGTAAACGTTTTATGTTTGGTCTTGCAAAACTACTGCATTAGCCAGGGTTGAGATTTCCATTCCGACCCCCTTTTTAAAAAGTGCCTTAGAGTAGTTATTAGGGACTGAGTCAAAAGACTTCACATTTAAATGTTATCCATCCATCCATCCAAACCCCTTGTACATCATCAACTGACATATATTGGCAGATCTTGATGATATCCATAGGGTGAAAACTGTTAAAAAGAAGGCAGGTACTGACAACAATAGCAACCCAAGTTAATTTGCTCAACGTCAGTCTGCTACAGCTGTTAACAGCTTTTTAAAGAACCAGCGTTTTTTCCTCCCTATTTTCAAGCCTCGCCTGCTAAAACAAAAAACATTGACTTGGGATCGGAATAACCACTGTCATCTTTAAGGTATTTTGCAGCTAAAACTTTAAATCTTCTTTATTATAAATGAAAGGATAGTTTTAACTCTAAATTGGTACTTAGGAACAAAGCAAAGTACATAATATAGCCTCAAATATTTTTTATATATTTGTGTCCTAATTTGTAAATACACCAAACTGCAATTCTTTATGGCCAGTAAATAAAACGTACATTGTGAGAAAGTTTAGCAAAGCCCTGACTTATTGTTTTCAAGCCAGTGGTTTTAAAAGAAGTGGGAAATTCCGGCATTTATCTCAAGGCACTGTCCAATAAGGTCGGCATATACACGGCATACATGATCGTTGTTTTTGTAGCCTGTGCCAGGCTCTCCGAGTATTTGAGACGTCGCGAAAATAAGACGTGCATGGAACCTTTGCCAACGCTCATTTTTTGCATCGGTCATGCAGTCATGATCTTTGCACATTACTATAAGCGTTTGGAGCCTGGAGCAGGCTATAGTTGTTCTGGTAGCTCCAGAAGAAACGTACGTTTCATCGATTCTGAGACCTGAAACACCTGCCTGTCTATGATTGAGATATTTTTTTCTTGCCACTGTATGAAATCACAAAAGAGAAGACATTGATATGTAAGAAAATTACTGTTGTAAGTAATATTGTTTCTTCCTTTTTCTGCCAGCGTCTTTGTTCTTTGTTTCTGATACAGTGGAACATCGACTCTTCGTAAACTTTTTGTCCAAGACAGTCTTGGATTCTGAATTCCACGCTGTGGATTTCAGATTCCGAATACCTGTGGAAGATTCCGGATTCTTTGTCAGAGGAACTTGGATTCCCGGTTTAAAATTGTTGGCGAAAGTTTGGATTCCTTGGGCTGGATTGCACATGCTGTTAAAGCCCAGGATTTTGGATTCCACCATAAAAAATGTCCCGTATTCCGGAATCCGCATTCCCTTGCAAATGGCGAGATCCTCATTTATTCTAATTTTGTCACCAGCACGAATTTTTCTTTGTTCCCCTACTGATAAGTTAATGTTCAAAACTGATTGATTAAAATCAACATAGTAGCCACGACGCCACTAAAAAACCTAGAGAATGGCTTTGTTTTCAAAGTTAGTTCATTGGTCAGCTGGGTGCTAAGAGAGCCCAAAATGGAAATATCCTAGAAGGCAATGAGTTGGAACGTATGTTGTGACTCGGGGTGTATTTTTCCCATCTCGTGACATGATGATTTTTTCATTTCAACAGGAAAATAAATGGAGTTTCATTCTGTTCTGTTGTTGATACTATGCAACAGTATGGCTCAAGGAAATTCAGGTAGCTTTGCCTATCTTTTTCTTTTTTGGCAATCAATGTTTTAAGTAGAACAAGCATTGCTGCCAAAGTGTATGTGCCCGAGACAATGCGTAACAAATCTGGATAGGATCCATCAGCCACGAGGCAGACTCATGAAAGTCATACCAACCGATCTCAAAACTTCATTTCATATTCATATCATTTATTGGTTTATTCAGATATTTACAATTTTATTTTCTCACTGTCCACAAATAGCAAAGGTTAGTCTAGGTGGGCAGTGTCTATGTAAAAGAAAATACGCACTCCGCGGAGTTTAAATTTGACGTTTGAGTCATTATCAAATTTTCACTCAAAATTTCACTACTAGTACAGTGTGGAGCTCAACAACACACGTCTGCACAGTACCAGAACATGCGCAGATTCTACAAAACTTACAAAATGATCAAATTTTTACGATTTACTGCTTTTTTTTTTTTAAAGGCCATGCTAAAGTTTCCTTTTTTTTCCGTATAGCGACTGACCATTTTGGCCAGTGGGGTAACGCGACCTGAAAATTCTTTGCAAAGAATTGAAGAACTTTACTCAAAACTTTGTCTTTAAGACAAAATCCTTAAAAGAGTAGCATCGACTCTCTTCTTGCATGCTTGCCCAAGAACTAAAATAATCGACAAAAAAAAGGATTTGTTAAAATTTATCTGAAATAAAAAGATGGGGTCAGCGTACTTGTTTTCGTCCTGTTTACCCGTAATTCTGAGTATTTTTTACTAGTTGCGCGTGAAATATTCGAAACTTAAACAACTGTCAAAAATTCTTATCATATAGCAAAAACCAGGAATCTTACTAACAACCTAAAATAGCTTTGTTTCTATGGGCTTTAAATTTTTAGCAAATTGGCTTCAAATTACCCGATCTTGGAAAAATGAAGAGAAATGGACAGTTTTAACATTATCAAGAGAGGATAAAGGGGACAGAGAAGGCATCCCCCATACACACCCTAATCCGTAGGTAATTCGTCTCGAGATATTTTTAGAATCGGGTAGGAGCCGATTAGTGAATCGGGATAAAGTTACCTCGCGCGCTGCGTGGATGTTTCGTGGAGGTTTCGCATAACTAAACGTCGTGCAAAATATGTCGGGCGAAAGTCAATGAACGCGTAAAGAGATCGACAGCATTCCTGAATATTGAAGCGAAATCAATCGGCGCTCACCTGGGAAAAGGGAATCGCTGGACTCTTTGACAACCCTTGAAATCAGTTTAACTCAAAGTTGTCGTAACCTCAGTGCTTTAATAAAATAAGAAACTTCGCCGGTCTATTGAAACCGGTCGTTTGTACAATCAAGCAAGTAGGACTCCAAGTGTTATTTTTGTTGAATAATAAAAGACTGATAAAAGAATACATATCAAACCAGAAATTGCTTTCTTCAAACTGTAAATTATAAATGATCCTGAGAGAATATTCAGTGTGTTAAGGATTTCCCTGCTGTACTGTTAGCTCTATACAAGAGAGGAAGGGCGATTCTTTTTTTAATTTCCGTTTCGCTGACACAGTTTTAGCAGAAATCTCTCCTTAGTCATTTTCGTCGACAAAACGAATAGCAAAAGCAATATCGCTCTCCGCCATTTTGCTCTGCGTCAATTCGTGAAGGACGCGTGGCTCTGAGCGTGGGTCATCCACGCGGAACACATTCGCTCTATGCGATTGGCTTTTGTCTAATCCCCCTTGGGATCTGTGGTCTTAAAAATAACTCGAGACGAATTACCTATGGAAGAGGGTGTGTATGGGCGAAGCCTTCTCTGTCTCCTTTATCCTCTGTTGACATTATGTAATACTTCTCTATGGCTCTAAATTCGGAAGTTCACGTCATTCATATCGAAAAATTTACATCTTCTACTATCCAGATTTTTTTCTTCTTTAGATATATTTTTTGTGTAGCCATAACGAGTAAAAAACACAAATAAAAAGTGGTGCACTGTTCTTGTTTCATCTCGAAAAGACAACAAAGGGCAATTTCAAATGAGCATTTTGCTCGAAGAGACTGGGGAGACTCTCAAACACCTTTTTAGCTCGGTAGAGCAGTCAAAATCGCTATTAAAAGCATTTGGACTTCAAAAGGGGCCTTCGTTACCTCTTTTAGTGACTGGTGAAAATCACCGACACCTTTGAAGTCGCAATGCTATGCGCAGTAGGCGATGAGCAGTGCAAAACAAGGGAATTACCTTAACTATGTGCTTTCTTCGGCTATACATTTCACCATAACAGCTGAACAGATTTTATCCTTTACTGTATCCTGCTATCTGCAGGCCAGTCCTAACTATTTCTTGTAATTTCTTTACGAACTCAAATAAAAAGTTGAAAGTGAATCCTGGAAAGGTCCTTCGATATCTCGGTGAATTTTCTCGGTGTCGTATTGTTAACCGAATTGGCCTAAACCAGAAACCCATAAGGAACTTAATGGATACCCGTGATAAAATTCAATACATGGACCGTTTCCCACTATTCATTTAACGCAACGCCGAGAGGCTGCCATAGTTACAACATATCACCTCGTCTGGAACAAGAGCTGAGGCGATTGGCAAGAATTAAGACTGAGCAAACCCATAATTTGATTGCAGGATGCGGTTCTGTGATTAATCAGACACTGACAAGTCCAGGATATCCAAACAACTATACAGCAAACAAGCAATGTAAATGGTCCGTCGCGATTCCAGCAGGAAAGATAATAAATGTCATCTTTAAGTTGTTTGACCTTGAACCAGATTGGACTTGTGGGTAGGTGTTTTAAACAACACGAATTCTTTGATGCATTGCACAATTAATATGAACTAGAATATTTCCGTAGTCTACTATTTGCAAAGAATAAAAAGCGACACTAAAAGTTTACAGTGCGACTCCGTCAAACACTCTAATGGGCCTCCGAGGAAACATAGGCTCTCTTCAGCGGATTTAAAAGGTTACATCTGTAGATTGTAATTAGTTGATTTCGATCCATGTTGTTGATTTCGTTCCGTGATAATTATAATTGACAACTAACTTTTTCGGAATCTTCCTGACATCCAATTGTTCAACTTTGTCAACTCTCAGACGTAAAGGCAATCAATCCCGGCCTTTGTACAAGGGAAGAAAGGAGTTGAACCCCTGCCCAAACCCCCACTTGAGTTTTTGTTTCGTTCCTATATTATACAACGCTTAAAATGAGCTCTGTGATCATGCGATGATATAGCTGGGTCAATAAAGGTTACTTTGGGCATTGGAGACTGCCAATAGGAAGCTATTGTTTAGTGGTCACTGAAGACAATCATCGCAGCGAGTTTCTTATGCCCAGATGCCCAATGCCCATTGCCAATAAGTACGGGGAGTGTTCAACAAAAAATTATGAACAAAAGAGCCGTCTTGTGGTTTGATTTCCTCTCCAAACGTTTCGGGCCTGGCCTTTCATCTGTGGAGTTACAAGTACGTTAGAAACGTTGCAAGGTTTGCATACGCCATGAAAGAAAACATTAACACTCAAAAAAACTTTGCAGTGCACGCGCGACTCTGCGCTAGGGCCTAGAGGAAACGGAAGTCGGGTTTTAAGGTGACTAGACCCAGTTTTTTTGGGAGGTACCATCCTACTTTGAAGCTCTCTGGTATTCCCACCTTTACTTTTATCGTAAGACTAACACACAGAATGGATAACATATAGATAATCTACAATATAACATAAAATTTTTGGCGATCGGAGTAAATGTCACGTGGTTATAATGCCACGCCCCTTTGAGATCTGAGTCGAAAATCTGCTGTTGCCGGCATATTTTCGTGAAAATCTCTCGGCTACACATAGTGGGCATTAGTGCCTTGCGCTGAACAGAGTTTCACCAAAATCGCAAAGACCCAATTCGAGAAATTCAGCGGTTTCCAAATTTAGGTCATAATTTATGCGAAAATGATAAGCAAACTTTACACGATTATATCTAATAAACTGTGAGACTTATCCCTTTATTTTGGGCATCGTTATAACAGATGGGTCCTTGTAAGTCAGCAAAAAGCTTTAGGGCCTTGTAAATGCGCGCGATTTTGAGCAAAGCAAACATATAGAAATTATATTTTTAGCTATTTGTTGACGTTTGTCAGCGTTTATGAGTCCTTCTCACGAAAAAAGCATTTTCTTAAAAATTCGTAGTTTTTTTTCCCTTCAACTTTTTAAAGGGCCACAATTGATTAACTAACTACCCGGATTCTGAAATTCATGGTCATTCAAAAACTGTGACATTATCTTCTATAAGCCCAAACTTGAGTAAACATTGAAGATTTTTAACGTTTTGGCTGAGTTGGTGCTTTGGGAGTTGTCTAGTCTGTCATGATACAGCATTCTTGTTCAGCACGCGTGCAATGACCGCGCTTGGCTGACTTCCGAATGCTCACCGAGATATGATAATTTTGGTACAGTGAGACAGGCCATCGCATGATACATAGAGGTTTAACTCACAATTTTTAATCAATTCTCGTGCTCCTTGTGCCTTTGCAAAAAAATCAAGAAGTGCTACACACTAAATCTACTTACTATTACGAAAATATCATTTTTTCATAGGTTTAATGCAAGCCAATAATTAAACCATCTCGTGATGGGAATTCCTTCTATTTTCTCATACTAAAGTATCATATATTAGCGGAGCTCCACGCGCGCGAAGCGCGCGCGTGGGCGGAGCCCCATAGCTAAGGAAATCTACCCATCCCAGAAAATTTGGTAATCACGTGACCGACCGACCGACCGACCGTCCGTCCGCACCACAGACATACCAATGTTTACTCTCACACTTTCTAGCTACTTTGGGAGCCCAGGAGAAAGCTGATTGAACATCAACGTTGTCATCAATTGACAGCTGTCAAAACAGGGTATCCACTGACCACTATCACCTGACCGAATCGCGGGCTCAGGTGTCGACCCATCGAGGTCGAGTATTTTTTGAAGTTATCCGCTGACAATTTACTCGTTTTCAAATGATCGCAGGCTCACGTTTACTTTTGTTTTAAATTCATATCAAATATGTTGTGTTTATGTCAGTATCGCCCCGCACTATTACGATTTTGATTTCAAACTGACTTCAGACGCAAAAATTCAGCCAGTTTTTTTAAAATACAGGCGGGGAAGACCTTTTGTTACCATGGTCACGTGTTGGTCACGCTCCACGTCCAATTTTTATGCTCTGATTGGTTAAAATTTGACAGATGAGTTCATGCGTAAAATTTATGCAGCATCGTGAAAGTTGTTTACTTTGACAGCTGAAGCTGACAGAGTTTTGAGTCAACTTGTGATGTTTTTAACTGTCTTTTTCCACTGGATGTACAAAATGAAATACAGCTGCTATCAAGAGTGTTCTCTTATTCATGGTTTGTTTATTGGGTTTTTGGTTGAAAAATGCGTCGCTTGTCAAAGCCGATAATCCGATTTCGGATGGCATCGTTTTTGTTTTTCACCTTGCTGGATGCGTACGAGAATTATAAAGGCTCGAGCGATCCTTGCCTTACTTGATAGCTTTCAGGAGCTGCATCTCGAAATATGGTAAGCCTGAGTAATTATTGTATTTAATCTAATTTCATGGAGTCCAGCTGCGCAGTTTATGAAGCTAGTTTATGCACGTTTGTATTAAGATTTGACTGAGACACTGATCTGACCTCGTATGAGGTTTGATATAAGCTTAAGCTTACAGAACTTTAAAAAGCCTTTAGTCGATATCAATTCACCTTAAATAGAAAGAAAAAACTTTCCAAAGAATATTTAGTTATAATTCTGGCTGTAGAAAGAAAGCTTTGAACGATTTTCTTTTCGTGAGTTCATCTTTGAAAACAGCCAACACCGGGAAACCAGCGGCTTAAAACATAAACTTTAAGCTTACTAGTAAAGACTTGAGGATTCTTAGACACACTTAAATACTCATTTGTTTTCGTGAATGAAAATTGTTGTCTCTGTAAATGTTCTATCGAATTATTTTTCTTTATTGATTTTTGGTAGTCTCAAAAGTGTAATTTTCATCGCTTTGCCGTTTGTTTTCAGGCGTTCATAAACATCGCTCGCAGGAGTACTCAAAATGCCAAGCGTATCAAACGCTTTTTAAGATTACACATCGTTATAAAACCGTTAATAAAAAATAGGCTCAATAAATTCTTTATCACGTTGAAGCGTAACTCTTTTAAAATTTCTTCGCAAATTTGGCGCTCGTCAAAAGTTAGAACCGGCTGGCCGTATAGGTGATTTTGGAAATTTTTTGAACGGTTTCGCTTATTAAAAGTCCACGCGTGCCTCTATGGTCCTGAATATTGAATGAATGCAATTTGTCATCAAAAATTGTGAAATACTGCATTTTGTACGAGGTCTGTATGATAAAAACAGCGACTCATAGTATTCTTTCTCCTCAGATGTGGTGTATAAAAAAAATAAAAGATTGGTTTGCACGCACCCAGATTTATTGGCAAGAATTTGTAAACTTGTCGAACGCAAAAAATTCGGTCTGATTTGTTTTCCAAGAATTTGTTTTGCACGCCTTATCTACTGTGATCAAGAGCCATCATTGCTCTTAAATGTGACCGAAGACTATTTTTTGGGTGTACATATAAGGCTACATCAACTCGATACAAAATTTGTTTCAGTCCAAAATCACTTAGCTTTTCCCTCAAAAGTCACATGAATGTGCCCTTACGTTAACCGATTTGTGGAATACAAAATTATTGTTTGATTTAAGTTATAAATTTATCAATGGGAGCTTCGCTTTTAGCTGTGGCTAAATATATATATTATCACAACGTTATATTGTAGATTGATCTATATGTTATCCATTCTATGTGTTAGACTTACGATAAAAGTAAAGATGGAGATACCAGAGGGCTTCAAAGTAGGATGGTACCCCCCACACCAAAACAAAAACTGGGTCGACTCACCTTAAGCCTCACGGATGACTGGTGCCAAGCTGAAAAAAAAATTTAAAAAGAACAAAAACAAATCAAATATAGAAAAATGACCACAAAGCCTCGAAAGTTGTGTTAGAATTTTAATCTAGAGAACGTGGTCTACTCCCAACCATTCTCAAACCCTTAAGTAACCTTTATTGAATCAGCTATATAAAATTAATGGTGTGCAGGGACCCTAGCTTGATGTTTGAAAATATGTCTGATAAATAAAAAGGGAGAAAAGATTTTGGCTCAATGTGGTAGTTCAGTTAAAAGCCTTGTTTTCCATTTATTTCCGACCTTTTTCTATAATAGTGCTCTAGCCAAGACAGCACAAAAAAAAACTCGATTAATTGAGTCGGGTTCAGTGGTTCAATAAATGTTTAAGAATTGATCAATGATCTTTCGAATGTTGTTTAATGAAAATGAAGGGGGTGTTTGGGAAATATTGGAGATTACCAATAGTAGACAAAGGTCAGACAACCCCCACAACAAGGTGCCCTGAGCTCGTTAGTGGACTAATTTGTTTGTATGGATTCCTTTTTCTACCCTTATTTCTTTCATTCTCAATTCAACCTCATTTCCCGAAATGCGCAAACAAAAGTGCGCTTTAAAGGCGTTTTGAAAAAAAAAACCGTGAAAACCTTTCCTGGTGAAAAATGGTTGGAATCCAGGCCCTCCCTTGTTCAAGTGAAGCTGATCGTACTATTTAAAATTCAACTTTTCAAGACATAAAAACGACACCGATAGCAGCCAAACAGAGCGGGGTTGTAGTCGTTGACAGCTGGCATGTTTCGACATTACACGGTGGCTCATCAGAACGGTGCAACGCAAACAGAGAAGTTTTGATGAAAAAATAACGAAATAACGAAATCCCTAACAATGGACTATCACACTCACCTGATCACGCCATAACGTGTCTACAGGAGTGCGAAAGTCCTATTTTCAACGGCTACTTCCTGCAGCTTACACTCTTTACTTTTTTGTACGTCCAAGGGTTGACTGAAACATGAAATGCCTTAAAACCCGAATGCTATTTACATGTGGTTCACCCAAACATTGGGGTCTACTAAAAAAATATCAAAGAACATGCGAGTAAGCATATCTAGATTTCCCTCCAGGGGATACTCCCTCTGATGGCCTATACGGGGAGGTTCCGCTTGAAAGGGGTACCTTTTTGAGGCTTCATGTCTATGAAATGGAGTCGGAAATTTGTCATTTTGGTCTGTCAGAGGTCCAGCAGATGCATTTTATGGCTCTGAACTAGTTGAGAAAACGTGAAATTTTGTGATTTCTTCATATTTAAAGAGTCTTTAAAGACAGTGAATTTACAGCAGTCACTAAAAGGGATAAATAACTCTAAACTAGGTAAGTGAAAGTGGTATCATCCGTCAATAACACGTATACGAAAGGAGTACATTTTTTCTGTCAAAAATGGTATATGAAAAGGGTAAGGCCTTGGATCTCGGGGCGGAGCCTCCCTGTATAAAAATCTGTTTAGTACCAGCGGGTTTTTTCCTTTCAGTTTCGATTATCTGACGATCACTGATAGCAACAACGTTGAATTGGGTAAATACTGTGATCGCGGATTCGGTTGGAATCAGTCGACCATTGTAACTGGAGACTACGCAAATATCATATTCAACTCAGATGGAGGCGTTGAAGGAAAAGGATTTCAGTTGTATTTTAATGTACTACCTCAAAGCGGTAAGTGTAAAGGGTCAAACGTCTTTTTCATCCTACCTGAAATGTGCTAGGAAGGAAAAGCGGATGCCTATATCTTCGATTTTTATCAGGGTGCTTTGTAAAATTTCGTGAAATTTCGCCTGTCGAAACGTACGGAAAACTACTCAGTCTAGCTGTTCGGATGTTTCTCAGAAAATTGTAGGCTACAAGTGCTCTGCTTGCACAGTGTTTCTAAGGACGGTCGGGTCCGACCAAAGCTTTCCAATATGCAAACATTTAACTAAACATTTCTACTTCACTGATTGGTAGTCTGATTTAGATATTGGTCTATTTTTTCTCGATAGGACAATCTTGTTCTATTTTCGTTTTCGTCTGTTGTCAGTTCCAGTAGTCTCTGACCATTCGGTCTATTATAAAGGAGAGCACACTGAAGGCTTTTATCAGGGGCACCTAACGACTGTTTTCTGTAAAATCTGTTCGGAGAAGCAAATATAGCCTAGAATTTTCTATTACTCGAGGGCCGCTTAAAATTTTTTGATGACGGTTTTATTCAAGTGCAATTTTCGAAGCTCATCTAATAAATTCTCCACGATTTTCTGAAATTTAATTTTTTCTCATTTCAGTCCCCAAATTAAACTATTTTTCGAAGAAAAAGGAACATAAAATTCTCGGATTCAGAAGTGTGATGGAGAGATGAATCAGAAAACTCCTCACTTTTGTATAAGTTAAATAATACTGAAGCCCTTGTAATTTCGAAAAGAATCAAGTTCCCCTAGGATGACCGAACAGATATCACTTTATAGCGCCGCTTGGAATGCAATTGTAGAGATCTAAAAGTATTCGATCAGGATAGGAGGAAACGACCGTCTTAGGGTGCCCCTGTTATATTAAACGCCAGTAAATCATCACAGCAGCATGAAGCATTCTTCGTTTTCTTTGGCAGCCCTTTGCAGCTCAGTGGTGAACAATATACTGAGATCCCCTGTATATGCACAAAGTTATCCACCAAATCTGCACTGCGTCTACAATATATCAGTTCCACAAGGCAAGATTCAAAAACTTGTATTTCAAATATTTGAACTGGCATCCGATCCAGAATGTAGGTAAGTTTCTCTCAACGATAACTCTAATGACCGTTAATTCAGTACCCTTATTTTCATTGTTTTTACATCCTCTAAATTGCAGCTTGAAATAGTAAAAATTGCACCTATTTTGATTTTGCTCTGATAAAATTCTCATTGAACGAATTATTTAAAATTTTTATGTGTTGTTATCAGGTCATGCATGAGTAGCAATATTCCCAGCGGTTTCGAAAACTGTTTTTGCCCATCCACACTTGAACGATAAAACATCCGGGTTTTTTTTAACCCTTTCAATGTGGCTTAGTGTCTTAGAGGTCTGAAGCTGATAATTCTTATCAAATGTACTCAATTTACTTGAAAACATAGCGGTTATCGAAAGGGTGGGGGAGGTACGGGAGAATACGGTGGGGGAGTAGGATTGGGGATATGAGATTTTTTCTCCCTCTCCCCATTTTGTGCCTTAAACCTGCAGACAGTAGCTGATTACTGACGCAGGCTATTAGAGACCTTTAGATTCGAGGACGAGAACGACTACGAGTACGAGATTTAACTTAAAGTTTTCTCGCGTATTCTCAAAAAATAGACCCCCCGGAAAGCTTCATTGTACTTTTTTTCATTAGAAAAGATAGCACTGTTATCTATATTGAAGGAGGTTAAGCCCTCCCTCGATCGCAAAATAATAAAACTTCTAACACTGGATATCTCGTTTCCGCCATGACGACATTCTTGCTAAAAATCGTAGTAGAATGACGACTGCTACCAAGTTTTCCCGCGCTGGTTCACGCGCGTGCACTACCTAAACTACGGAAAAACCGGGCAACAAAAAACATGCAACTTGTCATCATAGGCGTACGGGCTATTTTTTGCCAGGGGGGGCGGTAAACCATTTACCCAAAAAATTTTTGCAAGTTGCCCAAATTTTTACAAAACAGTCGAACAGAAACGAGGGCCGATGCAACAAGATAGGCCGTACTGGCATATGAAGATGGCTCCATACAGTTTTTCAGGGTCAATACCTGCCAAGTTTGAGCATAAACTACGTCGCCATAAACAAACATTTGGAAAAGTTGCCACCACAGGTGTATTAGATAAAGATGAAAAATTGTTGTGATCAGGGTTGCAATGACATCGGAGCTGTTATAGCAACGAAATGAAGCCATTACCTATTATACTTGCAGCAATATTTCTCTCTAGGAACTGTTCTTCTAAAATCGATAACAGGAGCTTTTTCCTCCAATAGTCGCCTCGATGTTCGTGACGTTAAAACGGAATCTGTAAGAGCATTATCGAGATATTTTGGGATAAAGTTTTTATCGTTGGAAATACGGTAAAAAAGGGAAAATCTTGATGTTTGGCCGTTATCTGTAGAAAACGATGCACTTTTGACATGCAATTTCACCTCATAGTAGTTTCAATCTTTTCAAAAACGTGGGTGATAGATCATGGAGATAGCTCCGGCCAATTGCTACAAAGAAGGATTTGATTAGTATGTATCATGGCGCTCTTGTTAGCGGTTTTGTAAGCATTTCTGTCTACTTTAACAAATTATTGAATAATTTTTAAACCGCTCGATATACTTTTTTAAAAAATCAAGATTCTTCTCGCAATTCAAACTAAGAATTAATCAGCCACTTCTTCACTTTAAGACCCATTGCTGATGCTATCTGCCATACACTGTTCTACGAACGGAGATGATTCTAGAAAGTTAGGCGGAAGTTTATTCTAATAAATTCACGAGTGGAAATAGCCCATTGCAGTACAGTGCCCAACAATAAAAAAAAATCAGCATATGATACCTTTCCCTTACAACCAGAAACTCGTCACGTGCTAGACAGACACTCTCGTGTCAATGTAACTGGATTATTACGCCGACTTCAGGTTAAAATAGAATATATTTATCTCTTTAAAATAATATCAAAAACACGGAGACGTCTTTAAAAACTGGCTTTGCCCAAATTTTCTCGTGCTGCCCAAAAAATCTGAGTTGCCCAAACTTTGGGGGGGGGGGCTGCAGCCCCCCTCGCCCCCCCGGCCCGTACGCCTATGCTTGTCATGCAACAATGCTGCAAAACGAGTTGAATAGCGATGTTGCGCCTTTTACCACCCATATCAAACCTGTCTGACAACAAATCAAGTTGTTAACGGGTTTGAAAATGGGTGGTAAAACGCGAAACATTGCTTTTCAACTTGTCCAGCAGCAATGTTGCAAAACAAGTTGCACGTTTTTGTTGCCCGCTTTACCGAAACTTTAGTATTGAGGAAATCTCGTCCTCGTTGTCGCACTCGTCTTAGAATCTAAAGCTCTCTATCAATTCAAACCTTGCAACGATTCTAACGTACTTGTAAGTCCACTGATGAAGCCGGCCAGACCCGAAACGTTTGGAGAGGAACTCAAACCAAAACACGGCACTTTAGTTCATTGTTGTTCGTTGAACATTCCCTCACTTGCTATTAATTCGCAAGTTAATCAGTAATTAAACTTGACATAAAACAACGATGACAGTTTTCTAAAAACTGTAATCGGAATCATAATCAGTACGTTTTCTTGCAGGAACGACTACTTGAGCATTTCAAATGGAACTAACACCATCGGCCAATACTGCGGTAACTTAACTGGAAACGAAATTCGTGTTTCCCATGACTATCTGTTGTTAACATTTCACTCGGGCACGCAATTCAACCCGAAAAATAAAGGATTTGAAATATTTTTCACAGCGGATGCTCACATGCCTGGTAAGTTATTTATAGGCTAGTTATTTATCATTCAAAGTTGTTTCCCAAGGCTTATGGGTTTAAAGAAATAATATTATTACTTACAGACAATTGCTATTATTATTCAGTCGAAATATTTCCCCGATTCTGATTGGCTAAAAGCACACACATAATTCACCATAACCAGCTACTGATGACCAAATTTGGAAGAATTTTGCGTGTAATCAACCGATGACGTCAAAAGTGCAGCGTCCTTGCAGGTTAATACACCATTAACCGAGAAGACCTGGGGACAAGGTTCAGTTGTTTTGGTTGTGAAAACAAAAGTGGAGGACATTTCACTCGTTTCAAGAGAAAGAACCAGGCGAAATGATAGCTAAAAATATGGCAAGAACAGCAGGAGGACAACTCGAAGGGCGACATCTGCTGTTTGGAGAATATTTGCGGAGCTGAACAACCCTAAACGTGCACTATCGAAGATGAACTTAACATCGATAAAGGTAAGCATGTTTTAGCTATAGTTTAAATTAGGAATTATTTTGAATTAATAAAATAAAGATTAATATTGAATTCGGCTTTCGTATCATATGAAGAATTATGGAGATCTCGAGCTTTTCTGGAAAACGTCCTAAAGGCTACTAGAAAAAGGAACCTTTTTAGGTGAAATTAGTTTTAATTTAATTATGTTTCAGCCCCTTGTCCATCAGGCTGGGTGTCAAGTGTTTATGGTTCCTGTTATAAGATATCTTCCGAAAAACTGGTCTGGATCTCAGCAAAAACTGCTTGTGAAGCATTGGGATCAAACCTTGTGATACTGAACTCAATAACGGAAATACAAAACGTCATTGGAAAAGCAGCGGGTTTTCTATGGATTGGTCTGCAGAGGGATTTCAAGAATAAGTCGCGGTGGCTGTGGGTAGATGGGTCCGAAGCTTTCTTTACCTACTGGTGGAGCGGAGAGCCAAACCAAGCCAATAGTGAAGAGAATTGTGCAGTAATGACCCCATACGTAAGAAAATGGAATGACATAGCTTGTACTGGAGAGACTTACAATTACATTTGTGAAATCAAAGGTAAGCACAGCTTTCTAATTTCATAAAAACCATAGTAATTTATACAACCACCTTAATTTGTTTCGCAGGTTGTCCTAAGTTCTGGATTCAAGTGTTAGGCTCTTGCTTTAAAGCCTCGTCTATCACCCTAAATTGGCTGTCAGCAGAGTTTGCATGTAAAGCAGTTGGTTCATATCTTACTAATGTGAATTCAATAAGTGAACAACATGTTCTTCATGGTTTATCGGAGGGAAAAGGCACGTGGATTGGTATGCACAGGAAACCCAAGGACAACTCAAGCTGGGTTTGGGTCAATAATTCGCAAGTTAGTTATATTAATGACTTGCGTAATCGACTGGACAATTTGACAGGTCAGGGAGATTGTATAGCTATAGATTCAAAAGGAAAACTGAAGAAATGGAACTGTAATCATCAACTTAATTTTTTTTGCACAATACAAACAGGTAAGAGAAAAATATTCTAATTTTATACCTAGTATGCTTGTGTAGACCGAACCAAAAACCGTACTTTTTTGAAAAAACCAGGAAGAAGGATCCTCAATCTTTGGTCAAGATATTTTGCAGCAAACAAATCTTTTAGAAAACAACAAAATTATTACTAAGGAAGCACAAAAGCACTCATCTGCCCGCCAATATGCCAATTCAATTCCCAGCGTCGACGCAATCGTGGTTCGAGTTAAGCGATTCTTCTCCTCCTAATCCGAAGATTTTTTCTCCAGTACTCTGGATCCCATCCCCTACTCCATCCTAACCCAAAAACTAACAAAATCTAAATTTAATTTCATTCGGAATGGACGAAGAATCACTGTGGATCAGCCACCACCAATTTATATTATCATTATTGTTATTATTTCTTTATTTTTAAAGACTTAGCTCTGCAATTTTTTTTTTCAAAAACTACGAAGACAAGTGTCAAGGATGGTGAACAAAATTCAAATTGATTACAGAAAAAAGAGAGAGAAAACAGCCGACATTTGGCGGCGCTACCACTGATTTCCCCGCCAAGTGACGCCAAATGACGTCTGAGAAACGAGCGCAGAAATTCCATACTGATGACGCGTCACTTCTCAGATCTGGGTAGTTTCTCTGATTGGTTGAATCAAATTTCCCACGCAGCACGACCAATCAGAAGCACTACCCAGATCTGGGTAGTGGCGCGTCATCAGTATGGAATTTCTACGCTTGTTTCTCAGACGTCATTTGGCAGGGAAACCAGTGGTAGCGTCTCCAAATGTCGGCTGTTTTCTCAGGCTAAAAAATACTCTGACGTAACTTCTTTAGTTTTGACAATTCTTCAGGTTTTTTAACTAATTACTTACAGCATAAAATGTATTTTTCTTAACTTTTGTCCATTCGTTGTTTCTATCCATAAGGAACTAGGTGCAAAAATCCTTCCTCGGGGAATGATATGGTTGTTTCCGATTGTCTGTCATCCACTCAACAATATGGAAAGACATGCTCGTTTAACTGTGCCCCTGGTTATTACGTTAGCGGCCCGTCGTCTGCTCGCTGCGGGATAGGCGGAGTATGGAGTGACGACGTTCAAACAATCGGATGCCACGGTTTGTATTTTGTGTTTGTATCCCTCCTGTTCCCTTTTTTGTTTTAATACGAGGACTATTCATTGTTTATTAAGATTATTAAGAATTATTCGTTGCTGTTATGTTGGATGCATGGATGGATGGATGGATTGACGGACCGGACTGATGGATAGATAAATAGACGATAGATGGATGAATGGCTGGATGGATGGATGGATGGATGGATGGATGGATGGATGGATAGGAAGACAGACACAGTAGTAGGCATCTTTCCGTGTTAGTAGACTATGAACTCGCGCTCTGGTAAAGGTGGACTCAACAGCGTCTTCTGTGGGTTCACACTCCAGTAATGCAGGAGTGGCAGTATCATTTTAATGACTCGGCTCACGTCTCTTTTAAGACCAAAATAAATGAGATATCATCGTCATCTTTTCATCAACATCATCGTCGTCGACATGAACATCATTCATCATTATTGTCATCATCATTATCTATCATCATTATGATTATGATTATCATAAGCAGCAGATCGTAGTTACCATTCGTAGAGCTTGAGTGTTGACTACTAAAGGATGTTTGTTGCTGTTACATAGAATGCGAAAGTGCTCTTGGTATGGGAGATGGAGCAATATCCAATGGACAAATTAGTGCGTCCTCACAACTGGATGCCGACCATGCAGCCATCAACGGTAGAATCACGTCATCAACAAAAGGGTCGTGGTCAGCTTTCAATAATGATGTTAGTGAGTGGCTCCAAATAGATCTGGGCAGTCAAGAGCACACCCTTGTAGCAAAGATTGCTACACAGGGAGAAAATGCTAAAAGCCAGTGGGTCAAACATTATACATTACAGTACAGCAACACCGGTTTGTCCTTCTACCTTTACAAAGGTCAAGGACAAAGCGAAGGAAAGGTAGGAAAACAAATAACATTTAATGAACATCAAACGGATATTTCATCAGACCTGCATGTGTTTACTAGGGGAGCCATAGTATTGCATGATGTAATCAGCTGTTTACCTAGTGCAAGAGCCCTACTGATGACTCTCATAGGCCTTATTATTATGACATTTCTATAGTTGCAACGTTTCCGTAGTTTCCCTAAGGCAAGTCACGTATGAATTCGCTCTTCAATGCTATTTAGACTGTTTTTTGCTTCCTGTGACCAGGGGGAAGGGCTCGGAAGTCCTTCCTCTGCCACTTAGCAACCGCTCATCCTACGGCCACCAACATACACAAAATAATGTACTCGTCATTTCCAACTTCTGGGCACAACGTGATTGAAAAAGTGACGTAATCGAAGGTCATTATAACATCATATTGTTGAATTTATTGGCAGAATCCAAATTTCTCTCAAAGTGGACATAAAGCGAAAAATACTTAAATAGTAAGGTCTGTGATAAAATCAAGGAAGCTGGCTAATATAACACATAAATGAGCTTTGACAATAGCAGTGATGACATGATGACGTCATTCATTACTAAAAAAGAACGGGAAGCATCCGCCATTTTGAATTATTAACATGTATCCCATTTAATGAAAATAAAATATGGAAATTCCGGGAGAAATGAACACTGTTGATCATTGAACTCAGCATCTTCTATTTAGTCATGTTAGTCGCTAAAAAGCCCGGATTTTATTTTCAACAGTTGAATTTGTGATCCTTTGTTATTATGCTAATTTGTAGAAACTATAGAAATCAAATCTTGCATCACTTATTCATTTTGCCTTGAGAATGGTGTCATGATGATACCGAAACGTCGGCTTTTAACGTTAATATTCGCTTGAAATAAATTCGGTAAAATAATTCTAAATTATGTGTTATAAAATAATTCAATCAGTAAAAACAGAAATAAACCTTTTTTAGAGAAAATTCAAATTTTAAAAAACATGGCTCTTAAAACTCTGTTGCCATGGTAACATCAATGTCAACGTTGACGGGCACGTAGAGACTACTTTAAAATGTTCTAAGATTAAGTTTAGGAAAAGTCGCTAAGTTTGGTTGGCCTAGCTTGAACGGATTTGTAGTTATGCATCGTAGCGAGGGAGGGGAGGGGGGGTCAAAAGGCTCCCCTCCACTGTCTGAATAGAGTTAAGGGATCTTAATGTTAACTTTGTAAAGTAAGTCAATACCTTTAGGGACGCAAATGAATTAGCGCTCTTGGCTTTTTTTCAGGTGTTCGATGGCAACACAGACCCTGATACCATTGTTTCTCATAACCTAAATCCACCCATTAGAGCACGGTACATTCGTTTCCTACCAACAGCTTGGCATAAACACATATCTATGAGGGTAGAGCTATATGGCTGTAAAGGTAATGAATGATTATGCGTTAAATACCATTCCAAATAACTTTGCAGACAAGCCAAGGGGTGGGTGTTTTCTCCGTTTGTTTACCTACAAGATGATTATGAAATAGAGTACCAGTATAGTAGAGGAGCATTTTATCCTATTTTATGGTTGACGCGCTGATGATGTCATGGCCGTTTGTCCTTATCTCGTGATCCTTTTTAAGATCAGGTCATAACGTCATTTGAAGGTGGTTCAAACCGTTGGACAGCTTTTCTAGTTATTTATCATGCTTTTTGAATTGTTGACTGAAAAACAAAGAAAGGTATTCACTTAATGATTCATGATTCAAACCAATAGAAATGCGGAAAAGCAAAAAAAGGAAGGGGAAAAATAAAAATTGTTTTTATTATAATTATTATTGTTATGTTATTAGATATGTACGATTTGGCAGTAAGAATCACACTGGAATCAGTGAACGTGACCTGGACAATGAAAGTGGCAGGAAATAGAACTTTCGTAATTACGTTAAGGCTTAGCCTGTGCTGGCTAGCTAAGACTCAATAATTTTTTTTTGGCCACAATCGAGTTAGCGCTTATTCCTTCGACAACATGAATTATCTAATTATGGAATTGTTATCATGTGGGAATCAAATAAGGTTGTTCGTCCGACTCACTGAACTTGGCATTTTTTATTGTCGAAATCTCGTTCTTTAATGCATAAAGTGTACTCACACCCTAAAGTAGAAAAGCTGCACCATGTCTGGTCGACTGTTGTGTTTTTGTAGCCCAGCTATATAATTTATTGCTAACATTTAAAAACTCTTCGCAAATTATTACAATCCATGACTTGTAATTTGCTAAAGATCGTATTCTACCGTGTCAATACATAAATCATCAATGTGATCCATTAGATTGTTGAACCTCAGTACTACCCAAGAAAATTCATTAAATACATTATTTAAAAGAATAACATTAACTACGTTTGGTGACCAACTTCAGCTTTAAATCGATAAATCAATCATTAAATCAATAATCTTTAACTAAAAGAAACTTACTTTCTCAATCATTAAATCAATAATGTTTAACCAAAAAAAATTACTTTCTCAATCTAAAGAATAGTCTGCTACACAGCCGTTTTTAGTGTCGTCACGGAATGCTCCTCCCCACAATCCCCACAGTGGGGAGGAGCGTTGCGTGACGACACTAAAAACGGCTGTGTAGCAGACTATCTAAAGAAGAGATTCAAATTTTCATTAGGGACACCCACATTTGGCCATTGGCTCCTAGATGGATCCGATACAGATGTAAGGTCAGTAGAGAAACATAGCTTACTAAATAAAGCCTACATATACAACATTCATATCTATATAATATATATAATTATTATTCATTCAAAATATTTCCCCGATTCTGATTGGGTAAAAGCACACGCATAATTCACCATAACCAGTTACTTATGACCAAATTTCGAAGAATTTTGTGTTTAACGAGGAAATGACGTCAAAAATGTAGCGTTCTTGCAGGTTAATGCACCGTTAACCGAGAAGACCTGGGGACGAGGATGACTTGTTTTGGGTGTGAAAACAAAAAATGGCGGACATTTCACTCGTTTCAAAAGTAAGAACTAGGCGAAATTATAACTAAAAACATGGCAAGAACAGCAAGAACACAACTCGAAGGGCGACATCTACTATTTGAAGAATATTTGCGGAGCTGAACAACCATAAACGTGCATTAATTGTTAATTAAGCGCGAAAAGGAAGAATAGGACAAATATTGTTGTTAATAATTTGCTGTTTGATGTCTTAAGAATACCCCATCTTTAGTACGGACAGGGCCTTATTTATTTGTCTTATTTTATGTAGGTATGTTGGTCCGGTCAGTTACATTGACGGCTGGTGTCCTAGCAGCAAAGCGGCATATTTCAGTCACAACGGCTCCTACGTCACTTTGCCAATAGTAAACATAACGAGTTGCGACTTCACGATTGCCTTTTGGGTAAAATCCTTTGGTTTAGATGGGCCTCTAATGGCACTTTGGTCTATGAGTGGGAGGCTATTGTACGCAACAATCAAGAGCTCCCGTGTTATCTTATCGATACATAACTCTCTCGAAAAATCAAACTTCGCAATCAAGTATTGGAATCATATAGCTGTAACATGTTCACAGTTTCAGATCAAGGTCTTTGTTAATGGTACGGAGATACCAATGAAAGAACAACGGAACGAGTACTTATTCTTATTAGCAGATCATCGCGAAACGGAAAATATAATAGGGAATAATCCGTACTTACTCAAGCTACCCTTCGTAAATGGCACATTTGATGGAGCGGTAATGGACCTTCATGTGATTGGAATTGCCTTGTCAGCGACCGAGATTTCAGATTTGAGTAAAGGTTAGAATCAGTGTAAATTTGAATAACCTAAAATTTTTAAAATCAACCACACGACTACAAAGATTTTTTTTAGGCCTTTAGCAAAAACAAAACCAGACCTAAAATAATACAATGTTCACTTGAAGCTATAAAGTGTAGAAGAGAATCTGGGAGGCGACTCAAGTACTAAAAGCCTGGTTAAACCAATGTTAACCAGGATGGGTCGTCAGCTAAATACATTATCCTAAAAAATGAAACAGCTAACAGTTCAGCCCAACAGAGTGACGGTCAACTTTCAAAAACCACATAGCTTTGATGGATCCTACACTTAAGCTTGTCATTTCGAAATGTCCCCGTGGGGGTGTTATTGTTTTGACAGGTTCACATGACATGTGATATTTTCAAGATGGACGGATTGCCTTATTCACAGTGCTCTGCGCGTGAATTTTGGCTTGTAATCAAAAAGTTTACGTAGAAGGGTGTTAAGTCATTAAAAATCTTCAGACTTTAAAGCGAACTTTAGTGTCCTGCATGAAAATAATAAAAAATGATGATGACTGTTTTTAATAATTAAAGGCAAACCCAAAGCTCCTGTTATTTACAACAAAGAAAATGAAATAAATGGTTGCACGGTGAACTTGTCATGGAGTCGTAGTGTGTGTGCCACAACGAAGAACACCATACGCTACAGAGAGATAAATCCACAGGGCAATGCAGTTGCATCAGTAGATGTTACTAATGAAGAACCCGCAACAACCTTCTATGTCATGACACTTGACTGTGACAAGATCTATGAGATAGCAGTGTCTTCTTGGTTTGGAGGGCTTCAGAGCGACTGGTCAATTTCTTGGCAAGTTAAAACAAACTCAGGTGTGATATAAATAAAAGAAAAGGTCGTTGGTTAGCTTGTGCAAATAGTCTTAGCTTCCCCTCGAAATTTTAGAGGGCCTGGTTTCAGCGAAAGCATCTTACGATAATGCATGGTGTAATCCCAGATGGTACGCACCTCTCTAGAACCTCTAATTTCATTGAAGCTTCGATGACACGGAGCTCTAGTCTTTCAGTGCTAGGGTACTGTTGTTTGTTTATTGTTTACTCAGATAATCCAAAGTACAACGTTTCCCTATTCCCAAGAAGTAACTTTCAAGATATCCTTTGTTTCGTAAAAGCAAAAATGTTCCCTTATTCCAGTTGTTTTTCCGCAGATACCTGGAAAGATACTTTAAACTTAACATAAACAATTCAACGTTTTGGGGGGTTTTTAAATTACCCCCCAAAATTGCAATTCTCCTGGCGTGTGCTCTAAGGACATGTTCTAAATCAAAGCGACAACAACAATTTCCTATATAAGTGTCATTATTGTTTCTGACCTTACAGTTAACCATGGCATGGCAGAAATTTTAGGAATAGCTCTTGGGATTGCTGCAGCTCTGGTGGCAGCAATTATCATGGGGATAATTTTCTACCGAAAGAAGCAAAAAGAAGAAGAACGGTATGCATGTTATTAGTATTAAATTAGAATTTCGGTTGGATTGAAAAAGGGTCACGTCATCTTTACTTTGGTCCAGTAATACTCACTGCGACATCCTTGACTTTTTCTTCTTAAGGTCTCAGGAACAATAAAATACTTTGGGTCGGCCTCGAAACTGTTGTGTGTTTTTTTTAACTGCTTGGTGCAGTTTCGGATCAAATACATGTGTATGAAGTAGTTCAGATGCTGATAATATATCCCTTTGTGTTTAATAACAAATTGAAAAAGTTTGGTCCGCAAAGGATTCACTGTTTTGCAATAAGAAGATTATTTCGAAGTCGTCAACTGCTCGGGTAACCAATCAGGACTCAGAATTCGCTTGACCTTGCCCTTTTGCGGAGCCACTCCTAGAGTACTAACCAGCCAGGCCGGAAAGAGAGAAAAAAGGAAAACAAACTGTTACCGCTTATTTCTTCTTTTCTAGTCCATGCAGTTTCGTTCCGATTAAAGTGCAATTTTTCCACGGAAGCCCTGCCTCAGAGCAATATTCGTTATTGATATTTGACATCTCTTATTTAGATCCAAGAAAGAAATTATTCATTTTCTGTCACTGGAAGTCTCGCCCGAGCGGGTAACCATTATGGAGGAGCTTGGTCGAGGGGCTTTTGGCAGGGTTCATAAGGGTGTGGTGAAGGAAATACCAAAACCAAATGTAGATTACAAGAACAGACAACAAACATTGGACAAAAACGAAGGACGAATTATCGCTGTTAAAGTTCTTCTTGGTGAGTTATTTATAATGAGCCATGAGGCTTTACTTAAAAGACCTAATACAGTGGCGGATCCAGTGAAGGACCCGAGGGCCTGCCCCTCTTATTTTTAGACCAAACCCCTAATCTCAGGGTCAGGATGACCGGCCCCATCCTCCCCCCTCCCTGAAGGTCTGGGTCCGCCACCGTAAAAAAACATGTTTTACGCGTACCTTGTTACGTAAATGTTGAAATTGTAGTATATACTTTGTTAACTCGATTGTGTCAATGGGGCTCACTGCGCTATATAATGCTAACAAAAATAGCTTAGCTTACAGAACTTTATGGCAGAAAAGGCGGAAATACGTTGACCCGGACGATCAAACTCAACCTACTCTAGTATAGTATTCGTTAACGGTTTATGATTAGCAGGAGTAATTTCCATTTCCTATCCAGAGTAGCTTAATGTCAAAGTTTGTCAAAGGCCTTTTTAAAGACTTTTTCTCAGGCAAAAAATGATATTCCCTTTACGTAAGAAAACCAAGGGAGCTCTACCTCTTCCTCTAAGATGGGTGATCTTTTCTACCTGAGTATTCGTGTCTTTTTAGAAAATGCTGGAGAGGAGGAAAAACGACAGTTTCTTCAGGAAATTGACCTTATGAAGGACGTTGCCTCGCATCCAAACATTCTAAGCATATTCGGCTTTTGGGTTCGGTCAGAGCCCATCATGTTGATCATGGAGTATGTTCCTCACGGAGATCTTCTGCAATGGCTTAGAAACAAACGACAGCAGGTAAAGCTGGTTTATATTCATCGATTTTAGCCATTTTCACTTTTTAGAATATCAACTTTTGGAATCCATTTTGCCGCCATGTGCAGTCTCGGTTTCATTCTTCGCGGGCTGACGGGTCAGCTTATTTGCATAAGTTTGCACGCCGAGATATATATCGAAACTGCATTCGCACGAGATCCCCACACATCGATTTTGATTTGTAAACTGCGGAAACATACCTTGCATTAGCAGATATGTATTGTAGTATAGTGTAGTTAACCGTGTGGAGAAGATAACCCTTTGAATCTTGCAAATTGCTTTGCTAATTCCCACTAGAATATTTGTAAGGCTAACTCCGTATGAACTATACTTGCAGTTTACAAAGAAGAAAAATGATCATACTGATGTCCTTGAAATACTTGAGCCGCCTGCTCCTGTGAGACCAAGATTGAACCCTGCAAAGGAAGAAGGGCCGGAGGAAGACATGGATGGGTGGAAAATAAAAGAAGGAGAGGAGGAAAATGAAAAACCAGTGGCAAATGACTCCAAGCAAATGCTAGAACGACCAAACCCTCAGAAATCACAGAAAACAACATTTGATGACAATGTTGAAAGCCAAATTGAAATACCACCTCAGTTTTCGATTTTGGAAGAAGATTCAACATCACTGGGTCAGAGCTTGAGAAATCAACTAGAAGTTGCTACGAACATTGCTATGGCAGGGGGCGAAAGACCCACTTATCAGCTCACAACCTTTGAGGAACCGAAGAAAAGCGATGAAATTAGCTTTATCATAGAGAAAGAGGATAGAAACAAAGATGCTAATGGAAAGCATGAAGAAATAGAAAGTTTGGAAAATGCCAAAAACGTGTCACAAGGGGATCCTGTGAACTTATTATCTTCAGAAACCAAACCTGGTAAAAGAGAACACGAAAAGAGGATACCGTCAGTACCACAGACCTTTGAAGACGACCAGCTTCCTCAATCCTTTAAGAGCACAGAAGTGAGGATCTGTGTAGAGCAGGACGAAGACACTTGTGACAACGACCATAAAGATTATTTTATTTCTGCAGATGATATTATGTGTTTTGCGTGGCAGATTGCTAAGGGAATGGTGAGTTGAATCTTTTCTATAACAAAATATCATTCAAGCAAACCCAAATAACGAGGTCTAAAATAATTCGTTGCCAAAAGATGGATTAAAAACTGCTCATGCAAAAATGGCTGAACCTCGTTTCTTTTTGTCATATTTAGTAACCATGGTTACTTCCTAGCCAAAATCTGTCTAAGAAGTCAATGACCAGCTTCAGTAGAAAAAAAGGTTCACGGAAGGGGCTACCAAGTAGATAGAGAACAGTAAATTTTATCGTAATTCTGTTAGGAATACTTGGCCAGTAAAGGATTTGTTCATCGCGATCTGGCAGCCCGTAACATCCTTCTTGGTGAAAACAGAGCGGTGAAGATTTCTGATTTTGGATTGCTACGCCGCACGGGTGAAAGTGAGATATATGAGGTGGCAACCGTTAAGAAACTGCCCATAAAATGGACGGCACCTGAAGCATTGCAAACTGGAACTTTTACTTCCAAGAGCGACGTGTAAGTTTCATGATAACTGTGCGATATTTCTTAGGCCTAGATTTACCTCCTACGCAAGGTGGCGTTAAGCACAAGCACCATAAACGTTTAAGCGTCATCGCAGAAACCTACTATACTGAGGCAACTTCCTTTAATTCCTCTAAGTCCTTAAAGGGGCTCTGTAACACAAGTTGCCAGCCTCTTCAGCTAAAACCTGTCTTCGCATCGATTGAATTCAGTTTTGTCATTTAAGACTATATTTAGGGACTGAAACTGTTTCCTGTCGTCTGTTGCTAAGGATAGTAAGGATGGACACGGATATTGCCCAACTTTTTCAATTTCTAATGCTATGCATACAATAATCACCAAAACATTGTTATGATTATTGTTCCGTGATAAAATTTATTTAAGATCTTCTTCATAACTCTACAGGAGCATTTTGTGTATGATTGGGCAAAGGCAGTAAGTAAAGACTTCAGCACAGAATTGACCTAAAACGGTAATACCCTCGTGACAAAGCCCCTTTAACCAAAGACACTTTTCAGCAAGACCAGGTCACTCTTAGGAAATTTTTGTTGCACATTCCAGGAGCTTTTTAAAAGACTCCGAGTCACTGTCTCGCAAAACAACTGGTGATTAATAAAATCACACCCAGTGGTCAGCATGTTACTTTGTCGAGAACCGTCATTTTTGTTGCTGCAGATACCCTTCTGAAATCTTAGCATGGGCGAAAACTGTTGACCTTTCTGCATATAGAAAAAAATTCTAAAATTATTGACGTTAGGATTCGAAACAATAGAGAGGAATAAAATGAATCTGAAATTAAATGAGTTTCTCTCTTCCTCCCATCCGAACATTTTGCATTATAAGCTCAGTGTTTTACCATTTCAACGATTATTTGTTTTGATCATTCCTTGTTCCTTAGATGGTCCTTCGGAGTTCTTTTGTGGGAAATGGCTACCATGGGTAAGATATATTAAATGGTTTTACTGATATTGGAATCAGAATGATTTCTCCTTTTAATTGGTTTTTATTATTATTATTATTATTGAAGAAATTTCAAAAATCGCATCACGCCACACAATAACTGACAGTTCTTGACGCATTTCAAGTTGGCTTAAAATTTCTTTGACCCTTCCTCTTTGATCATTAAATTTGACATTTTAGGGGGAACGCCTTATCCCGGAATTAGCCATGCCCAGCTGCACAATGCCCTTAAGACGGGATATCGCATGGAACAACCAAACACTTGCAGTGATGAAATGTAAGCAAGCTTATTGCAGTTAATATTTGTACTAAACAAAAAACACAACATGACGATATATACATAATAAACCTTCAAACGTTCATAAAGCCACTTTCCCGACCACTTCTTTTTAGTTCATCAGGGAAAAGTCAGATGAAGTGTATAATACTATTCGACTACCTTCATCTTCATGGGTAGCCTGTGAAACTGATGGGGCCCTGGCAAGTAAACCTGAGACTTTGCGACTCGGCTGCGATTAGCTCTCGGTCAGACGATCGGAGGTAAAATCATCCTGCAATTTTATTAATGTTCCTATGGCGTCGTGAACGTCAATAGTTACTCGCAAATGCTCCTCTTTAAAAAGGATAATTTCATCCCTCCTTACTACTCTGGCTTCGCTTAAGTAAAAACCAAATCTTAAGTAACCCTATCGCCAAAACATGACATAATAAATAGCTAAGAAGGTGATATACGATCGTTTGTGTGAGTAAACTCCTCACTAAGATTGTTGTTGACAGTGACTGACGTGCGGAAGTCGTCATTAAAGTCAAAGTCGGTGGTGCATCGCCAGTTGATGATATTTAAGTTTCGTTATCGTCACGATTGATTAACTCAAACATGGCATAAAACAGAGTATTTGATCTCAACAGATACAAATTAATGCTGGACTGCTGGAATGATGACCCGAATGAACGACCCTCATTCTCCGAAATGATACCAACCCTGGAACAGATGATGACAGCTGATACTCCTTACTATGACTTTACACTGTTAGATGAAAGTCAGGAATGTTACAATGATCAATGCCCCAGCACCAGCAAAACTGATGGATACGACACTCGATTGTGATGATCTTAAATTGAGTCCTCCTAACCACTGTTATTTGGGAAAACTGGACTGGTGGTTTGTAGATTACTGAGTCTAGAGAACGTTACGATAATGGACATTTTTTATCGCTGGCCAGTAACTTTCAGTTAAATCTAGCTAAGACTAAAATAATTGGGCTGTTTAGGGCAGTAACACCGTACAAAATTTGCAGAAGGATATCGCTGAACTGTGATCACGATCAAGGCCATGATAACATGAGTTTCAGTTATTATTTACATTGTACATACTTGAAATTAAATGTTAGTGAATGGTATCGTTTTAACAAAACATAGATTGTGAGGGACCTTGTTTGCAATTCATCAAAAAACGGTCCACTTTGACAATTTTTCCATTATTATAGATAAAATAGACTCAAAAACTATTTACGGGTGATGATTCAGAGCTTTTCAGCTTAGAATCAATCTAAGGCTTCTTACGGTTGCAGCGGAGAATTTGACGAGGCACGCAAAAGGGAGAGCTTGCAACGACCATCTTCGTCATCAAAGCTTCTACAAAGCGTATTCACTTTATTCACGTCAAGAGAAAGCTTAACCACTTCGACCAACAATACAAAAATATAATTATAATTAAATTAATGACAACAACGAAGTAATAATTTATGTACCTTTCTAGACAGTGTGAAGTTGGCAGTTAGAGTTGCAAACCCCCTAATTTGGCCATATGCCTTTTTGGTATTCTTAATGACTTATCTCTTTCATTTGATATGTTTTCATTTTTGTCATCTGTCGTTTCCGTCAACCCGTTCGGAAGAGTTTTGTTCGGAGAGCTTATAGGGGGATCATCACAGGATTCTTCTAATATAAAGTTGTTTAAGTCATGAGAAAGTACTCATAATTGTCTTAAGCAAGCGGCACCTCCCACATTAGAACGTAATTTTCAAGTAACTCCGTAGAAAAAAAAAAAGCATCAATGAATGCATAAATGGGTGAGCGAGTGAATGAATGAGTAAATGAATGAACGAACGAAGGAACGAACAAACTTGAATCTTCGTGGTGTGAAGAACTTCTCAACAAAAGAAGAACATTTTAGTCTTGCATCGTTGGTTAGAATGCTTTTGTCCAATTTTCGTGATAAAAACCCAATAATGAGGCACATTAGTGTTAAAATCGGTCTTATAATCTGATAAAAGAAGACTAAAAATAAATTAAAGACCCTAGGATTGGAGTAAAATTGAATTGACCTATAAAAATGTCATCGCAGGACACAAACATAAATTTTTGAACTTTCCTCTACTCGGGAGAGCCGCAGTTACCGAGTGTTATGGGTCAGAGTAAGGATTTGAGCTCTCTTCAACTCGATTTCTCTTCCTCGATTTGGGTGGGTTCAATGCTCACAAAGCAACAAGAGGTCCTAATGTCAATTTGTTCGAACGCACGGACACTGGCATCAGTTGATGACAATTGCCAAAAGAGTTACAATAACTCCAAAACACGAGATTTTGATGAAACAAGAAACCACTCGCAATTTCCTGTCCATTGTCCATTGTGCCATGTAATTCCAGAGTCCTAATTAGTCGCTGGACGAGTTGACCATAGCTTGCCCGAAGATTGTGGGGGTAAGAAACTTGTCCTAGTTTCTACTATCTGTGTGGAGCTCCGTGTGGTCTGAAAAAGTTCTTCAGCTGTGGTGGTAAGGCAGGTGGTCTTTGCGGCGGCGAAGAGTTTTTTTCTTGAGGAAATACGCCAGAATTAAACTGAAAAGTCAGCGAAATAGTCGATGGCGCAGCACCTGGCAAGGCAAGTACGCGCTGTTATAATCTGAAATGCAAAGATACGCTCACAAAAAAATGGCAAAAGAGCTCCGCTTTCAAAATTAGCATAGATGCTCTAACAGAGTAATAAAATAGTGGAATATGTTCAGTAATTCTTTAGAAACTAGCAAGCAATGAAGAGCAAACCTGATTCCTGATTCCTAGTGGGACTTTCAGAGGTTTTATGACGTGTAGTTGACTTCTTAGAGTTACCAGAAATGAGTTCCTCCTCTCCCAAACCCTTTCCAATTTGTACTATTCCTAAAGAAATGAAACAAAAAAAAAGCTTCTTTATCCAAGGACACTGGTGCTTAACGGCAGAAACCATCATATCGCCCCTACAATTGACCAAGGGGGTGATCAGGGACTCTAATACGACTGGAATTTTAAAACTCAGAAAATCTATTATCCGTTCCATCATGTTCCACGGGTCACAAAAAATGCTACTAAAACAGGGAACGGGGAAAATGGAACGATCATGGATAGGAAAGTTAAATATGGGGACAAAACCTAACCATACTAAACCAAAGCCTTATCACTAACCTAACTACCCATTTCCTGTCTCGTTCTCATTTCCGCTTTCCTATGCTAAGTTTCCGTTTAGTAACATCCAGATTCAGAATGAGGAAATCGTGAAATTACCGTAATTGCTTTTTACTATAGTTCCTTTCGTCAGGGTAATGCAACAGCTCTCTCATGGTCTCACATAAATGGCTTTCAGGGAACATTGAACAAACAACCGAAACGATGCCTTCAGCCTCCCAAACACCAACTGGAGGTCAGTTGCTACATTAGAGGACTATTAAGACAGAATATACACCGGCTTACAAGTGCTCGTATTAAGGAGGTTGAGCAACGACTACAGTGAGAGCAACACAGTACAGCAAAAAAGCAATAGGTTTAGATAACCAAAACAACAACTTTGCACGTGTACTACGCCTTTGAGTACATTTCTCGCCGTCACTGCACTACTACGGCGTGAAAGTGCCTAGTTTTTGCTTTTTGGAGAACGTGAACACAAGAAAACAACTTCCTTTTTCCTTCCCTGATTTTCGATATATCATTTGACGAATTAAACGTGATGGAATAAGCGCGCTGAAGTTTGAAGCAGCGCCAAAATCACTTTTTAAGTGACATTTTCGTTGCCGTCGTTGCTCCTTAAGCTCCCTGTTTTCCCAAGTAACACTCCAGTGCGACAGTCTACTTCGTTATTTACTTACCAGTTGTGGTAACAGGGGATTGAGACTTCTGGCCATGTTTTCCAGTGACAAAGCCAACATGTTGTAAGCTACTGTCTTCCCAGGGAATTACACCAGTTGCCATGGTAACACAATTAGGCTCGTCCCCTTTCCACCGCGTAACATTGCCTGGAGCATGGTCTCTGTCACTTCCACTGCTGTTTGGACCAAGCTGCCGAGAGAAAAAACGATTGTCGACATTACTAAATTTACTTGCTACAGTTTGAGCATAATATTTTTTCTGTTGATACGAAGTAAAAAAAATACTTGGTGCTCAAGAGAAATTTACTTTTGAGCTGCCACTTCTACCTACCTCTTCCCTCTCTTCTTGGTTCTGTAAAGCGTATGTCACCAACGTTCTGAAAAAAAAAAAGCAAAAACAAAAAAAAAACAGCATTGTATTATTATTATTATTATTTTCATTCTATAAATCTTGCAAAAATTGTTTCTCGCCATTTAGTTCCGAAAAATGACTTGGGAGAGATATCTCTTAAAAGAAAAAAAAAAAAAGAAAAAGGAGTGTTTTATCAACAAGTTTATGTTTATGAAAGAGAATGATGCAAGACGATTTACTCTTGGTCAATAAGTATCTTTGCGTTTGACCCCAGGAGCACTCGTTTTAGTCGCCTTCGGCACTGAAGCCTGGGGAGAGTCAGACGATTTTGCTGGACTCACCCTGAATTGGAGACATCAATCAGTTTGCTCCTCAGTTCATTGATTGTTGATATATCTATAGTATCCTGCTCAGAGGCGTGCATCTTGGGTTTAACTTTTACCGGCGGTCTGTCGACTGGGACAGCTACATATACGGGAGATTGGCGACCATTGACAGCAGACAGATTGCTACTGGTGAAACGAGTTGTTTCTCTAGCGTTTGTATTGAACTTTGCTACAGGAGGGTTGATTTTATCAATTGCGCTCGGGGTCTGCAACAAAAAGAAACAAAATATATCTTTTAAGTGTACGTCTAACCATTTCTAAAAAAATAATTCTCGCTCTTGTATGTTATCCACATCTCTGTGAACATCTTCCTTAAACCCATTCACTCCCAAAAACAACAGGGGCCGGTTGCTCGAAGCCTGGTTAGCGCTAACAGTTGGTTAAGAGGTATCAAAATGTATAGGTTTCCATGGTATTTAACGCTGGTTAGCACTAACCATGCTTCGAGCAACCAGGGCCAGAGCGTTTAGGACACCACGACGGAACGTCGAAAGTGATTTCGCGTTCTTTGAAACGAGATCGCGATTACTCCAACTCACTCACTTTGACAAATGAATGTCGAACTCTCCCGGAGTTGAATCTCTACGAACCATACCCAAGTTCAAAAAGAGAAAGGGCCTGTTTTCATGCTGGGAGAAAGATCCTAGCACAAGGAAGACCCTTGAAGGCGGATCATCCTAGGACCATATGTTTTCTGTATTCGGTTTACATGCAATGGGTTCTACTTGTCCCAAGCGCTAGGATCTTCCTTTGCTGAACGATCCTAGCACCATGCTACGAAGATCCAGGTACAAGGGACAAATCAGACAAAAATGGCGGTGGGTCGTTCACTGGCTCATCACGGCAATGGATGCCGATCATTTCGTTTGGCGTTACCACGAACTGATTATTGTGATAAAGCTGCTGAAAGGCGGTAATTAAGGTCAGTATGGTAATTAAGGTCAGTAAAGAGAGCAGAAGGGCCCAAATTGTATTTCTGTTTTTTGTTACACGCTATTTTTAATTCCTTCTAAATCCTTCTCTACTTAGGGACCACAAGACTGAAATTTCTGCGTGTAAACCCAACAAAAAGTTGTTCCGCCTTCTACGATCTTCCTGGTACAAGGATCTAAACAGCCCTAAACAAAAATTCGTCGCCGTTTAGTCACGTTCTCTATAGAACGCCTCATAAGGCATTTTTACGTCGTCGTTTTAAGTGACGATAAAGAAATGAACCAAGAAAGTGTCACTTTTTCAGATGTCGTTTTGGTTATTAAACGTATTGCTTTTTTCGACGTTCTGGTTGACGTACGGTAGTTTTTGTTCTTAAAACAAGGGAAAAACAGCCAAAGGTGGTGAAGATAAATTGACTTAAATTATATCAGGAAAATGAAGATATATTTTGCTTTAAAAAGATTCAAGCAGCTATACCGCACTGGTAGGCTTCAATCACGTTCCACGTTTATATTCTTGATAGGCAAGAGACTATAAAGGGGACAGAGAGGGCATCCCCAATATACACCCTATTCCATAGGTAATTCGTCTCGAGTTATTTTTAGAATCGGGATAAAGTTACCTCGCGCGAAGCGTGGATGTTTCGTGGAGGTTGTGCATGACCAAACGCCGTGCAAAACATGTCGGGCGAGAGGCAATGAAAGCGTAAAAAGATCGAGAGTATTCCTGAATATTGAAGCGAAATGAGTCGGCGCTCACCTGGGAAAAAGGAATCGCTGGACTCTTTGACAACCCGTGAAATCAGTTTAACTCGAAGTTGTCGTAACCTCAATGCTTTAATAAAATGAGAAATTTCGCCGGTCTATTGAAACCGTTCGTTTGTACAATTTAGGGAGTTTAAGATCCAACGACGCGGACGACAGCTAGAGCGTCAGAAAAACAATAGGTTTAATTAGCAAAACAACAACTTCGCACGTGTAACACACTTTTTTGTTCATTTCTTTCCCGTTTTTGCACGACTACGACGTGAAAATGCCTAATTTCGCGTTTTATGGAGGACGTAAATAAGCAACGATGAAATTTTATTTCTCTTTCTGAGCTTGAATATGTTCCCTTGAAATTCAGCTTTAGGAGGGTCCGCCTACAATTGACAAAGTAAGTGGGTAGGAATAATCGCTATAAAGACTGAAAAAAAATAAACATCAAACCAGAAATTGCTCTCTTCAAACTGTAAATTATAAATGATCCTGAGAGAATATTCAGTGTGTTACGGATTTCCCTGCTCTACTGTTAGCTCAATACAAGAGAGGAAGGGCGATTCTTTTTTAATTTCGGTTTCGCTGACACAGCTTTCGCAGAAATCTCTCTATAGTCGTTTTCGTGAAGGACGCGTGGCTCTCAGCGTGGGTCATCCACGCGGAACACATTCGCGCTATGTGTATGGCTGTTGTCGAATCCCCCTTGAGATCTGTAGTGTTAAAAATAACTCGAGACGAATTACCTATGGAATAGGATGTATATGGGGGATGCCCTCTCTGTCCCCTTTATAGTCTCTTGCGATAGGTTAATTCTTCTATATGGTATTGTCCTTGCTTCTTTAAGCTTTCTGTTACGTGCATGAAGGCATGCCCACAGCATACAGGGACCAAGTATTAAGCGAAAAAACATTAATAACTAACCAAGCCAGTAGGGTTTCTGTTAACTTGCGTGTGGCCGTTGCCCGTGTATTTCTTCATGGGCCTGGGTCCTACCAATGGCTGTGGTTGAGTGTGCGCACTGTCCAGTGCATTCAACTGTGTCATGGAGAGTTTACCATTCTTCGAAGCCTGAGAGGTGGTTTTGGGCCCAAGCTGTTGAACTTAAGGTAATAAATTAAAGATTAAAATGCAAACGTCTTTTGTCAGTCCTCGGAATCTTTTGCAGTACTTTAGAATGGTACCACAGGGCTGGTTATATGCAATTAGAGGTTTGGATATTGAACAGTTTAGAAGTTCTGATATTCTATTTTCCTTTTCGTTCCTCCCAATGTAGCCAGAGTGGTGCTTATAGCAGCCAGTAGAAAATTCCAGACCCTGGCCCCGTCTGACAGCAAAACATTGATTGAACATTTTAACTTCATTAGATTTGAGGTCAACTGGGCTTAAGGTTGAACGTGCAAACTGCTTCTGTAAGTTCAAACATTTTACGGGGACCACAACGTGTAAAGCTAGAAATTTCGAAAACGCTCGATCGAGAACACTCTCACAACAAATGTTCTAAGAATGTTTCCCTGAGGCTAGCGCTTGAGTTAGCAAATAATACCTTCGTTTTTCGTGTCCACACGTTCGTTAGATTTTTGCAAACTTGTTCCCTCATCTACAACAACGGATACAGCTTTCTTCTTTGACAGATTTTTAAAACTTGATCTTTTTGTTTTCTTTTCTTCGAGTGACATCTGAGACAAGGATTTTCGCACTTCCGCTTCCTTCGCAGGCTTCGAGGGTTCATACAAACGTGCCTACAAAAAAAAGACCAGCAGAAGAGAATAAGTACACTCAGTCACCACTTAGGATTTTATTCACACACAACAATGTTAGGAGAGGCTTGTTAAGCATAATAACCGGCACTGCACGGAACATTGAATGGTCACTCATCCATGGACTCAAAAGCTAGAACCAGGGGGGGCTGGCAACGGCCTTTGATCTTGCCGCTTTTCGGCTTTCCGTGATCGCCCCAGTTAAGAAATCTGTCAATCATCCGAAAACTGTAGCGAGCATGCGCGGAACGGGTTGGGAAAACAACAAGTTCGTCTTAGCAGCTTTTTCGCAGCGATTCGGCAGTGTGAAGTGAAGTTGCTTTTGGTCCCGTTGGTCATTGGTTTCTTCGTTTTGTTCCTCGGTAATGTGGAGCTTACCTTTTCCTTTCTTCTGGTCTCGCGTTTGTCATTAAATGCCGCCCGGTTTACTACGGTAAGAACGAGACCAGTGAACATGTTTCTCGATGCCCGACCTTTTGATGATTCGTTTCTGTTTAGACGACCCACGAATTGCAAGAGTAAAAGAAGGGCCAACCCTCCAATACGTATGTAGAAGAGTTTATATTTCAATGGAAAGGCCCAAAATTAATTCTTCGTGGTATTAAAAAAGTGCGGTGCTGGTATGTGGTTGAGTAGAAGAGTTGTCAGAGTTCAGCTGAGAGTTGTTTACGGCTTCACTACACCTTTAAGACGACGAGAAATGATGATTGAGATTCTCAGTTCTACATTCTTGATTGTGAACTTATTATGGCAGAGTTGCGTTGGATGATTGAGTGGCATGGTCAAATCTCGTAGTTCATGTATTTCTTTATGTACGAGAAGCTAAATAAATTTTGCCAAGAGATCATTCTCTCTTGATTTTGCACATGTTGATATGCTTAAGTTCTTTTCTTCGTGCGATTTAATTTAAACTTTACCGTGGCGGGTAGTTTCTAACAAATGAATCTTAGGTAGATGAAAGGGTAATTATCTTGTGTGTTTGGAATTCTCTTTTCATGACAGCAGTTACTACACTGCCTTCAGTTTGAGACCTAATTCAAGTGTGTTTTGTTGCAAAAAAAGAGGGAAAAATTATAAATTTTACAAACTACACCACCCCTTGGAACAAGATTATGGTTTAAAAAAGATTAGCTAAGTTCAGAAAATAAATCTTCAAGTTTGCATGTTTTGACAAGGACTACATCTGGCTAAATATGCTTCCAAGGGAATGTATAAAGTCAGGAAAATGATGACATTTCTATTTTTGCCTTTCCTTTGGCCACGGTGATCAGTTTTTGCCATACAGTTGCATGTAATTTTTTACACTTTTGGACATCAACCTGCCAGGTTAGTTTGTGTCTGTATAAAAATGTACTTAATGAAATCAAACCCTCTCAACTTAAAAATTACCTTGTACCAGTGGATATGCAAAACACCAAAGGATGTCTTGGAAAAAATGTAAAATGATTATTAAGATAATATTATTAATTTTGTAGTCAACAATAACAGTTAGAAACTTGTGTTGAGGCAGGGAAAAACATTTTTCAGAGACCATAGACCTTCACTGACTTTGCTGTTAAAACAAGTGGTAAAAGGGTATTAAAATGTGAGATCACCTCCCTGGGCTTGCACTAAAAGAGAGAATGGGTAGTAGGACACATTGTTCATTTCCCCCACCCTTTTTATGCCAAGAGACCTGATTTTATAACCCTGATTCACTTCAGTTAGCATACAGAATTAAGTTAGCTTTTAAACTTAGAAAGATCGAAAAACTTGGGGAAAAAATTGGTGGTACCAAAAATGTAACTACAGACTGCTCTTCATCAACCTTCACAGCCCAAACAGACACCCTGTTCAAAACTCAAAAGGGTGAAATGGTCACCACCCTAAATCAGCAGCACATACCCATCTAGGCCAAATAACCCAAGGGTAGTATGTAGAAAGAACTGCTGAGGCGATTGAGCTCAAGGGACAATAACTTCTTTTGATGGTTGATAAAAAGTCAATTTTACCTTGTTTATTGTACTTGTAAATCAGATTCATAACTTACACAAACAATTGAAGTTGTACATTTTTCAAGGTCCTTCTGATTCTCTTTATAAACTTTGTAAAACATTCAATTTTCTTTTTTCTGTTTCTTGTACTTCAGTCCTTGGAGGGATTTTCTCAATGTATACTGAGCATATCCCTCTCTGATATACTTAGAATTAAAGACCTACTAGATGAAAAAAACAGATTCCTCACACTTAATAATTTTCTTTCAAAAACTGGCCTCAAGGCGCCTTTTACTAAGTTTTTTGGTTTAATATCAGCTATACCTTATAGATGGAAGTGCGCTTTGAGACCGGGATTTATCATGAACATTCAAGATATGGAACAAAATACAACTAAGGAAATTAACGTGGTTACTAGCAAGAAGGTTCGCAATATACTTATTCAAAGGAAATTTGTAGAACCGTTGGCTAGCCTTCGACTATGCAGGCAAGGATTGGACAGTTCCAAACTTAGTTCTATTTATATGCTTCCATTTAAAATAACTAAAGAAACAAAATTAAGCATATTTCAATATAAGATTGTTCATAATATTCTTCCACATGGGGTTCTGTTACACAGAATGAAAATCGTAAACTCTCCTCTCTGCATACATTGTGATTCCCTAGAAACGCTCTCCCATATGCTAGTTAACTGTATAGTAATTCAAAAGTTTTGGTTTGAAGTAATTAGCTGGTGGAAAACTCACAGTGGTGAATGTTTGCTATTTGATGACTTAAGTATAATGTATGGCTATAATCCCAAAGATCCTAAAAGGCAAATCCTTAACTATTATATCCTTCTTGGCAAGAGACATATCTTCCTGCAAAGGAGCGAAATTAAACCCCCAAGCTTTGATCACTTTCTTGAATTCGTTAAAGACAAGTTAATTGTGCAAAGATCGATTTTTATTCAAAAGGACAAAAAGCAAAATTTCTTTCACAATGGAAGCCTCTCCTCTCCTTACTGTAAATGATTATAATCTAATCTACGTATGCGTGAAGCAAGCCTGGTTGCAGTGTATGTTGTATTAATCGTTGGAATCTTAATTCTTAATTGTAATTTTTGTAACCTTAAATTTTGTAGTGAAAGTGTTGTAAGTGATGTAGTGGTAATAAAGATCTCTGTTAATAAAAAAAAAAAAAAAAAAATAAAAAAAAAAAATATCCCTCTCTGATATACTCACTCTTATTAGCAACTGGATTAACCTCTTGTCCCCACACCCAGATTCAAGTATAATTCAAAACTATGGGGTAATTTTTGTACAAACGATTTCAAGGAATTACTCAAAACCGAAGTCACTATCTAATATAAAACTGCTAAATACAGTACTGCTGTTGGAGCTATTTATTGATTATCACTCAAACGATATTCCAGTGAAGGTTTTGAAGATTCAATAAGCCCTTCCCTGCAGCCTTTTGATATTAAAAATAGCTTATACTGACAGACCCAGTATATGTGAAGCAAAGTGATTGGAAGATTTCACCTGGCTTTTACTAAATTAGCCCTGTATTCTGTATTTACACCCACAAATATTTGTTGTGGCTCCCGGTGTACAAACAAACTTACGAACAGCGAAGTACAAAATTGGTTTAATGAACATTCCCATATAACTGTTGCAAGACTCACACTAATATAATGAGCTCGAAGCATATGTTTAGGATAAGGCACAGAGTTCTTAATACCACCGTACGTGAAAAAATATATAAGAGATGGAGCAGGCTGCCCTGAGGCTTGTCGCTGGAAAATTCACGAAGCTTATAAATAACTGAACTTGCCAAGGTGCCGAATCACGATGAGCGAAGTCACTCATGAACTGTTCATACATCACGCCTCCTGATGTCCAAAAATTTCATGAGAAAAGTTCATGAAAACCTTTTCTCGATGTTTGGACGCCGTAAAACGTAAAACCGAGCGAAAACTCATCATCTTTCCATGTCCGCATACTCCGCCATATTTGTTTTGAAGGAAAATTGGTAATAAATCCCTGTTCTCCTACACTAATATAAAAAATCCGCTTAAAATATCTTCATGTAACATGTAACTATGTGTCACTCAACATAACTATGCATCACTACCCATCACCACCTATCACTGTCCATCACTAAACATCACTACATATCACTACACATCACTACATATTACTAAAGATCACTACCCATCACAACCCATCACTACACATCACTACCCATCATTACACATCACTATCCATCACTACACATCACTATCCATCACTATCCATCACTGTCCATCACTACCCATCACTATCCATCACTACACATCACCACCCATCAGTACACATCACTGTCCATCACTACACATCACTATACATCACTACCCATCACTATCCATCATTACACATCACTATCCATAACTACCCATCACTACACATCACTACCCATCACTATCCATCACTACACATCACTGTCCAACATTACACATCACTGTCCATCACTGTCCATCACTATGCATCACTATCCATCACTGCACATCACTATCCATCATTACACATCACTATCCATCACTAGACATTACTGTCCATCACTACACATTACTATCCATCGCTACACATCACTGTCCATCACTACACATCACTGTCCATCACTACATATCACTATCTATCACTATACATCACTATCCATCACTATCCATCACTACAGATCACTGTCCATTACTACACATCACTGTCCATCACTACACATCACTATCCATCATTACACATCACTGTCCATCACTGTCCATCGCTAAACGTTACTATCCATCACTACACATCACTGTCCATCACTACACATCACTATCCATCACTTCACATTACTGTCCATTACTACACATCACTATCCATAACTACCCATCACTACACATCACTACCCATCACTATCCATCACTACACATCACTGTCCAACATTACACATCACTGTCCATCACTGTCCATCACTATGCATCACTATCCATCACTGCACATCACTATCCATCATTACACATCACTATCCATCACTAGACATTACTGTCCATCACTACACATTACTATCCATCGCTACACATCACTGTCCATCACTACACATCACTGTCCATCACTACATATCACTATCTATCACTATACATCACTATCCATCACTACAGATCACTGTCCATTACTACACATCACTGTCCATCACTACACATCACTATCCATCATTACACATCACTGTCCATCACTGTCCATCGCTAAACGTTACTATCCATCACTACACATCACTGTCCATCACTACACATCACTATCCATCACTTCACATTACTGTCCATTACTACACATCACTATCCATCACTGCACATCACTGTCCATCACTACACATCACTGTCCATCACTACACATCACTATCCATCACTACACATCACTGTCCATCACTACACATCACTATCCATCATTACACATCACTATCCATCATTACACATCACTGTCCATCACTGTCCATCACTACACGTTACTATCCATCACTACACATCACTGTCCATCACTACACATCACTATCCATCACTTCACATTACTGTCCATTACTACACATCACTATCCATAACTACCCATCACTACACATCACTACCCATCACTATCCATCACTACACATCACTGTCCATCATTACACATCACTGTCCATCACTGTCCATCACTATACATCACTATCCATCACTGCACATCACTATCCATCATTACACATCACTATCCATCACTAGACATTACTGTCCATCACTACACATTACTATCCATCGCTACACATCACTGTCCATCACTACACATCACTGTCCATCACTACATATCACTATCCATCACTATACATCACTATCCATCACTACAGATCACTGTCCATTAATACATCACTGTCCATCACTACACATCACTATCCATCATTACACATCACTATCCATCATTACACATCACTGTCCACCACTGTCCATCACTACACGTTACTATCCATCACTACACATCACTGTCCATCACTACACATCACTATCCATCATTTCACATTACTGTCCATTACTACACTTCACTATCCATCACTGCACATCACTGTCCATTACTACACATCACTGTCCATCACTACACATCACTATCCATCACTACACATCACTGTCCATCACTACACATCACTATCCATCACTTCACATTACTGTCCATTACTACACATCACTATCCATCACTGCACATCACTGTCCGTTACTACACATCACTGTCCATCACTACACATCACTATCCATCACTACACATCACTGTCCATCACTACACATCACTATACATCACTGTCCATCACTATACATCACCATCCATCACTACACATCACTGTCCCTTATTACACATCACTGTCCATCACTACACATCAATATCCATCACTTCACATTACTGTCCATTAATACACATCACTATACATCACTGTCCATCACTATACATCACCATCCATCACTACACATCACTGTCCATTATTACACATCACTGTCCATCACTACACATCACTATCAATCACTTCACATTACTGTCCATTAATACACATCACTATACATCACTGTCCATCACTATACATCACCATCCATCACTACACATCACTGTCCATCACTACACATCACTATCCATCACTTCACATTACTGTCCATTACTACACATCACTATCCATCACTGCACATCACTGTCCATTACTACACATCACTGTCCATCACTACACATCACTATCCATCACTACACATCACTGTCCATCACTACACATCACTATACATCACTGTCCATCACTATACATCATCATCCATCACTACACATCACTGTCCATCACTACACATCACTATCCATCACTTCACCTTACAGTCCATTAATACACATCACTATACATCACTGTCCATCACTATACATCACCATCCAGCACTATACATCACTGTCCATTACTACACATCACTGTCCATCACTACACATCACTATCCATCACTTCACATTACTGTCCATTAATACACATCACTATACATCACTGTCCATCACTATACATCACCATCCATCACTACACATCACTGTCCATCACTACACATCACTATCCATCACTTCACATTACTGTCCATTACTACACATCACTATCCATCACTGCACATCACTGTCCATTACTACACATCACTGTCCATCACTACACATCACTATCCATCACTACACATCACTGTCCATCACTACACATCACTATACATCACTGTCCATCACTATACACCATCATCCATCACTACACATCACTGTCCATTACTACACATCACTGTCCATCACTACACATCACTATCCATCACTTCACCTTACAGTCCATTAATGCACATCACTATACATCACTGTCCATCACTATACATCACCATCCAGCACTATACATCACTGTCCATTACTATACATCACTGTCCATCACTACACATAACTATCCATCACTTCACATTACTGTCCATTAATACACATCACTATATATCACTGTCCATCACTATACATCACCATCCATCACTACACATCACTGTCCATTACTACACATCACTGTCCATCACTACACATCACTATCCATCATTACACATCACTATCCATCATTACACATCATTGTCCATCACTGTCCATCACTACACGTTACTATCCATCACTACACATCACTGTCCATCACTACACATCACTATCCATCACTACACATCACTATCCATCATTACACATCACTATCCATCATTACACATCACTGTCCATCACTGTCCATCACTACACGTTACTATCCATCACTACACATCACTGTCCATCACTACACATCACTATCCATCACTTCACATTACTGTCCATTACTACACATCACTATCCATCACTGCACATCACTGTCCATTACTACACATCACTGTCCATCACTACACATCACTATCCATCACTACACATCACTATCCATCACTACACATTACTGTCCATCACTGTCCATCACTATCCCTCACTATTCAGCACTACACATCACTACACATCACTATCCATCACTGCACATCACTAACCATCACTGTGCATCACTGTCCATCACTACCCATCACTACCCATCACTATACATCACTACCCATCACTGTAATTCACTGCAAATACTTGCGAGAGGTGAAAGGCCGCACATCTTCACCGGCGTGAAACCTTTGAAAACCTTTTACATATTGCTCCATTGAGGAGAACTCTGATCTTTCAGGTATCTTACAGTTTAAAATTTGAACCAAGATATAGCTTATATATAGCGGACCAAGATACAGCTCGGTACAGTTTATGTTCAGCAAGGGAAAGTTGTGTAAGTCGAGCAGAACGTTTAAAATGCAGATACCCTAAGATAGATAGATAGATAGAGATAGATAGCTTTATTAAAAATCCATTGCAGCCCAAGGGCTGGATTACGGACTGTACAATACGTTGAATACTAAGACTAACTATTATAAATCAATAACAGTAAATAAATAGAACAAAGGAACAAAGATACTACGTCATGAAATTTAAGAAAATAGCCGCGAATTTACAATAAAACCATTAGAAAATAGCCGCGTTATGCATGATAAAACTATTCATTAGTCTATTTGTTCTACAAAGAGGCACGTTAAAAGCGCGCTTTCTTCTTAAGGCTACAGTACTAAGATTACGTGGCGGCAAAAGGCCATGTAATTTGTGGACGCTGTTGTCCTTAATCTCATTGAATAGGCGCTCTGTCAGCCATTGGCGCCGTTGATGGAGGGTGGTAATATTGCACTCTTTGAGAGCCTCTTGATAGCCTAAATCTGGGGAAATAATTCTAAGTGCACGGCGCTGAATTTTCTCTAGCTCTTCAGAGAGATATTCAGGCAGACCATTGTGGAAAACTTGGCAGGCATATTCAGACATGGGCCGGATACACGTAGTATAGAAACAAAGTAGCTGCGCAGGATCTCCTTTTGCACGCTTAAGCTGCCTTAATAGATATAGCCTAGAGGCTCCTTTTTTGATAACATTCTCTATGTGAGCGTTCCACTTTAGATTGTTTGAAATTGTGAGACCAAGAAGTTTTGCGCTAGTTACAACCTCAATTGGTTTGTTGTTAATAGTAACTGCTTCGAAAGGATCTACAGACCTTGAGAGACTTATCTCTTACGCGTTTAAGAGAGTTATTCATCCATGGCGCCTCGTTCACTGATATCGACTTTTCTTTCAAGGGCATGATTGCGTCCATTCCGGAAATGATAGCTTCTTCCATTAACTGTACTTTCTCATCACATGTATCTTTGTTCTTAACAAGGTCGGCGATGTTGACTTTTTCCAAGTATGAACTCAGAGCGACCCTGTAACTTTCCCGCTGGTCTCTTGTAATGATGGATCGTTTTAGTGGTTGAGATTTACAGCGAGACAAGGGCTGGAGTTCAACAGATGCGTGATCTGACAGACCACAAGCTGGGCGTTTTATTGGCTCCTCATAGAATTCTTTGATGTTGGTCAAGACGAGATCCAGAGTCTGATTTCCTCGAGTATGGAATTTGACAATTTGGTCCAGCTTAAAAGCGTTCCTAAAACTCGAGGTATCGAGTCTGTTAAAATCCCCCATGATCAAAACTCCACAATTTGAAAAACGCGATTCAATTGTAGACATTGAGTCGTAGAGATAGAGCAAGATCTCAGAGTCAGAAACGCCTGTCTGTGGATGGTAAAAATTGGCAATGATTATACAAGATAATCCCCTAAGGAGGCGCGAAGGTCGTAATTGAAGCCAAATTGCTTCAATTTTATCATCATGTAGATCTTCTAAAACGGTATACTTCAGCCCTTTCTTGATGTAGGTACAAACGCCTCCGTGTGTAACGTCTATCCTGTCTCTTCTCACTAGGTTATACCCAGGAATACAGACGACATTGTCGTGAATGTGGTCGCGCAACCAGGTCTCTGTTATGCAGGCAATGTCCAAGTTTGCATTTGTAATAACATCAGAGACTTCATCCACTTTGGGGGCCAAAGACATTACGTTCGACAATAAGACAGACGGAACTTAGACTTTCCTCGCTCCTTGTTGGTTTTGTTGTGATGGAGAAATGTTATACAATTAGCCATGTTTCGGTGTCGCCGGGAGCTTCGTGAATGGTTGATACGGTTGGTTAGCTGCGTTTCGATGGGATAGCGACATCTGTTTGCTCTTTCCCTCACTCGGCGGCCGGCTCTTATCCCTCTAAAACAGGGCCACATGCGCCTAACATCCTTGCAAAGATTTCGAAACTGATAAAACTCCATAAGACTTAAAAATAAAAACAAATTTCCAATAAAATTAGCGGAGCCAAAAAGTGCAGCCAAGCACGGCGCATTTACAGCAGCTATGGAATAATTATTATATTTTTGAGCAGACAAATCTCATAAACGGGCCACAAACTCAACAGGAGTACGCGCGAACTGAACAAATTGTCTGTTGTACATTTTAAACGTTCTGCTCAACTTACACAATTTTCCCTCGCTGAACATAAACTGTACCGAGCTGTATCTTGGTCCGCTATATATAAGCTATATCATGGTTCAAATTTTAAACTGTAAGATCCCTGAAAGAGGTCTCCGGCAATGGAGCAATATGTAAAAGGTTTTCAAAGGTTTCACGCCGGTGAAGATGTGCGGCCTTTCACCTCTTGCAAGTTTTTGCTCGCAATGATCCCCTTTTTTTTTTTCAAGAAAGAATAAGCCATTCTCAGATTTGTTATCCAGAGTGACCATGCCACTTTTCCTTTAAAGTGCCCTTTGTATTTTTGCTTCAATATTAAGCAATGTTTCTGTAACTAGTCACTAAACAATAAAGACAAAAGTGTTTACGAAAAGAAGAAAATGTTAAAAAGTGCTTCCAAATAAACATGCTCTTTTTGCTTAAAAAACGACCACTATAGTTTAAAGCTGTAATAATATTACAGGACTGAGGTCCTGGCAGTTTCAACATGCTGTAACTGCATTACATAACTTGACTGATGATACCGTATTGGCAAATAAATAAACAAAAATAGCAACAACAAAAGTCATGTGCTTATGTGCCTTATACTTTGAAATAAGAAGTTTTATTGATTATTATTCATTGTGATATTGGGTTATTAGGGGTATGCCAAAACCGAGGTTCGGTTCGCGCCGCACAGGGAGCTTTAGCATCGACGACGGCAACGGCAGCGAAAACGTCAGTTTTAAAATGAATTCCCATTTTTTCAATCTTTCTCGCGTTTATTCTAATTTGCTGAAAATGGCAAGTGTAGGCGAATTTCCCTGGAGTTGATTTCTTGAGGACCGCACTCAAGTTTAGAGAGAGAAAAAGAGATTCGTCGTCGCTTGTTTACGTCCTCCATAAAACTTGTAATTAGGCATTTTCACGTCGTAGTCGTGCAAGGACGGTAAAGAAATGTACAAAAAAGCGTGATGCACGTGCAAAGTTGTTGTTTTGCGTAATAAACCTATTGCTTTTTTGACGTCCTGGTTGCCGTCGTAGTCGTCGTTGCTAAAGCTCACAGCAACGACGACGGTAACAGCAACGAGGAAGCAATACGGGTTTAATTTTATTACGCAAGACATCAACTTTGCACGTACGTCACTCATTTATATACATTTCTTTACCGTCCTTGCACGACTACACCGTGAAGATGGCGACGGCAACGAAAAGGTCACCTTTAAAATGAATTAGCACTTTTTCAGACTTTGTCGCTATTATCACAAATCGCTGAAAATGTCTACTGTAGGTTAATTTCCCTAGAGTTCATTTCTTGGCGACCGCACTCAAGTGTAGAAAGAGAAAGAAATTTCGTCGTAGCTTATCAACGTCCTCCATAACGTGAAATTAGGCATGAGAAGAGCTTATACAGTCAATAAGAACGGCGTACAACTTTTTATCACAGGTGGAAGGATAACCGATCTAAGAAAGCGTAAATGCCTTTGAGCAATCAAAGCCGTTAATCGTTTGCATTCACATGGCTTTCATTTATAGCAGCGCCTTCAACTTGTACTTCAGAAACTGGCAAGACGAAGAAAAACTACAACAGGTTTGGGTAGGTTCTTGGCTGATTAGTTTACTCCTCATAAACGTTTGTGCGGCATCAAAGCATGTTCCTAACTCGCTGCTCTAGTGATTTATTTAAACAATAAACTAGTTTTCAATGTACATGAAAGGAACGGTCATCTACCAATTTTTAGCCTTCCTCAAGCTATGAAAAGAATAGTGATGTGGTAGTGACGGACAGTGATGTTTAGTGATGTGTAGTGATGGATAGTGATGGATAGTGATGGACAGTGATGTGAAGTGATGGGTAGTGCTGTATAGTGATGGACAGTGGTGTGTAGTGATGGACAGTGATGTGTAGTGATGGATAGTGATGGATAGTGATGGGTAGTGATGGACAGTGATGTGTAGTGATGGATAGTGATGGGTAGTGATGTGTAGTGATGTGTAGTGATGGGTAGTGATGGATAGTGATGGATAGTAATGTGTAGTGATGTGGAGTGATGTGTAGTGATGTGTAGTAATGGGTAGTGATGGATAGTGATGGACAGTGATGTGTAGTGATGGGTAGTGATGGGTAGTGATGTATAGTGATGGATAGTGATGTGTAGTGATGGACAGTGATGTGTAGTGATGGATAATGACTTGTAGTAATGGACAGTGATGTATAGTGATGGATAGTGATGTATAGTGATGGATAGTGATGTGTAGTGATGGATAGTGATGTGTAGTGATGGACAGTGATGTGTAGTGATGGATAGTGATGGATAGTGATGGATAGTGATGTGTAGTGATGGGTGGTGATGGACAGTGATGTGTAGTGATGGATAATGATGTGTAGTGATGGATAGTGATGTGTAGTTGTGGACAGTGATGTGTACTGACAGATAGTGATGTTTAGTGATGGACAGTGATGTGTAGTGATGGATAGTGATGTGTAGTGATGGATAGTGATGGGTAGTGATGGATAGTGCTGGATAGTGATGTGTAGTGATGTGTATTGATGGACAGTGATGCGTAGTGATGGGTAGTGATGGACAGTGATGTGTAGTGATGGATAGTGATGGATAGTGATGTGTAGTGATGGGTAGTGATGGATAGTGATGTGTAGTGATGTGTAGTGATGTGTAGTTATGGACAGTGATGTGTAGTGATGGATAATGACTTGTAGTAATGGACAGTGATGTATAGTGATGGATAGTGGTGTGTAGTGATGGACAGTGATGTGTAGTGACGGATGACGATGTGAAGTGATGGACAGTGATGTGTAGTGATGGACAGTGATGTGTAGTGATGGATAGTGACGGGTAGTGATGGACAGTGATGTGTAGTGATGGATAGTGATGGATAGTGATGTGTAGTGATGGACAGTGATGTGTAGTGATGGGTAGTGATGGGTAGTGATGGACAGTGATGGGTAGTGATGTGTAGTGATGGGTAGTGATGGATAGTGATGTGTAGTGATGTGTAGTTATGGACAGTGATGTGTAGTGATGGATAATGACTTGTAGTAATGGACAGTGATGTGTAGTGATGGACAGTGATGTGTAGTGATGGATAGTGATGGGTAGTGATGGACAGTGATAGGTAGTGATGTGTAGTGATGGGTAGTGATGGATAGTGATGTGTAGTGATGTTTAGTGATGGGTAGTGATGGGTAGTGATGGGTAGTGATGGCTAGTGATGTGTAGTGATCTTTATTGATGGGTAGTGATGGGTAGTGATGGACAGTGATGTGTAGTGATGTGTAGTGATGGACAGTGATGTGTAGTGATGGATAGTGATGGGTAGTGATGGACAGTGATGTGTAGTGATGGATAGTTATGGATAGTGATGGACAGTGATGTGTAGTGATGGATAATGATGGACAGTGATGTGTAGTGATGGACAGTGATGTGTAGCGATGGATAGTGATGGGTAGTGATGGACAGTGATGTGTAGTGATGGATAGTGATGGACAGTGATGTATAGTGGTGGACAGTGATGTGTAGTGATGGATAGTGATGGGTAGTGATGGACAGTGATGTGTAGTGATGGATAGTTATGGATAGTGATGGACAGTGATGTGTAGTGATGGACAGTGATGTGTAGTGATGGATAGTGATGGGTAGTGATGGACAGTGATGTGTAGTGATGGACAGTGATGGGTAGTGATGTGCAGTGATGTGTAGTGATGGGTAGTGATGGACAGTGATGTTTAGTGATGGATAGTGATGGGTAGTGATGGACAGTGATATTTAGTGATGGATAGTGATGGACAGTGATGTGTAGTGATGGGTAGTGATGGACAGTGATGTGTAGTGATGGATAGTGATGTGTAGTGATGTGTAGTGATGGGTAGTGATGTGTAGTGATGTGTAGTGATGGGTAGTGATGGATAGTGATGGACAGTGATGTGTAGTGATGGATAGTGATGGGTAGTGATGTGTAGTGATGTGTTGTGATGGGTCGTGATGTGTAGTGATGTGTAGTGATGGGTAGTGATGGATAGTGATAGATAGTGATGTGTAGTGATGGGTAGTGATGTGTAGTGATGGATAGTGATCTGTAGTAATATGTAGTGATGTGTAGTGATATGTGGTGATATAAAGTGATGTGTAGTGATGGACAGTGATAGGTGGTGATGGGTAGTGATGCATAGTTATGTTGAGTGACACATAGTTACATGTTACATGAAGATACTTTAGTTGGATTTTTTGTATTCGTGTAGGAGAACACGGATTTATTACCGGAAAATTGGTACTCAGTCTCACTCGGCCAAATTTCTTAACTGGGGCGATCATGTAAACTCGGTTCCAGACCTCGCTGCCAGCCCCCCCCTGGCTAGAACCACCTTATAGAGCATAATATATAAATTTAGCCGGGGCTAAAAGCGAAGCCCTCGTTACAAAACGTATAATTTACTCAAGCAAAAATAAAAACGTGTAATGCTAAACGGCGACGGCATTGAGAACGGCAAAGAAAAACCAACAACAACAACGACAAAACAACTACCACAACACTAGGTTTAATTAGCAAAAAACAACTTTGCACGTGCAGCACACTTTTTGTACATTTCTTTGCCGCTGTTGTTGCACAACTACAACGTGAAACTTTCTAGTTACATCTTTCACGGAGAAAACATCGTATGTTCTCCCCCCCAAAAAAATTACTGTTTGTGTTTCTGTTCACTTTCTTTTTCACTGCCGCTCATTTTAACCTTACTGGCCTCTAACATTTATTTTCTCATTTTTCTTCTGGCAACACCGCTTTTAAAAATTTCACGTTGTGATTCTAAATTTGCCTCTTTTGTTTTTTATCTCTCGCTCTAGCTCTTTCTCTGTTATCCACGTCAGCATAGACATTAAAATTTAGTCGAAAAATAGACTCAGCTTCGTTGTTGTTTTTTTAGCTCTCTAACAGTCCGGTTGGCCAAGATGACCGTAACACAGACGTCTGTCATCAAGTTATTAAAACCGCACGGGTCGAAGATTCCACTCAAATTAAAAAAGGTCATTTCACATTGGTTATCCCGTGGTGAGGACGGAGCACGTACGGTCACGCGACTACCAAAATTTCTCCGATGCATGAATAACCAAATTTTCTCACCTATGGTGCTCCGCTTACAAACATTACCATAGGAACGTACTACTTAGTATCCTCACACTTTAGGACTCCAAAGGAAAGCACTTCTCTGTTGCTTTCATTTGAGTGGTCACAATTTACGATTTCATCTACACATTCAAACGTTGGAGTCATCTTGAAGAGTATAATAAACATACGCACAGGAAAGTACTGTTTATACTGGCCTTCATTTGTGTGGTCACATCAAGTCGGAAACAAGGTAATACTTTGGAACTGTGCATGGCGCAAAAATGCATTGTGTACTTTACTTTTCGAAATGACGTGAGTTGCCTTGAATTTTTTTAACTTATACCTTGGTGCTGGACAAGCAGTCTCCCTTCGGTTGCCATGGAAAGAAAGGATAAGGTTGAACGGGAGTCCTGGGTCTGAGTGATGGCGATGGCTGAAACTCAGTCTCCTGTGCTATTATACCGGCTGTCTTGTAGCGCGAGTTGTACATAGTGATTTTTCGCGCCAGATCCAAGGCTGAACTGATTCTGTTTTCGTTCCGACTCAGTCGCGGTACTGGAGAGGTGCATTCTACAAAACAAAATCGCAGAAATAAGTTCCCTTCCTCCGGTTGTCGTGTATCTTGACTTTGACGTCCACGCATTAAGAAGATGGTTAATCTGTCGAAAGCGAAGGGGAAAGAGGTTAATTCGCGTTCCTTCCGCCTTGTCACAAGCCCATTTCAGTCCCCAATCCCCCCGACCGCTTGCCGCGCACACAGTTGAGGGGCTTATTGTGACACTGGACTCCACACACACGACGCTTGCAACAATAGCCGTCTGTAACTACTTTCGATGTAAATAAAATGAGTAAATTAAGAGAAATACGTTACTACGGTTTATGCTTTCACCATAAATCAAAGACATCAGACCTAATAATGCTAACACATTGGCCGCTTTTATACTAGAGGACGCGTTATCCGTCCACACGCACGGATAATGCGTCTATGGCCTTCTTTATACTACAGTCGCATTATCCGTCTGTACGAAATTGGGCAAACATTTTGTAGTTCGTCTGGTTATGCATCCCAAGTATAAAAACGGGCACAAGACGCATTATACGTCTGGACGAAATATCCTTTGTAATACGTCTTGAACGACGCACTAAGAAAGGTAGCTCGTCTGGAAACATGCGTCTTGTGCCCGTCTTTATACTTTAGACGCATATCGAGACGAACTACAAAACGTTTACCCAAGTTCGTCCACATGGATAATGCGTCCTTAGTATAAAAACGGCCATTGTTAAGGAAAACTAATGACCATGAATGACGCAAATTATCATTATTTATTATTATCAAGTTTGAAACTTCTATAAGAAACACAAAAATGCTCAATTCAGATTTGGTTTCGTTTGCTTTAATGAAACTGTCAAACAGTGGACCGATGCTTACACACATGATTGGAGGGGATTTAACGAAACCAGGCAAAAAAACTTGTTCAAATCAGGTTTACTTGAAATAGACACATTGAATTCTGTACACACATTCAGTTAAAGAGTCAATGATGTAAAGGGAAAAACAAACAAACGAAAAAACACTATTTCGCTATAATCGTATTTAAACCGCGCGCGTTCACTGTGTTAAAACGTTTTCTTTCATTTCACGTACCAGTTGTTTTTTCCAGCTGCTTCGCCAAGTAAGACACTGTGAAATGTCCCTCTTCTTCACTAATTTCAAATCCTTGAGGGTGAGGCACATGACTGGCCACAGACCAACCACTTATGCTAACAAAACAGGATTTACATGAAGCACAAACCACAAAGCTCCATACAATGTTTTATAAAACAACATATAGGGTACAAGAGGTCATGGTTGGCGAGTGCATTTTCCTAACGGTACTCTATTCTGGGTATGGTGTCTTTGCTCCCTTCTTGTAACTTGTAGTATGCTACACAGCCGTTTTTAGTGTCGTCACGCAACGCATCCTGTGGGGAGGAGCGTTGCGTGACGACACTTAAAACGGCTGTGTAGCAGACTATGTAACTCGCCTCTTATTCTGTGAATTTATTCTGCACTAGTTTGCTTGAACCACCCTACCCTTCCCTTTTTGCTCTTGCGTCGGATTTCACGCTTTCCTTTTACGGGAACGGGTGCTAAGCAGCAGGGGCACCCAACGACGGTTTCCTCCCAAAGAAATTGAAAACACTTTTAGGCTATCCAGAGTACTGTTAGATCTCTAGAAATGCATTCTGAGCGGCGCTATAAAATTTGTACCTGTTCGGTCATCCTAGGAGAACTAAAGCCTTTTCGAAATCACAAAGGCTTGAATATTTAATTCCCCGAAAAATTTTAGATGCAATTTGACGTATTACGACAGTGAGACATTTCTGATTCCTCTCTCCATCGCATTTTTGAATCCGAAAATGTTAGGTTTCCTTTTTTGTAAGAAAAATAGCGTAACTTGGGAAGTAAAATGTGAAAATAAAAGTTACCATTTTTATTCGGAGCAGTGAAAAGAATAGCATTAACAACACAAACTCAACTATTAAGTACTTTCCTTGCGTCTATAGAAATTTATCTTGCTCGCGATCAAACTTTGCAGCACTTTACCCGAACGTGGCTTAAGCAATTTTTGAGGTTCCATGGCAAACACTTCATAAATGTAGAATAATAAACCTGCTTTGATGATTAACTCCTCATATTACAAGATGAAATTGCTTACTTGTCATTTCGTTCAGGAGACAGCGTTTCCTTTAAGTATGTTTTACCATCCGTGTAGCGAAAATGTGGAACATCTGAAGAAAAAAGAAAACACTAAGTGAGATTGTGAATGGAATACAGTCAAACCTAGTTAATGCAGACGCAATTGGCAAAAGGGACGGAGCCACGGTCCGTATTATGACGTCAAGAGCTGTATGAAGCTTGGTATATCTGGGACCGCGACAGCTGTCCAAAATAGAGAGGTGCCCTTATAAATGAATGCGTAGGTACCAACAAATTGACGCGCGTCTATTGGGAAACTTCAAGTGAAAATAGCTCGCTAACTGATAAAGGTCAAACTAACTTTGGTGGTGGTTAGCCTGTGTACAGCCACCCTCTCCCCGTTTTTTTTTTTCGAGGAGTGGGGGCGGCTGTACACAGGCTAGCGGTGGGTGGCTTTAATAAAATGACGATGGCCGACAAAAATGGCTTCTTTACCTTTAGACTCGGTCACTAGCACTCCACTCATCATGTACGCGCTGGTCACAGCTTCCAGGTAATCATGCTGTAAAAATATTAAAAGCGCTGATACAGTCAAATGCTTTGTTAGTTTTCTTTGAGATGTTTCACCCTTACAGACTCTGATCGTCATATTATCGCTTCTTTGGAGAAGGCTACAGATTACCTAGGGTTCCCCACACCCTACATCGGAGAGACAACGTGTTGGCCAACTGATGGGACATTCATACTATCCTACATTCCTGCTCCTCTCAAATTCTTTGTCTGTTTCTGTCTATAAATCTGTGTCTTCGGTCCCTTTGGCGGAAGTTGGCAATAATAACAAAGTCAAATGAGTTCAAAGCAAATTGATTTCGTCGCCACGCCGGATGCACCCTAATCTTTCCACTTGACTGTAATAAACACGTGGTAAAAAAGTTGACAATAGAAGAAAATAACTGGCGGAATGCAAACTTGTACGTCGCAATCGTTCGGAAGGTCGTACTAAAATAAATTACCTCTGGATAGCCAGCTCCTGGGATAGCCCGTTCCCCTTGTGGGACAAGCGGAACACTATTTTTAGGTGACTTACAGAAAAGGTAAAGAAAAAAATGTCCGTCGGGTTTTAAATGGAGGAGGAGGGGAAAGTATAATCACCTTGGAAATTGACAGACATCCATAGTAAAGAGCGTTCTTGGAACTACATTATTGACCTACCCTACAAGAATTTCCATCCATTCTCAACACGCTGGGTTGTGAGGCAGGCGTGGATGATCTGCTGTTTAAATCCTTGTGTTCATGCTTTCGAACCTGTGGATTGTCCATCTTCATCCGCGCTGGACTGGGTTGAGAAGACCGCTGGAGAAGATTAAAAGAAATCGATTAATTTGGAAGAAGGAGATTTCTAACACTAGAAAGCTCCGGGTCAGAATCGCACTCACGACCCTCCGAGTTCTAGTTCAAACGGTCTAACCACTGAGCTACAGTGAAACCCCGCCTTACGGCCACCTCGTTAATACGGTCACTTTTTGTTTGGCCGCCTGGCAAAAGCCGCCATACATTTTCTCGTTAAAAAAAAGACCTCGTTAATATGGCCAAGTTTTTTTTGCCCATTGGTGACCGTATTAACGCGGTTCCACTGTACTGTGTCGGCATAATCTCACACTCAGGGTCTCAAGACTTCTCCGTCAACGGTTGGTCGCCGGGGAGAGTAATGAATCGGTTTTCTACCATTGAGTGCAATTGGCAAACTTTCGTCTTTCTGCGACAACGCGTAAACTGAATAATCGCTTCCAATTCGAGTACAGAAAATTGGAGACAAGTTTACATTCGATGACTCTGTCCACCATAGGATCGCTGTGCTGAAATACTGACCACAAAATTAGTTAATCACCAACTGCTGACAAGGAACAGCTGAAGGAAGTCTGTCACCTCTAATTTCGAGATTTAATAACGTTACGAAGACAAGATTTTATAATTATATAATTTTTAATTTCTTGAGGATCTCGTTATCTCACTGGAGGACGCAGCGTGGCCGAGCAGTTAGAGCACTAGAATTGCAATCCGGAGGCGCCGGATTTGTTCTCGGTAGTCCGGATTTCAACTGTTCGGTCACGCTTGTAAAATAGCTAATTGGTTTGCCTCCGGCCAATTTGGATTGTTCACCTTGATAAGTTTATTTTCAAATATTTGTTCTGTTCTTACTTGAGATCTACAATTAAAACAACTGGGTTACCAGTAATCGTTCTACCTCTATAAAGTTGACTATTTTTATAACCGTTTTGTCTGGATATCAGTTTACGGGGTTTCATCTGGATATCTCAACACAACTTAGACGCTCACCTTCGGATGATGTCTTTGATACATTAACTTGACTTCATTAGGTGGATCGTGTTGCTGGTAAAATAGAAACAAGGAACAAGTCACGTATAAACAATTAATGTCAAGAGGAAGTCTCACCTATAAGCCTTCATGGCTTCTTGAGACTTCCTCGCCTTTTGAGAATTTTTTGTCTTTTGAAATGTGTATATTACGTGTAATTCCGTGATGCTTTTTCCCCTTCATTTATATGTAAAAAAGGCAAAAAAGAATCAATAAACATTGTTAAAAGTACAGCGGGAAAATGTCAACAACCACAAAGTAGGGTGTTACATTCTCGTCGGTGATTTATTTTTTTGTCTCTGTATTCAAAGCTTGCGACAAGCTAAGCAATATATATACAGGCAGCTTTTTCTAAGACGGACACCTTCGGGACCGGCACTATGTGACGGTCTTAGAGAGATGTCTGTGGCGTCGTTTAGATAGTCAGCCAAGGAGTAACTGAGGAAGGTAAGCCGGGACCACTTCTAGGTATCCGCTTTAGCGAGGTGTCTGTTTTATAGAGGTGTCATTAGGGAGCTTAAGCAACAACGACGGTAACGTCTACGAAAACGTCACTTAAAAAAAAGAAATACCTTGAATTCGCCCTACTTCAAACTTTATCGCGCTCATTCCAACTCGTTTAACTCGCCAAATGTTGGCAAGTTTTTCTTGAGTTGAATTCTAAAGGACTGTATCAAAGTTCAGGAAAAGAAAGAGAAAGTCTTTGTCTTCGTAGGCGCTTTCACATTGTAGTCCTGCAGCGACGGCAAAAAAAATGTACAAAAAAGCTTGATGCACGTGTTGTTTTGCCAATCTAAACCTATTGCTTTTTTGCCGTTCTCGTTGCTGTCGCCGTCGTCGTTGCTTGAGCTCCCTATTTAAGAGGAAGTTGACTGTAACAACACTTACAGCAGATCTTTTGGCCACATCAGCTAACAACACGTCCTTGACTTTCATGGCTTTCGCACGTCGCTTGTTACGTTCTTTTCTTGTCTTTAATTTTTTCTTCCTTGGTTCCTAAAAAAAATAAGAGACTAATTAAGATGGCCTCCTTCGCTTAAACTGTTTCAAAAGTGATAATGCGAAAAAAAGTAATCATTTCTTTGGGTGTGAAAGGTTACTTTTGTGATTGGCTAGCAAAAAATGGCACCGCTTTACCAACAAAACCAGATGACATCTGGCCGGCATTTTCGCGCGCTTTTAAGGCGACGCACCGGCTATATGTATACGTTCGGAATTCTAAGTGGTGCAATGAACGTCTGTGTTTTTGCGATTGGCATGCAAAAGTAATAAGATTACGAAACGCAATTAAAACAACATTACCGAGATAAATACTTACCAATTTCAGTCCCTCAGGAGCGTAAATTAGATGCATCGGAAGACCGTCCGACACGGAACTGTCTGAACCACCAGTGCTAAAACGGAAAAAAGATTATTTCAAAGATCGTACAAGGAAACAAAAAGATTATATCCTGAGGCCTCCAGTGCTTCCCAGGGTATTCTATCTTAAGCCTTCTGCTAATAACTTTTAAACGGCTTTTCAATGGCTTTTACCATAACTAAACTTAAAGGGTTTATACTTTTCACGTACCTCGATTCTATATCCGATGGGTAATTAAGGTCCAGATCTATGTCGGATTCCGTCAAGTTATGTGCAGCAGTTCCTTTGCGTTTCATGTTTTCTAAAATATCTGCCTTCATTTTTAATTCCAGCTCTCTTAAGATGGTTATGTACTGAAAAGAAAATTAATCGTTGTGGGATTACGCGAAAGACTGGGTAAGAATTGCGTCGAACTGCACTGTGGGGCTGTTTTGGGGGACGAATTTTGAGCCACTTTTTCTACAGTAAGTCAGTAAGTAACATCCTAATATGCAACAAAAGAAGAGAACGCGTCCCGTGAACAGTTCTATGGTGGAATTCGAGACAACACCGACCCAATTTCAGCCTCACAGTTGCCAATATAATGAAAATCAATTAATAAGCGCCGGTCTGCCAAGCGGGAGGCCGCCGGTTCAAACATCAGCCGAACCAACACTCAGGTTTTTAAACAGCTGAGGAGAAAGTTGCTGCCTTTCTAATGACTTCTGTAAACGGTTAGATTTCCTAGTCTTCTTGGATAAGAAGGCCACGTCTCTAAACCCTTTGTTTATATAATAAATTATGCGTAGGACGATAAAGGACCCACACACGGTTCGTAAGTAAGATCCACGGACGCGAGGGCAACGAGAAAGTCGCTTGAAAAGGGAATTTGCGTTCTTTCGGTCTTCACCGCGACTATTCCTACCGACTTACTTCGTCAAATGCAGGCGAACCCTCCTGAAGTTGAATTCAAGGGGACCATATGCAAGTTCAGAAAGAGAAATAAAATTTCGTCGTTGCTTGTTTACGTTCTCTTTAAAACGCGAAATTAGACATTTTCATGGCGTAAAACGGTAAAGAAATGTACAAAAAAGTGTGATGCACGTGCAAAGTTGTTTATTTTGCTTATTAAACCTATTGTTTTTCGCTTTTATTATTTTCTTTTTTGACGTTCTCGTTGCGGTCATTGGATCTTAACCCTTTAAGCCCCAATATCCACAAGCGAATTCTCCAAACTGATCTCTATACATTTCTTTAAAGAATAAGTTGAGAGAGTTTGATAAAAGATCAAAGCATTTTCTCTTTGGTGATCATTTAATTAATTCTCATAACCTAATCTCTTGACATTGTATGGATATTGTTATGAGAAGGGGACGAAGACCCCGGTGTGGTGGTCAATCTCAAATTCACACTCACATAGGGGGCATCAATACTCTTTCTTTCAGTAATTGTAAACTGTACCATAAGCAGTTTAGAAGAACGTCCCCCAACCAGTGTTGAAAATTATTCCTGAAAAGCCTTGAGGGTAGTGGGTGATAAGATATTCACATTGCTTCTTTTATTTAAATCCCGTTGTGCTGGAAATCAAAGCTACGACAAACCTTCGAATCATCAGGATCACAGTAGTCTAACAGAGTGTCACACAAATGATATCCCATTGACTCAAAGTCGACTGTGTTAAAGTGATACCCTGCACGTTTTCCCAATGACGAGCCACAGAAGGTTGCCTAGGAAAAACAAACGAACCAAACTAAAGGCATGGCCACAAAATCAGAAAAATTTTAAGACACGCAGGTGACTCCGGTATGGTTTGATTCTCAGATACGTGTACCTGATGTAGACACTGAGTGGTCGTTGGCACGCAGGCTAAGATGAACTTGGACGTTTACAAAATACAATACTGCACTGTGCAAAATGTTTTTCAACGAACCATTAGCATAGTATTCAGTTTCATTAAAGTTGAGATTTATATGAATAAGACTCTGAGTGGTTGCTTACGAGAGCTTTAAAACAAACGAAAAGTCCAGTTGGGTGATTCCAAAAAGTGGTTGCGATCGCTTACAAAAGCGGTCTCTTACGAAAGCTTTTCATTACAAAGTTTCAGTCACGGGTCAAACGGGGTTTCACAAAGGTGGTCGTAACTAGAGCTGGACGCTTACGAGAATGGTCGTAAAGAGAGCTTCGACTGTAGTTTGAAAAGCTGTACGTCGAGTAATAGCAGACAGCTCACACAGACACTACTCACTGTAGAAACGTCTCGCCGCAGCGTGGACTAGCATGCAAAACATTAAAAAAAACGACACGCAGAATTACCTCCATAGTGAAGCTGTTCAAAATTCCCAAGTTCCACATCACAATTCTCCCAGTTCCTTCCTGCACAGGACAACCAAGAACAGCACAATCAAAAATACGCTATCATATCAGGTATCCCCCATAGAGCAGCCAAAATTACATACAAGACTAACTAAAGGAAACCAACTCTGTTCATTTTATCCCCAAAACGATACACCTACCTTGCTTTTTTGGACCTTAAATTTGCAGCTTTTGAATGAGAACTACGGTGAAAGAAAAAAAAGTAAATTCAGGTTACAACTACAAGACGAGCAGAAAAGGACAAACAAAGCAACAACAACAAAACAAGGCTGATTTTACATAAGTATATCACACCTGCAACAAAATTTACCTTGGTTGGCGCATTTTTCGAAATCATTACAGGAAAAATTCTCTCCCTGAGTCTTTTTAGGGGATCAAACCTATTTTCACAGCCATATATAAACACATTCTGTTTACGACTATGCCCATGAAGATCACAGTACAAAGTTATGTCTCGTTCCTCTAACAACCTGCCAAAAAAATGCACAATTACGTAGATTTTAGACTGTACTGAAAGTCCCAAGCATTCAAGTAAAGTTCACTACAGACGAAGAACATACTCACTTTCGAACCATGCTCCTCACGTGCCATATTGGAGGAAAAGAATCTTTCAAAACCGTCTTATAGTTCCTGTTCAGATCTCTGCCAGCCAATGAACAGCGATAGTTTCCAACAATGACTCCATCTGGGTTCAGCATGGGAACAATCTTGAAAATGAACGTGTCTCGTAGAAGCTGCAAACAAGAGAGAAAAGACCACATTGATTCCAATTCCAATTTCTTATGGAGTCTTTTGGAGTTGAACTCTTCAAAGTTCCAAATGTCGTCGGCACTTGTTTACGTCCTTTGCTTTTAGGGTGGATTAATTTGAAGCATACAGCTATTTCGCATGATTTCAAGAAAGGTTGTCGGAAAAAATGTACACACGAAAGGTAATATGGGATATGAAAGGTAATATGGGATATGATCATTACACTGCTCCTAACGACTGTCGCTGTCGAACCTACTTTTGTTGCTTTCCTTTAGCACTCGCAAACATATGTCCGTGGCCTCCCGTGCCATTCTTTCAAATTTCTTTGAGGACCAGTGCACTCAAAAGCACCCACAATACCTTTCGGGTTTGTCGCGTGCACTTTTTCCGACAACCTTTCTCGAAATAGCTGTATGCGTATGGCCGTCTCCTTGGCCTCTTGGGAATTTTTACTGTTTTTAAGCCGGAAAACAATGAAACATTTCAACGGATATGCGAGTATGCTGAAAATGAATCGACCTATAAGGGATACGTTTGAATGGCCTGGTTATAGGTAGACTGCAAGCAGTCTCTATTTTTCTTCAGATTTAAAGAGGGGAGTGCACGAGCGCGCGAGCGTCGAGCGGCGAAGCCTCTCCCGTCTCGCGCCTTTAGTCACACGCGTGGTCATTTTCGTGTCTCGCACGTTCCGCTCGACAGACTAAGAAAAAGAGAGAACGCTCGTAGTCTAGGTTATAGGTGAACTTTGCGAGAAATACTGACATTTTGGCTGATATCGAGTGTACAAGAAAGCAGTTGCAGTTTATGTAATCAACCTCGCCATGATCAGCCTTAATTGTTTCAGACAATCCTATGCTAAATCACCTTATACCAGCTGTTAAACAAACACAAAACAGTCAACAGTCTTATGGAACCTTAGCATCAGCAGCATTGCTTGTGAGATAATCTAAAAGTCCTTTCATCATCCAACTTGAGTTTGTTTCTCCCGGGTGAACCCGTGCCGTCACCACCACACCATGTTTGGCCTGTCAAACAAACACATAATTAATACCACATGTACAGTGGGTTTAATTGAACGTGGACTGTAACCTAACATATGCATTGCCTAATTCCATTCCCAAGAGAGCTGGGTTCAAGTCCGTTTGTTGTGGGATAAACAACAAGAGACACATAGTCAGAAAGAGAACATTGAGTTTAAGAAAAATCCCAACTTTGGTGTCAATCGGGCCACTATTGAACAAGACGCAGCTATTTAAAATCTTGAAAATTTATAAGAGATATATGGATTGCCGGACACACCGTCCGGACGTCTATACATTTCTTAGTAAATTTTGGAGTTTTTTAATGTATGTATCGTGTTCAATACAGGCCCAATCAACGCCAAACTTAAGAATGTTCCTAACCCCAACGTGCCCTTTCTCACTACGTGGGTCTCGTGTTGTTTATCCCATAATAAACAGACTCGTACCCAGCCCTCCACGGTTAAATAATGGGGTTTCGTTGAAAGTACTTTTTCTTTTCTACCCTTGGTTCAAACGGCATGATTTGGCTTTCATCTTACAAAAAAAAACTGGTTTGCCTACAAAAGCTTCTGCTTAATACCTGATGCCATTTTAGAGTACTTGATGTTTTCCTAACCCCAACGTGCCCTTTCTCACTACGTGGGTCTCGTGTTGTTTATCCCATAATAAACAGACTCGTACCCAGCCCTCCACGGTTAAATAATGGGGTTTCGTTGAAAGTACTTTTTCTTTTCTACCCTTGGTTCAAACGGCATGATTTGGCTTTCATCTTACAAAAAAAAAACTGGTTTGCTACAAAAGCTTCTGCTTAATACCTGATGCCATTTTAGAGTACTTGATGTTTTCCCCAGGTCGGACCCAGCTGATTTTTTTAGGTGCGGCGTCTAGCTCTAAGTAAAGCAAAGGTCTCACGATGATGATGATGATGATGATGATGATGATGATGATGATGATGATGATGATGATGATTGATATTGATGATGGCGGTGGTGATGGTGGTGGCAGTAGTGATGATGATAATGATGATGCTAATGCTGATTATGACAACGTTTCAGGTACGTTTTGAGGTTTTCTTGGTGTACTTTTTCGTTTGTTTAGATTTTCTAAAGCGTATTTTAATCCCTAACATCTTCATTCATAACATTTTTAAACTTCGTCGCCATCTTGGCACTAAGACACGTGTACGGAAGGCTTCCATGGCAATTCTGTAATTTCAGATGTGAGATTATTAATTACAACCATAACATCATGGGTGACGAAGTACTCCTCGATTTTGGCGCGAAATTTGTATAGGTAATAGGATGATTTGTAGTGATATTTGGCATAAATACTACGAGTGATATTTCAAAATTGTTATACGTAATTTCACGAGCCGTTAGGCGAGTTAAATTTGAGACAATGTTGAAATATCACTCGTGGTATTTATGCCAAATATCACGTACAAATCATGCTATTATTTGTTTATACTACTACCCGCAAAAGGTTTGTAATTTTCACATGTAGGTATTTGAAATTAAGCTGAAATACCACTCTTCTAAGCCAATCAAATTGCAGAAATTTCTAATGTTGTAGTATAACAGCGTTAATTCGTCACCCATGATACTAATAGGTAATCAAATGGTATACTCGTGAAATTAGGGAATAACGGTATACTCGTGAAATTATTCCCTAATTTCACTCGTCACCATTTGATTACAGATACTAATTTTCCATTATTTGCCTTACACAAAAAAACGTTATGACGAGTTATTTTACAAACCTCGGCATCAGCTGGCCTTCTCGAGGGATTCGTCACTGTAAGAATATAAACAAAGTTCCCAGCAAGAGTGCGACATAACACCCTCTGTTTGCAAATTCTCGATCGCACGGGGTCATTCCTCAAGTTTTGAAGATATTCCTTGCAAAACAAACAGAAAAGGTACAAGTATCGTAAGGAAAAAGAGCTTATGTATCCATGTATGGAGGGTCAAATATCGGTGGAAACTGGTTGCAATGTACAACATGCTTACCATTTCCTACATCAACTACGTTAGGCTGAAAGGTTTTTTTAAAGCCATTCAGATAGTGAGGAGCGACTTGAAAAGACCTTATTCACGATACCGGCCGTCTTTGCACGAGCTTAAGGTACAGAAAAACCGGCAACAAAAAAACATGCAACTTGTTTTGCAACATTGCTGCAAAACGAGTTGAATAGCGATGTTGTCATTCTGCATTCCTTTTCTTTAATGTCCAACAGTACTACAAGGCGGACACCTAGAGTTAGTCAGTATCGTCTTCCAACCACGACCTCGGCAGCTCTTTCATTTCTGACCGCGATTAGTCCTACTCAAGTAACTTTGTTAAATGTAGGCGAACTCCCATATAGTTGAAATCCTCAGAACCATATCCAAGTTCCGAAACAGAAAAAAATTTTTCGTAGTCGCTCGTTTACGTCCTCCTTAAGAGCGTGAAATTAGGCATCACGTCGTGGTCGTACACTGACGCAGAGAAATGTACAAAAAAAGTGTGCTCCATGTGCAAAGTTGTTGTTTTGCTCATTAAAGATATCGCTTGCTATTCTGAAGTTCTCGTAGCCGTCGCCGTCCGTTATTCAAACGAAGTCTAACTTAGGCCGCGGTTTAAGAAATCATTGGACCTCCAGATCTCATTCTTAGCGGGTTAATTTGAGCAAAAAAAGGGCTTTTCTAGTCTACCCTATATGCTTTATTGAAATTGTTCACAGTACCGTACACCGACCGACCGACCGACCGCCCGTCCGTCCGCACCACAGGCATACCAATGTAAAATAACTCAATCAACAGGTATGGCAACCCAAATGCAACTCAAGGTTTTATTTGGAAGGAAATCACATGGCCGCCGGGACTTTTAGAAAGAAAAAACAACAACAAAGTCGTATCTTTGTCGGCGTTATTTTTTATGTTTACACTAACGTGGATAACAGAGAAAGAGCTAGAGCGAGTGATTGACAAAACAAAGGAGACGAATTTCGTAAGAAGAAAAACATGGAAATTCAAAGCGGCGGTGAAAAACGAGAAATGCTAGCAGCCAACAAGGTGAAAATCAGCGGCAGTGAAAAATAAAAGCGAACACAGGAAAGAAAATATTGGGTAAGCACACACGACAATTCCTCCATAAAAATAATGTGTAACTAGGAAGTTTGAAGTTTTGGTCGTACAAAACAGCGTTGTTGTCGTGCAAAGCAAAGCGTGCTGCACGTGCAAATTTGGTTTTTGTTGATATAGTAGAAAAAGTGTGCTGCACGTGCAATTTTTTTTTTTTTTTTTTGCTAATTAGATCTATTAGTCTTGAAGCCATTTTCACTGTCGTCCCCGTTTAGCATTGCACGATTAATTTTTTTTTTGTTTACACGTATTATTAACCAGAGCTTCGCTTTTAGCCCTGGCTAAATCCATATATTAGAAATTTAAGAGTAAAGGATTTTGAATTCAGAAGACAAACCTGTAAATCTGAGTAGGTGTAGGGATAACAGTGCGCAAAGTAGTACGTATCGTCCTCATTTGGAAAGTCACACGTCCAGGTCAGAGAATAGTGATACTTTTCTTTGGTGGTGTCTTCACGTCTACAATGACAACAAGAAAAAAAGTGGTTAAAAATTTTAGTGAGGTCCAAAGCAATTAACATTGGATTACTGTGTTCTGTGATTGGATGGAAAACAAATTCGGGGTGCACGCATTTTTTCAGCGCTTTGCACTCGGCCGCCCTATGAGCATTTCTTCGAAATTTGATTGGCGTATTTTACTATCAGCTCGCACGTGATTGGCTCAAAAAAAGATCACGCCATTTCCTTCCACTAATGAAAAATAAACCCATTATACCGTCATGACTTGCTCACACGCGTTTTCCCGCGCTTTTCGCCCGCTGTTTTTGCTTCACTGATAGGTAAATTTGAACGTCTACTCGCACTGTGATTGGCTGACGCAATTACTTCAGTTTTCACTCATGAAGATCCGACTGAAAATGCTCTTCGACGATTTCCTACCAACGAAACTGTAGTGGAACTCGGCTATAACGCAGTGCCAAGACTGGAAAAATCGTGTGCATGTTTCAAAGGTACGTTATGTCAAAGGAAGCCCTGTTCCATACATTTTAATACATGTATCACTGACGCTAACTTCATTCGCTATTGTCATATAGAAAAATAGGGGTTGGTTTAAATAACGTGATTTCATTACATAGTAAGTACTTTTCCTTTACTACTCTCGATCCACACGGCCCGATTTGTGCAGGACGTTTACCTTAAGAAAACTGGTTAGCCTACAGCAGCTCAAGAACAGATCTTCTGTACTATACCTGACGCCATTTTTGTAGTACTTGATGTTTTCTCCAGTTCGGACCCAGCCGATTTTCTTGGTTGCGGCGTCTATTTCTGAGTATAGCAAAGGTCTCATACCTTCATTATAAAGACTGCCAGACTACAGTATGAGAAGAGAAACAAAATCTGGGTTAATACATCATATTCATATAAAATGAAGTTTCCCTTTTTCACTTGCAAATTTGTAGGCAATAATTTCATTGCAAACCGTATTATGGTTTCTCGTTTTCATTCTTCGTTTTTCACAGAGGCTGGCGCCTATGAGTCATGGGCTCCCGACGGACGTCTGTATGGTGGTCGTGACAATGGTAGTTGGGGGGGTAGGCAAGTTTATACCCCAACATAGAATAACCTGTAAAATTTCGTGACTTTGTGGATCTATATCCTCGTTAGCCTAACACTTGGCAAATGTACAAATCTTTCTAGCATTGTTTCACTTCCTGGTCCATGTTAAAAATCGTGGAAGGGCCCATTGCATTCAACATCAAGCGATCAGAATCAGAAGTTTCTCACACCTCAAAAAAAAGCAACGAACAATAATTAAATAAACGTGTCCTTTTTCCCAGCCTCCTCTCTCACCTTAAGTAGGTTCATGATGGTGAACTGGTACTTGATGTCAGGCCTGGCGTTCTGTAATCTGAAGTAATACCACTGTGTGTGTTTATTGGTGTATAAATCATTTCTCAGCCACAGCTGGTATTCATGATCATTTCTAAAAGATCAATCGAACAAAACAATGTTGGTAATTTTACAACAAAAGCACTTATTTTGAGTGTCAATGTATTTTGCATAAAAGCACTAATTGAGGTCACTATTTTAACGTCTTCAATAAGACCCTGAGTATTGTTCCGGTTCGGGAAATCGAACCCACCACCTCCTGCTCTGCAGTCAAGCGCTCTACCGACTGGGTTATGAATCCTGCCACGATGGGTCGTGTAAATTTGCTGCATAAGTTGTAGTTCGACTTTATCCTTCTTGGTCCATATTAATTTTTATTTCCTTTCTTTCAAATCCAAAATCACACAAAAAGGCATTATAGAAAGATTTAGAGTCCCGTTTACTGCAAACAACAAACGTCAGATTTATGGTGAGGAATTCTCAAAATAGAAAATGAGTACAGAAAAACAGCTCAAAACAATTAATTATGGATAAAAATGACATAACATTACTGATTTCTGAGTGGGGGGAATGATGAACAGTAAACGACAAGTAAAGAAAAAACTTAAGTTACTGCGTACATCTCCCATTAGTAGCCTGAGAAAACAGCTCTAACCCTAACCCTAACCCTCCACCCCCGTCTCCCTACCCCAATGACCACTCAAATACATGTAGACAATGAAATCATAAGGCTGTCAACCTTTTCTCATGTTTTGTGTGAACATACATTGTACATTTATATACATGTAAGGCTGTGGGTAATTAAATAAGAGACCTGTTAGCACAACATCACGAATTAAAATTTACACAACATGTTACAATTACTCACACTTTTATTGCCCTCAAGAGATTCCCGCACTCAAATCGAGACTCAAAAAGCAGAGTATGGTCATCAGGTGTTGTTAACTTATAAAAGGGTTTGTTCAAAATCTGACTGCCACCAACACGAGACCTGACAAACTGAAGATTAATCGCCACAAATGAAAAAATTAACGCAGTAATAATGCATTACAATAATGGAGAGCTTTAGCAATGACAATAACAGTAATAAAAACCTCGTTGAAAAAAAAATTAATTAGTTTGCATCCTCTTAAACTTTGTCGTGTTTATTTGAAACTACTAAATTTGTCAAATGTAGGCAATTTCTCCTGGACTTAAATTCTTAAGGACTTTATGGAGCTTCATATGTTCACGTCCCCCATAGAACGTTGCATTAGGAGATTTCACGCCAACGTGCAATGGACATCAAAGAAATGCAACATGCACTAGAAAGCATGATGCATGTGCAGAGCTGTTATTTTGCTCATAAAACTAATTATCAATTATTGTTGTTGTTGTCCTTGTCGCTGTGGTTGATTAAGCTCCAAATTATCTTCTCAAGGAAACGTTCTCCAGGCATACACTGTAACTACTAATGAATTTGGCAGCTCATCAAGCCACACTGGTTGTCACACTACATAACTGCACTACAGTATAACTTGGAAATAATGTGTTGCACTTACATATTTCTCAGGTCCAGGCTCATTATTGTACACCACTGTTCCTTCATCAGAAGGTAGCTTGGTAAGATTGACATCATCTAATGTCTTCTCTGCAATAACAGAGAGAAAATACACTGTTTCAAAAAATGATAACTACGTGAATTGACAATTTGGTATTCCATTTAACACAAAATGACCTCAGTCATTTGACTCCACACTGTTATAAAACAATGTTTCACATATGTCCTTGAAAACAAGAACCCTAGCATCAAATATACATCAATTATTGTTTCAAACGTTTCAACACAACGGCATGCAGAGTACACAAGCAAGTTCATGGTAGGTTTCCCAAAAATTAAAATACTCATGGTTGGACAGTCAGAGACTGGGCCAGGGTGCAAAGAAAATCATTTTTATTTACAGCTTGCCATTCAGGGAAGCTGAAGCTAGCATTTACTAGCCCAGACGTCACTTCAACTAGCTGCAAAAACTTTTTGACTAGCAGAACCGATTTCACAGTTATTCCACGTTATTTGAATTCCTCAAAAAAACATCAGTTGCCCATTGCCCATTGGGCAAGTGAAAAACAGAATTCACTAGCCCAATAGCAAAATCCACTAGCTCCGGGCTATTGGACACTACTTTCTTTGCACGCTGGTGGGCCCTACTTAATAGAGCATTTTCTTTTCATTAACAGACAGAAATGAACTGGTGAGTGAGGGTTACTGAAATGGAGCTCACTAGTGACGGTGTTTGCCTAGTTCTTGTTTTGTGTCCTGGGTTCAGTGCCCAAAGGTGACACAACTGTTACGTGGATTAAATTTGTTGTTGGTTCTGAGATGGTTCTCAACCTGGTTCTGCATGACATGTCTTTCTCCAGGCACTGACTGGTTTCTCCCTTTCCAAAAAATTTGCACTTCCAAAGTCTAAGTTGATCTAGGATGCACATGTAGTAGATGGACGCTTGTCAAAATTGATTTCATTAATTATTATCAATCTATTTGCTAACCTTGCTTGACAAAAGGTTCTGGATTTCTTGGTACATAGTGGATGTGTTTGGGACGAACAGGCAAAATTTTCATCTGTGCTGGCCTGAAAATTGGTGTAAACAGACAAACTTCAGCACAGTATAATTCTGATGCCTGCGCAGTAACAGGTAGTACATGCACAAGACTAGTATTAAACAAAGCAACACAGTTCTGTATACATGTACAATGTACAAGCAGAGACGGTTACATAGAGGAAGTTGTTAGGTAGAACCTACAGCTATTTATTATTAAGAAAACTTTCTGTTTATGGGCACCTCACAAAAACAGATGGTCCGGCCAGCCCTGCCTTTCTTCATTCCTTTCCCTTGACAGTATAACAACATGAGGTGAAAACCTACAGATAGCACTTGCCAGTTTGTAAGGTATTTATTCTAGAAAAGATTGACTGAAGGGTATATACATGTACATGTAGTGGACACTGTTCTGATATGTGATGACAGTAAAAGGAAGGGGTGGATGGGATTGGGAAAAAACAGTGGGATTGACCTTGACAAGGGTGGAACTGAGAGGTTTGTCATTGAGGCTGTAAATTATAATCCTGTTTATAACTGTTTACAAACCATGCATGTGTGAAAAAGAGACACACAAATAAATCTACATCATCGCTCATTGCTAAAATGTCCTTCAGAGAAGTGATGAGAGAAGGCTGCAGTTATAGCATACAGTACATTAGTTTGCTGAGAGAGGCACGACTGTGAGTAACAGTCTTATGTACAGTTTTATCCATGTACATATAGTAAATAGTGTGGCCAGAGTCAATACAGAGTGCTTAACTTTTCTTCTCGCAGTCATTTTTGAATCTTACCATCTTGGTGAAGACTGTAGCCCCTTTTCCTTGCAAAATGCATACAAATTCCTGGGCTCCCTGAGCCTTGGAACCTAAGGCAAATGAAATGCAATTTAGTTTCAGGTGGCTGAAGACTGTCAGAAGCTAACAAGGGTACCACGCAGTCCATATTGCACGGTTAGACCAGCATGAAGAATCTTTTACCACATGTACTGGCAACATAAAAGGTGGATTTGTAGACCACCAGCTTTTCTAAACTACCCAAATTACAGCAGGCTATGGAGTACGGACCCTCCTTTCACCTTTTAAGCTTTTCTTGCTCCATTATACCGTAAATTATTATCAACATATCAGTAAGGTACTCATAGTTAGTATTTTCCATTGATATCATTTTTGTGTTATTGTCATTTTATATTAGCATGCATTGCATACCAGAATGGTTCCCAATCACTGTAGTTTTCAAGGTTAACAGCACTTGCTGTGCCTCAATGGCTAAGGACCTTCATTGACTTTCTAACAAACTGTCAACTCTCAAGCTCATTGATTACAACAAGTCAGTAAGGTTAAACACATAATTGATGGAGTGCTTAGAACAAAGTTCAAAGTAACTTTTAGAACTGATTAACTGGTAACTTCCCCTACCAATCTGCATCATATATGCTTATGAAGCATATACAATGTAGAAAAGAAAGAATGTGATGCTACAATCGGTGACAAAATTAGTTCTGACAGTTCGCTCTAAAGGGGCTTTCTGATGCTTTACTGACTTCCAGAGGGGAAAATACAGCTTTTCCTCTCCCATCCCCTCCATGCAACACTGTGCTGCTGTTCAAGCTACCTATAGAAAACAACAAACACCCCAACTTTGAATGAAGGGGAGGAGAGAGGGGTGTGGATTCTTTTATTCTATGTAGTTACCCTATTTGAGTACATGTCTCAACAATTTTGTTACCGATTGTCTGAATTGCAAAGTGACCATACATGCTAAAGAAAACTAATTCAACTTATTTATTCTCGCTGGGATATAAAACCCTTGGTGGCACTTTTTTTTGTTATGATTGATGTAATCATGCCTATATTTTAAAACATTATTAGAATATGGCTATTTCATTATTTTCAGTGCAATGTGACATTTCATGTCACACTTAGCATGCCTTGACATCATGCAATGTGGCGTGTCCCACAAAATTTCTTATTCTTTCCTTTATCAAAACAAGGCACACCGAAAGTAAAAAAGACAGAAAACAAAATAGTTGCGGATTCTTTTGTTCTCTTTAGTTACCCTATTTGAGTACACTGATGTCCCAACAGTTTTGTTGCCGATATTAGATCAGCAATCACTTAGGACCTTATTCCACATACACCATAAGACCCTTCCTCTCCATTGACATAACATGTTAAGTGGATTGGTATAATAAATATAACAGTAAACAGTTAAAGAAATCCATATGGGGGGGAATAACTCACTAACCTTTTTTCCACCTTGATAACTGAAGACCAGCTGCGTTGATCGAAACTCCTTGTCAAACAATTTCAAGTCTAATACAGTGTAGACAATTAAATTGTTAGTGTTCAGATTATACATTACTGTAGATTACAATTTAATTATGAAAAAACGGTTTAAATTTCACAAGTATTGAAGCTTATATAATAGACACTGTCTTCTAACTGTTACTAGTCTCCATTGAGTTGTGAAGAAGCAAGGTTTTTTTTCTCAAAGGAAAAAACAAATCAAAGCAACAGGTCACCACATAGAGTTTTTTAACTTTAAGCTATGATCATGCTTGTTTTACCTACCTGATCAGTTGCTATAATTTTTTTTTTGTAACTAATCAGGAAGATGCCTCTTGCGAGTCTTACCAGCTGGGATAAAAGGAGGAACTGTTGATGAAGAACCTCTGTTGCCGACTTCGTTATTTTCGTCACTTTGTGAGCTATCATGGAACACTTTGTCTTTCATCGGTTCCTGGAAATTCTACCAACCAAGACCGCTTTGCGAACGTTGTCACGCGCGTATAAACGGACACACAAGTAAGTTTATATATATGTAGACAGGGAGTCATCAGCTCGATAAACTACACCATTACAGGAGAAAAGCTGTTGAGGAAGATAAGCAAGTATCAGGTTTTGAAATAATTAACGTCAAGTAGGTACTTAAGCTTATTAAACGCAGAAAAGTAATCATAGATGAGCAAGAAAAACAATGGCGGTAATCACTTTCACTTTCAATTCGTGACTTCTTCTTGCATGATTCTCCTTGTAGCCCTCCCAAAATTAATACTACCTGTGATCGAGCTGGCAGCTCCTCATAAATTTATAAAAACTGATGATTTTGAGTGAAGATCAGGCTTAACACAGTCATGCTAGCAGTAACAATTTGAACACAAATAACAAAAGTGGATCGCCGCGGAGACAGAAAGTTTCGGGCCCAGGTTACCCTCGGGCAGTTATACGTCCTCTTCATCAGGGGTGGAGGAGGTGGAGGGGTTGTGGAGGGGCGGGGGAGGGGAGGGGAGCGACTTTTGGGCTGTTATTGCTGATATAATACATAAATTCATCAAACATTTTACACCTTAGCTGTTTTTTTGTAAGAAAAGAGTGACAAAAAATAATAATAATAAAAACGTTTCCACAGGTTAACCAGACTTTTGTTGGCCATTGGAATACCTCAAAGGAGGGGCCAAAAAGCCACTGAATTTTTGTACATAAATCACCCAGAAAGTCTTAGGCACTGAGAATTTCTGCTGAGAATTTCTGGAGTTCTTGCAAAAGCAACTGTTGGCACTGTAATGCGGAAGGTTTAAGTCAGTACTGTCAACTCTCCCAGATAATCCGGGAGACTCCCGATTTTGAACCGTTTCTCCCGGTCTCCAGATAAGAGTCTGAAGTCTCCCGGATAATCGCCGAAGTTTGCAATTTCTTGTAGATTCGACTTTATGACAATGAAATTTCAAATATTTTTCGCTGTTTGAGCTATTTCTAAACTTTCAATATTGAACGTTTCCTCAGAGGACCAAAAGAAACTCTTGTATGCCATTTATAATACAAGCAATAATGTGATTGGTGGGAAGTAAACCAATCAGGTCAAATGATACAATTCCAACAACACCTTTTTCGCCCTTATTTGTGCATTACCGTATTTATTCGATTAACCGCCCCGGGGCACTTATTAAATATTTGGACCTTGAGAGTGGGCGCTTATTCGAGGTGGGCGCTTATTCGAGGCTGAGCGCTTATTAAGTTTTCACCATTTTCAGCAAGTGTAGTATGTTTATTTTGCAACAAAACAATAAATGCTAATAAAAAAAACGCGAAGAAGTAACAAAGCAGGGTTTCTGCAAAATACTCTGAAGAAAACTCCCTCCTTGGTGAAGTCTCTTATTAGTACTTATTCAATTTCAATTTCAGTCTCATTGTCACTCAAGGAGGGGATGGAGGTGGGGGTGGGCTCTTATTTGAGGCTGGGCGCTTATTTCTTTTTTGCCCTTAGGATGGGCGCTTATTCGAGGTGGGCGCTAATTCGAGGTTGGGTGCTTATTCGAATAAATACAGTAATTACATCATGTTTTGTGCATTATGACATCATCTATCATCACTTTCCTCTCAATTCTCAATATTTGATGATGTGGGTGTTGACAGCCCTGTTAAATTTATGTTTAAACATGACACCAAGTGTTGATCCCTGCCATTCTGTACTCACTTTTCATTGGCTATATATAAGGCAGAACACCCCTTTGTTGGCTGGTCCCAGTGGTGTCCATCTTAGAAAGAGTTGATTGTATAAATTATAGCTATGCATAGTGAATTGTAGCCCACGTTCATGATTTTTTTAACATTTTATTTCTATGTTTAACTAAGATAGTTAAGGACTGATGTATATACCATAAATTATAATTATTTATAACAACATATCTCTCCTTTTTTCTTCTGTTAGCTTTCTTCATATAAATATATTCACTATTATACATTTTTTCCCACTCAAAATGCATGTAATGTGCACTCTATATTATTCTCCTCCGTCCTTCCTTGATTGCTTGCGTGCTGCCAGTTTAATGAGTTCTTGATCAGGAGTTTCATATGCAAGAATAACTTCATCCCGTTTGTTTACAGGAGTTACTAATTGAGAGGCTTGAAAAAGAAAATGGGCCCTCTGTAGTTCTTTAAGTCTGAGTCTTTGTGATCTCCTACAAGATAATTCTCTCAGTGAATCAGCGTTCTTTCCTTCTGTTTCTGTGAGTTGCTTCTCGTTTTCAAATTGCAAAATTTCAAACAGATGTTTAGTTGAGCTTGTTTCCTTGCCTGTGCCCTTTGTTCCTTTGGCATTTTTCGTTTTACCTCTGCCTGATTTCTTCCTTGGTCCTAGTAGAGCCAAAAGGGTTTCATCACCCTCCAACTGTGTTGGAAACTGAGGAGATACCTACAAAAAGAGTTGAAGCATATTCAAGGAAGTTTCCCAGGGGGGAAATGAGTACTTGCCGGTGAAAGGCTAATGAAGATATGCCACTGGATGGGGTCGCATTTTCACAACAGGAGTGACTATAATGGGGTTGTATTTTCAATAGAGTAAGTAGAATGGGGTCACACCTTTTTAAGATTATAAATTTGGGGAGCTGGAAGATTCTTGTAAGTTGGGATTGAAAAATGGGAAGACTCATGGTTAAAAAAGTGACAGAAAGTATTAAAACTATGTTGGGATTGTGAAAATTACCAAGAGTTAACCAAAAGTGACTAAGATGGGGTCTATAATTCAGGCCATAGAAGATCTGATAATGGAGTAAATATCCAGAAAAAATTGACCCAAGTACGTACCTCCCCCATGGTAGTTTCTTTAAATGGTCCCCAGACCTGACAGCCCCACGTTTTTACCTAGTAAGCTGTAGACAATCTCCATAGCATTTTTTTTTCAATCGTACTGCCTCATTGGCTGGAAGTCTAGATCTCAGTTACCTCAAGTGGTGTATTTGAAATATTGGAAGGGTGGGGTGCTGGTACTCCCAATTTCAACTGATGGAGATGATCAAAGGATTTTTTGGGGGTTTAAAATTTTGATCCAGGGATTTTTTTGGGTAGGAAAATTTGATAAGGATCTTTTTGGGTGGCTTGATTTATGTAAGGATTTTTTGGGGTATTCAGAACAATCTGAAGACCCATGCTAGTGCCCATGTATATATCCTCGAGCGTAGTTCTGCAAATAAGGTACAACCAAACTTGTTTTCCAGCTAAAAATATTTTGAATGCATTACATAGTATCTGTTTCATGAAACGCATTATATACAATTGAACAACAGTCTGCAAAGTCCCAGGGAGTAAACAACACTTCTATTCATTGATGTCTCATTTATAAATTATTGCATTTATCGCCTGGCTTTTAATATCGTCACTGGAATATTCCCTTTTGTTGTTGTGAATTCTTGATCGCTCTCACTTTTGACTCATTGGCTTAAAATGTGAGGTTCCCTGGAACATTCACTTTTCCTTTCATGCTTTCTGGAAATTATTACAGGCTCCGAAATTCGGCATGGCATTTTTGGGGTGTTTCATCTTTGGTCCAGGGACTTCTTTGGGTCTTGTTGGAAGCCCTGCGGATTTTTGGGGCTTTCAGTTTTTGCCCCTACTCAATCATCCCCATCACTTATAATTCGGAGTACCCCAAACACCCCTCACCCCTCCCCTAGGATGCAGAATTCCACTTCTAGTTATAGATTAAGCTTCTGTCATAAATAGAGACATCCATGAGGGTAACTGGAAATCAGTGGAGAGCCTGATCCAACATGAGCTTTCCATATTGTGCTCTAAACGAGAGAAGAGATAAGAGCGCCGCTGAAACTGACCTAATCACCGGTGCAGAATATGTGGACTTAATTAAACTTATATCATATCAGACACCCGGAGGGGACTTTTGATCGGAGAGCTAGCATACCCATTTCTTCGCTTCTTCGTCATCTACAGGCAAGGATTCCGCCATAAAAGGTCTTCGAGCGGCTTGAACAGGAGTGCAATAGTATTTACGGCCATCCAGAGGGCTTTCAATAAAATCTAACGGTGGTTTTAGATGCGTTGTCGAATCTTTCCGCTTGCGTCTTTTTTTACGATCTCGTTCCGCCATCTTTGAAGTTCAAAAATTCTGCCACTCATGATATGACCGCTGTATCAAAAGAGCAAGGGCTCAAAATTCACCGCTGACAAGCGAGGGGTTACTTCCGGTCTTGAGGTTCGTACAAAGCTGGTAGCAGATCTTTCCGAGTCTTTGTCTTTGCAATGTCTTTTCTTCATTACATTACCTTCAAGCTGGTTGTAATAAGGGATAAAAGAATTGGCTCGATATACTACACTTTGGCAGCTGTCATCGTCCTCTACACTCTGGCCGAAATATTTCTTAAGAAAGGTTACCTGGAGGTGAGAATAGTGGAATCGAAACAGTACTATTAAAATATATGTATCATTCTAGAATATTGCTTCCTTTCATGTCTAGTTTTTACAAAGAAAAAAAGAGAAGAGAATTCTGGTTTTGTATGGTGTTGAACTGTGCCAGTCACTTTCCGCTAACGGTTTATTACCCTAAAGCAAAACCATATTTCATCATTGCATTATCATCATCATCCTGATCATCGTCATCATCATCATCATCATCATCATCATCATCATCATCATCATCATCATCATCATCATTGTCATCATCGATGTCTTTGCTGTCGTCAACACCATCATCCTGTCTTCCATTTTTGTCATCATTGCCATTATACAGTATTTTAAATATTATGGGATGTTCAATTGTTAATTTTTTATCTGCACTCCTCCCTCCCTCCTAAGCCACACCTTTGTCAGAAGAGTCCAAAAAATAAATCTTTGTACAACTTTTCATTCCTGTAGCATGTTTCATTTTGAAAATACAGCAATTTGAACTTCCGAGTTTTCACAGTGCATGACACCAAAAATGGAATGCTTTCTCATTGAAAAACAGTCTCTCCTCTTGGTTTTCAGCAGTATAACCATTTCAAGTATCAGAAGATATGTTTATGCGCACGTGTTCTAGTTCTCAAGGGAGAGAAAGAGCTTTTATTAAAAAAGCGAACTCCAGATGTTTTTGTTGATTTCCGGCAGCCATATTTGTGGACCAAAATGGTACGCCAATATGGCATCTCCGTACAAAGCTCTACAAATGTGTGTGGGGCATTTGGGCAAATAACTCAGAAACTGTGTGCCAGAAGGACCTGAGACTTGGACAAATTGTTTATATATTAGTCTTTTATAACATTTCATTTTCTTGACTTCTGCCACTGGACGGTTTCCAATACTTTTTTGTTTCGTGACAGTGAAAATGATCTATACTGAACTCCCCTATTCAAAAACCTACAGTCCTAATATGGGAAGGGTAGATGTAGATGCATGTAGGTGTATAAAATAATATAGCTTCCTTATCCAGGGGTATACCATCCATATCTGACTTATAACTATGTATAATAATTCTGATAATTTGCATCTCTGGCCTTTTTTTCCGTAAAAACTGTACCTTACCTACAACATTATGTGTAAAATAAACAACTTATAACTACTGTGTATCCCTGCATATTCCTGTGTTCCACTATTATTATTATGATCGTGAATCACTTCATTATCATCATATTGCTAATAATAGTGTCATGAGCACTACCATAAAAGTTACCATTACTATTACACCTGTTGTTTGGGAAAAGGAAAACAATCAATAAAAATTATGGTTGTTTCAATATTCTAGTCAAATTTTGCAGATCCTGCTGTCTCCATTTTAAAACACTGAATGAATATCTTGAAGTCTTGAATATTTTTTACCATAGCTAAAATTTTAGAACTCAATCAGACATGACACTGGACACTGATTTTGTTCGTATTCTGAAATTTGGTTTTAGTTTGATACATCACCAGAAGCCACTATGAGATTCCTTCTCTCAGACCCTAAAGAGGATGTTGCAAGCAATAGTGAACAGACATCTCAGATGAGCAATTTAAGCTACTGTTGCACCAAAGGTGTGGTATAGTAAATCTATAAAATGCAGTACTGCATTGCCATTTAATTGTCATGCTGCATCATACTCATCAGTACAAGTGTCCATAATCTCTACATACATGTACATGTTGACTCAGAAGTCCATGTATTGGCTACTATTATTTTTTTTTTTATAGCAAAAAGTAATTAACTGCCATTAACCCATGACAGGGTAAAAGTTGTTCTTTAATAGACAGACTTTACATTGCATGACTTTAACCTGATACCTTGAATTATATAATATAGTACATAGCAAAAAGTTCATCACCGGAATCAGATCAAGAATGGCTATTTCAATTTGGAACAGCTCAGCCATTCTTCCTGCCCGACTCAGCCAGGATTTTTTCCTTTGGAAAAAGACATTCTAATGCCAAACTTGTGATGTACTAACTAATTATAAATGGAATGGAAGAATTGATTATGGAAAACTAAATACAATGTAATTTGTGCATCATATGCTTCTAATTTATCTTACTTTTCATTCAAAATATTTTGCCATTTCTGGTTGGCTCCAGTCCCCTAGCTAATTCTTCATAACCAACAGGCACTAGCCATATTTGGAAGATGCGAGCAATATACCATCAATTCAATGGTATAATTATTTGATTGGAAATGAGGTCGTTCAATGGTATAATTATTTGATTGGAAATGAGACTGCATAAGCAATAGACCATTGTTCAACTTCATTTCCAGGAGTTGCCACCAAGCACGCAGTTTATTCATGAGTTAACTAAAAAAATGGCATTCATGGCTATCCGACAAAGAAATAGCTGAATGTCTGACTAAAAGAAGATGGAAAAATTCCAAGAATATGCAAAACATATTGCTCAATGGATGTTATTTACCTTCAGCAGAGGCCTTCAGCCTTAGTGTATAACATCCTACTCAGCCTCCTTCAACAATTGCCAAATATCATATTGTTACAGAAAACTTTGAAAGGCACTTGATAATTAAATAGAGTTTTTTCAAACCACTTCAGAGACGATTAAGAGACAAACTCTCGCCTCACTTCTCAAAATAATACTTTCATCTCGCAAGAGACATTAAAATTATTGTTTTGCTTCAAAGTATGTGTTTATAACAACCTTGACAACTAAGTTTAACATCTCAAACAACAGAGATAGATTACTCTGACGTATTTGGGTCAGTCAAAAAAATAATGGTTTATAAATAATTATTTTGTACCTGACATATGGCAAATGACATATTTTAGGTGAACCAACCAAGATGTGTACACCCTGCCAGGTTTTGGATGCTCGAGAATTGTTGTGGCCAGTAGAATCTCGCACAATCAGTTTAACGACGTTTGCAAAAGATCGATGGCAAACAAGAAACACCTCTCTGGACATTATTTCAGAGTTTAAAACAGTAAGGTACCAGAAACTTAAATTGTTAATCTACACACCATTCTTTTTACATTAAAGACAATAAGCTAAAGTGTGGGGGTAACCTGCAATTTTCTCTATACATTTATACTCTTGATCAGGCATCATTTTAAAGCAAGTTTCTTAAATTCACAGGCAATCATTATGATGGATAGCAAATAGAACCTAGAAAATTATGGGTTAATTTTTGGGTTAATTGAGGTGTTTGGTCCAGTTTCAAAATTTCGTAAACACTTGTGATGGAATTTTAAACGCTTTGCAGGAATATGGATTTCAAACAAAGGTCTTGTTTCTTGTTTTCTCGGCCTTTGTCAGGGTCTACCATTTACCAACCTTAATAATATTATTAATTTTGTTTCCATAAAATATCCTTACCCACATACTGTGGACTGTCATTTGAAATTTCAAGTGATAAGTGGAGGAAGGGGGAGGGGCTGAAGACCTAAGTTTTTATTATAAAAAAGGAAAGTGATATAAAGTCGAACCTCCATGTGCGACCACCTCCCATAAGCGACCGCCAATCCAAAACACCAAAATTTTCCCAGTCAAAGCGTTACGGTTGGAACCTCTAGTAAACGAGCACCTGATAAGCGACCGTGAACACTTTTGGAGCCTGACAGTTAATGATTTTCTATTGTTTTTAACCTCATGTAAGCGACCACTTGACACATTCTCTGATCTCTATGTTCGTTGTGTCCACTATGCTACTAAGAAAATACGAAGAACTTTCGTGACAACATGGAGTTACACATGGAGTAACTTAGACATGTGCAATAAATATCTTCCATAAAGTAGATGTGTCTAGACTTCTTCTTGGAAGAGACTCCCCGTGGTTTGATTCTTGTAAGCGACCACCTCCCGTATGCGACCACTCAGTCTTTGCATTTTGGGTGGTAACTTAAAGGACGTTCGACTGTATGGGGCTAAACTGGATTTTTTTATAAATCTCCAGAGGGATAGGGAATTCAAACCCGAGAAACCCTCTGGTGGGTAGTATGGATTTTATTTGACTGCAACAACACATCAATTACATCATTGCTTAATACACTGTATATCGTTTTTGTTTCAGAGAAAAAATGTATTTCACAGCTCAACCAGAGTCAATGATGATTAAAATTGAGCATGCAGTGTTGGCAACAAAGTTTTCAGGAGGAAAGAAGGGAAACAGCTTGGCAGCTTCACAAAGAAATATGAAGGGATTCCTCTACGGTCTGAACGGAACTATTCTAAGAAGGCAAAGTAACTAGTTCCTTCATCTTTGCTGAAATCATTTGTGTTCATGCACATTATACAGGCCACTCTGCACATTTTATTTAAGACATATTCAAACTTAAAGGCACTTATATAGTTTGACCAAATTTGTATGTTAAAAGATGCATTGTTTGGATGGACAATATCAACGACAACATTATTTGCTGCAATACATTTACAGTAAACTGCGCTACAGTTTCCTTGCAATTAAAAGTATTTAAAAACTCGGTGATTCTATTTACCAAACAAATAAGGAAAAATCGCATTGATCGTATTAGATTTTTCGGTACCCCTACATGGCAGCAGTAAGAGCCACACCCTATAGGGTTATGTACAGTAGACAGCAAAATACGTGGTGTTTTTGCAAAACTCATGAACGCATGAACGGTCAAACAAAAGCCCTGGAGTGAGGGTGAAAACAAAGTGTGGGACAGGGTAGAAACACAAAAAAACTGCTCGCCCCTGGAAAGAACTGATTTTCAGCATGGATAATTATCCATGTTTTCAGGAAAAAAAACCGACTGTTTGCTGTTAAACGATTACCGTATTTCCTGGAATATGAGCCCTGGGCTCTTTTTTAAAGAAATATTTAATATATGAGATCATAGTACCTTCTAGTGATTTACATTCAAAACTGCCAACAAAGATTGTCCCTTCACTGCCAGGTGATGCATGGTCCGAACAGGTGCACTCAATAAATAGTCTAACTCATCTTTGTGTTTCCTCTTATTCCACAGCCTTTCAAATGAAGACAATGGTCCTAGAGGCAGAGCAGACAAGTTTACTGTGCGGGAAATTCTTCACGCCGCAGGAGTAGAAAGTTTGGATGAGCCTTCTGATGCTCTTAATGCCAAGGGAAAACCTTTTCGCCGCCATGGGATTGTTCTGCGCGTGGCTATTAATTATCAAAACTCCGACTCCAGTTTTCTTGGAACCGGGTATGGGTTTTCAAGTATTCTCTTGACATGTTTCATTTCGTAGCCCGAGAAAACAGCCGACAATTTTGCGACGCTACCACTGTTTTTCCCGCGAAGTGACGTCTGAGAAACGAGCGCAGAAACTCCATACTGATGACGTGTCACTACCCAGATCTGGGTAGTGCTTCTGATTGGTTGAAGCAAATTTCCCACGCGGCTTGACCTTTCAGAAGCACTACCCAGATCTGGGTAGTGACGCGTCATCAGTATGGAATTTCTTCCCTCGTTTCTCAAATGTCATTTCGCGGGGAAAACAGTGGTGGCGTCGTGAAATGTCGACTGTTTAGTTAGGCTATTCATTTCGTTGCCTGTAGTTTCTGAGTTTAGGGTGCATTTGGATTCTGGATACCACGCTGTGAATTCCGGATTCCAACTACTAAAATCCGGATCCCTTGTCGGTGGAACTTGGCCTCCGGATTCCAATCGTTAGCGGGATTCCGGATTCTTTAAACTGAATTACGGATCCCAAAACTTAGGAGTCTGGATTCCACAAACGAATGTTCCCGGATTTCGGAAACCGAGTCACCTTACACGGGCCAAGAGGTTAGCTCAACAACCTAGCTTTTCGCAAAATGGGTAATTCATAGGTCATGTTTTATCTTGTGTCGTTTTTTCAAACCTTATACTGGAGCTCCACGCGCGGTGCTTCGGAGCCCCATAGCTAAGGAAATGTGGTAATCTACCCATGCGAGAAAATTTGGTAATCACGTGACCGTACACCCCCGACCGACCGACCGCCCGGTCGTCCGTCCGCACCACAGGCATACCAATGTAAAATAATTCAATCAACAGGTATGGCAACCCAAATGCAACTCAAGGTTTTATTTGGAAGGAAATCACATGACCGCCCTGACTGTTAGAAAGAAAAAACAACAACAAAGTCGTGTCTTTTTCGGCGTTATTTTTTATGTTTACACTAACGTGGATAACAGAGAAAGAGCTAGAGCGAGTGAGACGAATTTCGTAGGAAGAAAAACATGGAAATTTAAAGCGGCGGTGAGAAAATGAGGAATGCTACCGGCCAGCAAGGTGATTTCAAATGAGCGGCAGTGAAAAATAAAAGCGAACATGAACACGGGAAACAAAATATTGGGTAAGCATATACGACAATTCCTGCACAAAAATAATGTGTAACTAGGAAGTTTGACGTTTTAGTCGTACAAAACACCGTTTTAGTCGTGCAAAACAACGGCAAGGGAAAGACAAAAAAGCGTGTTGCACGTGCAAATTTGTTTTTTGCTAATTAGAAGAAAAAATGTGCTGCACGTCCAATTTGTTTTTTTTTCTAATTAGATCTATTAGTCTCGAAGCCATTTTCATTGTCGTCCCCCTTTAGCATTACACGATTTAATTTTTTTTTTGTTTACACGTATTATTAACCAGAGCTTCGCTTTTAGCCTGGGCTAAATCTATACATTAACATTATCTGTCTGGCTTTTATTTTGTAGAGATATAACATATTCTTACCATGTGAGGCGGATTCCGTTTGCAGACTACAGAGTTAATGAGGTCATTCCGGTGCTTAGTGAAAAAGATTTTACAGACTCCAGTCAAATGGGACGTCAAGAGAATCGGCTGTTTCGAAAACGCTATGGCATCAAAATAGAATTCCATCAAACTGGTCGATTAGGTGTGTGAGGAATGATTTTTAATTTTTTTCCCTGATGTATGGTGGGTTTCTTTGTTAAGTCACTAGGAAGGGTAAACTACTTCCGACTCCGACAATCTGGTTTTCACTAGACCATAAGCGGAACGTAAGCGATGGAGTCCTAAACGGAGTCGGAAGAAATGGAAACGTTATGATTCTTCTGACTCCGATTCCGTCGCGCTTACGACTACGATTTTATATTTTTACTAGGTCATAAGCTCTCTTACGACTCTACTTACGACTCCGACTGCGACTCCGTCGCTAGAGAAAACCAGCCTTTAGTACGCAAGCGGGTGATTTATCCTTAATTTATTGTATAAGCAGGCAACTTACAGACCTTTCAGAAATCATATGCGTAGCAAAGTTCACAAAATTTGAGCCCGTGTTAAACAGTAGAAAATTTCGCAACTCCTCTTTACAAATAACATTCCTGCACACGGACTACTGTACAACATCTCGAGGCAGCCGGTTTCGCCCCTCTTCGCGTTCGCCTCGTTGGAGTTCGACCCCCGATTTACATCATGATTGGTGTTAAGCGCCTACAATACTGATTAGAGCTAAGTACTGACTCAAAATGGTTAGCTTCTATTCACAGGCAGGTTTGTTACTTTATAAAGGTTAAGTCACCGGTCAACTCCGAGGAGTGCGAAACCGGCATAAATACAACATTTTTTTGTTAACTGTCTTTTCTTTATTACCAAAGGTCATTTCTCATTGTCTTCATTGTTACTTCGTCTTGCATCTGGAGTTGGCTTGTTGACGTTAACAGCAACTGTTGTAGACATTCTAGCGCTGTACATCCTTCCTGATAAAGTAAGATACCGCAAATATGTCTACGAGGAGTCCCCGATATTAGAAATGAAGAAGGAGCAATAACTAGTCTTTATATTAATAAAAATTAGGACAATTTTGTGAAATAAAATACTAAATAACTAGTCGTGACTACTAATTTTCTCACCCAAGTCTACCAAAAATATTGTTTTAGTCAAAATTAATATAGTTTTTTTGCCGATTTCATTTTATGAACAGTTGATAGACATATGTTTAAAATAAGTATATTTTTTTTTCACTAAAAGAACAATTTTTTTCCATAAAAAGCAGACATAGATGATATTTTTGTAATAATAGAAGGAAAGAAGGCTAAACTTTGTTTTTACAACTGACTGATAGCGTACAAAGGTGGATTTTTTTTTGTTCTTCAAAACCACGGTTTCACAAATAAGGCGGTCAGCAAAATTTGTTTTTTTTTTTCGCGGGGGGGGGGATCACTTTCTTGGACAGCTTGGCCACTAAGCTTAGAATAGTAACCGAGCCTTCCCATTTAGTTTCCAATCCTTCCTGAACCGTTTGTATGCAATGTTCAGCTGGCCGCAAAGGTTGTTAAGGGTTAAGCTCTGAGAATAGTTATTAGGCTTAATCACTGAGAATAGTGTTTAGAATTGAGCACTGACTCAATAAACGGTTAGCTTCTATTTGGGGTTAGGGTTGTTGCTACATTTCTTCAAATCAAACCGACAATCGTCAGTAAATCCTCAGTGGCGTAATGGTATGGGAGATGGACAGCAGATTCTACGCTTCGGGTTCGAGTCCTAGTCAAGCCGTTCTAAATTATTTTTTCCTTAAAAATTGAAGATACTTAGACTCTGTACTTAGAAATTTTATGTAGAAAATGGGAAATGTCTCAGAATGTCTCTTGAGAGGGAAATGTCCGTTTGGAGTATGGAGATGAGTGCTCCCCAAGAAAGTGATCCCCCAAAAAAAATTTTCGCAGGCGGTCTCTTTCAAAGGCATTTTTACTATTTTATTTAAAATACAGCTAAAAGTGAGCACTAAAATGACAGAATCCTTACATTCAAAACAGCATTTGTTGAATTCCATCTCTAGTTTAATAGCGGCTTCTTACAACTAATATGCAAAGTGTTTTTTTAGTTTGACCAAGAGAGGATTTGACTTGAAAGTCAAACCAAGACAGGAAAATTGAAAAAAAAAAATTCAAAGGTCTTTTAGCACTCTTGAACGAGCGAGCGCTCACTATTTCCTGCCTTTTTTCTATTGCAACCATGTTTTTAGCTAACCTAACCCCCTTCAAAGTTTATCCCTACTTTTGTTGATTACCAACACATCGACTCAGTGGGGTCCTATTTTCAGAAAAGAGGCCGCGCGCTTTTCTTGACGTTTAGGGGAACTGGGAACTGAACTCTCGTGAATGAAAATTGTTGTCTCTGTAAATGTTTCACCGAATTATATTTCTTTTACGGATTGATTGTTAGTAGTCTCTCTTGCAATGTTTCTCTATTTTAATCGCTCTACTGGTTGTTTTGAGTCGTACATGAACATTTCTTGCAGGAGTACTCAAACTGCCGCCCATATCAAGCGCTTTTAAAGATTACACATAGTTGGAAAACCATAATCCAAAATAAAAAGCTAAAGCGTAACTCTATTACTGTTCATTCAAACACTCCGTTAATAGCTCGCACTGCAAATTTGGCGATGTCAATAGTGAGAACCGGCTAGCCGGAAAAGTGATTTTGGAAATGTTTTAAACATTTTCGCTAAAAGCCCATTATTACCTTGGATACCACATAAGAGCAGATTGTTGTGACTGAACAGTCCCGACATTATGGAATTCCGTCTTCATGAAAATGTGGTCAATTCTTTAATTTTTTGTGCAAAGGAGGTGCGTGCTTCGACCGTCTAGAATATTGAATGACTGCAATTATTTTGCAAAATTATGAAAAACTGCATTCTCTACAAGGTCTGCGGTGTATGATAAAAAGAAGCGCCTCGGAGTACTGTTTACCTCAGATGGCTGCTTTACACGCCACCAGTTGGCAAGATTTTGTAAAGTAAACTTGTCGAACGCGAAAAAAAGGGCCTGATTTTTTATTTTTGCCTCCCTTTTAGATAGAGGAATGCAACCTATAAATTACAACCTGTCAATATTGGTTGCCGCCGTGTCTATCGTGTCTTCTAACAGGCCTGTATAGCATAAGGTTAAATTTCGGTGCTGTCCAATCAACCTTATAAAATAAAGGTGGTGTAGGTGGGCGACTGGCCTATTTCGTGTGGGAAGAATTTGTTTTCCAGGCCTAGTCTACTGTGATCAAGAGCCGTTATGCTCTTGATTGTGGTCGAAGATGATTGCTGTTTTTTTGGGTGTACATATAAGGCTATTAACTCGATGTAAGATTTGTTTCACTCTTGGACTGTTTTCAAATTATTTTTCCCTAAAATCACTTAGCCTTTTCCTCAAAAGTCCCGTGAATGTGCCCTAAAGTTAACTGATTTGTTAAAAGTCAAAAATTGCTACAGTTTATTGCTTGATTTAAATTATTTTTTTATTAATGGGAGCTTCGCTTTTAGACTTGGATAAAATTATATGATGCTGAAGTGAAGCACCTGTTATCGTTAACTACACTAACTACGTTCACTACAGTCAACGTACCAAAACAGCCTCCATAATGTCAGAAGCTTAGGTGTATTTAACTGAAAGTTACTGAGTAGCGATAAAAAGTGTCCTTTATTCCTAGACTGAGTAATCTGAAAACTAGCCCTACGTTAACAGAGTGACAAGTCAGGTCGACTCACTTTGGAGTCATCACAAGAGAGTGTCGAGAGTTTCGCTGGTGCTGGGGCATTGATCATTGTAACATTCTTGGCTCTCATCTAACAGTGTAAAATCATAATATGGGGTATCAGCTGTCATCATTTGTTCAAGGGTTGGTATCATTTCGGTGAATGAGAGTCGTTCATTCGGATCATCCTCCAGCAGTCCAGCATTAACTTGTATCTGTCGAGAAAAAATTATGCTGGTTTATGCTTCGTTCAAGTTACCCAATTATGACGCTAGCAAAAATTGTCGTCAAGCTACGACACGTAACTCTTTTTGAACTCTGATGATCACTTTTGTCGAATAGGCAATCACTGTTAACAACAATCTTTTCCATAAGACACTCACCTGAATGATCACGTTTCACCTAGTTACGAGACGAAATACTGCCATGTTTTGCCGAGAGAGATTACCTAAGATTTGGTTTTTACTTCAGCAAAACGAAATTTCCCTTGTGAGTAGTATAGAAGGGATGAAATTATCCATTTTAAAGCAGAACATTAGCAGGTAGTTCTTAACGTTTATGACGTCGAAGAAACGTTAATGAGTTAAGCCTGGTTCTTTCCTACCTCCGATCTACTTGCGTTGGCGTTATACTCGCCAGTTGCACCGATTTTTTTGTCGCAATCAAGTCGCATGAGTGCCTGCCAGAGAGTCATGATTGTCATGATAAAGTCAATCGAAGTATTTAACAGTTATTCCTCTCGCCCTCATGGGCTCTGAGTCAATAGCCCATGAGGCCGAAGGCTGAATGGGCTATTGACTCAGAGTCCATGATGGCGAGAGGAATAATTGTTTTAGTAAAATCCAACTAATTGGTCAAAAATGTCAAGAATAAAAAAGTTTTCGCTACTTAAAGATAGAATTTAACCCTTATTTGCCGCCAAAAAGCCGGCGCTTTTCGCTACTAGTGGGCTATAACATATAGCCTAGCAGTAGCTCAACCAATCGGAACGCAGCATTGATAATCGACCACTAGTTGGATTTTATTACATTGTACTATACCCCTGGCGTTTCACCGATGAACTGAAAGAAGTGACCGAAAAAGCGGCCTTGTTATGAACGGTTTAAAGATGATCATGCCTATAGCTTAACAATGTTGTTTTTAAAAGATATTGTGTTTCTTGTTTCGTACATCTATTTTGCGAGTCATTTACAACAAGTTTACTTACATTTCATCACTGCAAGTGTTTGGTTGTTCCATGCGATACCCCTTCTTAAGGAGATTGTACAACTGGGCATGGTTGATTCTGGGGTAAGGAGTTCCCCCTAAAGTGTTCAATTTAAATATCATTGGGGAAGGTTTAGAGAACTTTTAAGCTAACATTACGTCTGTCAAGAGCTGTTAGTTATTGTGGCGCGTGACCATTGACTCACAACGTTGATAGTGATCTTGTACCCAGATCTCTCGTCGACGAAGCCGAGGGCGAGATCAGGTCAAGTAAAAAACGTTAAAAATAAAAAAAAGCTTTGACTATACTCTGTTCTGTTGTAAAGTACGCCAGAAGCAGCTAGAGCACGAAAGAATAGGTGGGGAAACCGAGACCTAGTGGAGTGTTTCTCCCTAACTAAGTTCTCTTGCCGTTTCCTGCGTGCTTTCCAACAAAACAGAGCACAGTGTCAAGGCTTCTTTATTTGTTTCATTATAAAGAATCCGTTAAATTCCCCATGCATCACTTTTTTAGTTTTCAAAACAAACTTTCGGCACATGGTGCGACACCTTTAGCTGTGTGTTTTATACTCTCATAAAGCATGCATTTGCAACCAAACAGAGTTCGCGTTATATCTGGACTTTAATATAAATCAGTGCGCCTGACCGGCGAGCACATGACGTACGGATTTGACCAGATCTCTCCTTCGGCTTCGTCGACGGGAGATCTGGATGCGAAATTACGTTTATAATAAAACAAACAAAGAAATGCAATGGACAATCATTGTAACTCTAACATCAGCATGATCAGTCAAAGCATTTAATATATCTTACCCATGGTAGCCATTTCCCACAAAACAACTCCGAAGGACCATCTAAAGAA